TAGGGTTTTTGTATTAAAAGAATTAATAATATAAATAAGGTGATACTTAATTTAATAAATCTCTTCTTAAGATGCTTCTTAATATATTTCTTAATTACCTTAAGCTTATCTAGGCTTATCCTATATAGGGGCTACGTTCAAGGTAGTTTAGCACCTACTTTTAGTTTAATCTTATAATTATACCTCTCTTTGTGCTTTAGAAGAGTGTTAGAAGCCTCCTTTAAAAAGACATTTGCAAATTCTTAAAATTCTATTAGAAGAATCTCTTTTAAGTCTGGTTCTAGCTAGATCTATTTCTTAATATGTTTATTTATGTCCTTTATTATAATAGTGAATATTTCTGTACTAGGGATAATTAATAATTACTTAAATATTGTAATGCTTATAGGCTTAGTACTATGCTAGGCTACTCTAGCTTCTTTAATCTTCCTTTTATAAGTAACGTGGTTCATAAGCGACCCGCCCATACAAGCCGACACAGAAACGAAGTCCCCCTTAGGGTTTCCGTACTAGAAGAATTGGCGATGCGAATAAGGCAGTGCTTAGTTTAATAAACCCCTTCTTGAGATGCTCCTTGATGTATTTCTTGACCACCTTGAGCTCTTCTGGGCTCATTCTACGCAGGGGCTGCGTCTGTAACAGCTTGGCACCTGCTTCCAGTTTGATCTTATAATCGTACTCCTCCCTATGCTCCAGAAGAGTATCAGAAGCCTCCTTTGAGAAGACATCTGCGAATTCTTGAAATTCTATTAGAAGAACCTTCTTCAGGTCTAGTTCTAACTAGATCTGTTTCTTAATATATTTATTTATGTCCTTTATTATGATAGCGAATATTTCTGCACTAGGAGTGATTAATAATCGCTTAAATACTATAATGCTTACAGGCTTAGTGCTGTACTAGGCTACCCTAGCCTCTTTGACCCTCCTTTTGTAGATAATAGCTGTGGTTATCCTGCTACCTAGAGTCTTCTCTACCTTAATAGGGCGTAAAGATCACGAAATAGCTAGGGCTGTTTTAGGACGCTTAAGAATCTTTATTACCTGTAGTAGTAATTTCCTAATTAAGTTAGCTTCAAATTTGGTTATATATATATAACTAACTTTATTACATGACTTCTTTATTAGTTCTTCCTCTGCTGCTTGCCCTTTAGCCTTAGGCTTATTACTCTGACTCTTGTAGTTCTGCTAGAATATAAGTTGCTCCTTATAATTATAATTCTCTGTAAACTTTATTAATAAATCTCTAGAATCTAGAATATAGCTATATAGCCTTATTTACTTTTTCCCTAAGATTATAAGGTACGTAGCCTTTATTATATAGAAGATTTGTAATCTTTGTTAGTATTTACTAATATATATAAGTAAATAAAAGGCTTAAGAGATAAATTAATAGATCTTATTAGTAAAATTAAATATAGAAATAGGTTTAACTAGATCTATTATATTAATCTGTAATCTTTTATAAAGTTATTTTATCAATTAATAATTTATAACTACGCTTAACTAATATTCTATATCTAATAATGCTAATATTATTAATCTTTCTCTTTTTTTTCTAATGCTAATATTAATCAGAAATAAAGCCTCAAAATTATTTTTTATTATTATAATAAGGATCTTTATAGCTTTTTTATTAGTTATGTTATTAGGCCTGCTTATAACGTCTTAGTAGTAGGTAACTCTTTTCCTTATTACTCTTGTGTCTAAGAGTAATTCTTTATATAGTGTCCTAGTTTCTTATAATAATAGTACCTTACTATAGACATATCTCTTAGAAGTTGTGGCTTAGCTACTAGCCTTTCTTTCTTTGCTATTAATTTATTAGTAAATTAATAAATATTAGAAACTAAAGGTTTTACTAATATGCTAATATTAATTACTAATTTATTTAAGGTAATACATTAACTATTTATATCAGTATATATTAGGTCTGTAATTATCTCCTAAATTAATATATATCTGCAAAGAATAATTACTTATTTTAGATTATTTTAAATCTTATCTTAAAGATTTATAATCTAATCCTCTTCTTAGACTTCTGCTTTGCAGGAAAGCTATTAGAAGTCCCTTAGAAAGATAGCAAGGCTCTGCTGCCTTTGCTATAAGTAATAGTACTCCTTATAAGCAGTCTCTTGCCTAAATAAGGAATTAAAGCGATTTATTAGATCTATAAAGATATCTGAAACCTAGGCCCTTTTAAAGTCTTTAAAGTAAGACCTAAGCAATTTATAAGCGTTCCTGCTAGTATACAACTATATATAAGTAACCTTAGATAGTTCTATTAGAAAAAGCGCTGCATTACTACTTATACATAATTATATATAGACGACCTTAGATAGCTTTGTCAAAAAGAGTATCACATTAATTATAAACTTTATCTTTATAGCTAATAACTAAGAGCGAAACTTCTAAAGAAGTCTATCTTTAAAAATCTCTAGGTAAAGCAGCTTCTTTATCTTTGTATTAAGCGCTATTAAGAGGCTTAGAGTCGCTTCTAATAAGGTCTGTCTTTAAGGTAGTAACTCTTATTCTATTAGAGTCTTTAATAAAGATTCTACTTAAACTTATAGCTTTAGAGTTATTATAATCTTGTTACAGAGATTCTAGATAATCTCTTCCTTATTATAGAGTTTATTCTTTAGAGCCTTAATCTTAATACTAGTACCTTTATTAAGGTCTTAGTATCTTTCTTCTTAAGTTTCCTTCTCTTAAAAGGCTTCTTAATACTTAGCCTTCTTCTTTAGGCAAAGGGCTTTTTCTTCCTTATAGGCTGCTACTAATATTAGTATAAATGTTATTATATATATCTAATTCTTATTAACTAGCACTATAAAGACTAGAAGAGCTAATAGATTATTTGCTGCTCTCTCTATATACTTAATTAATATATATAAGGCGTCTTAATTTATAAGAGAGGCTTCGTCTAGGCTTCACCTCTAATTGCTTAAGAAAGAATAATAAACTTCGTTACTCTCTTTTCTCTCTATTTAATTATAAATCATCTTGACTTAATAATTCTTAAATCTTTATATAGTACAGAGTGTTTGTATCAAACAGACCTTGTGTTACTTCTAAAGTAATGACTTTCTTATATAGTCAAATAACCCTAGATAGGTTCTCTAATAGTTATGCCACAGATAAAAGAGTTTTGTATTATCTCTTAGAATAGTAAGTAAGTGTTAAGCTTATGTTTACTATAATAGCTTAAAACTAGAATAAGTTAATAATCTATAGATTACTAAAACATAAGCTAGAGAGTCTATCTATAGTGCGGCTAGCGCTCTACTTTATATATTTCTTTATTAAACATAAGAGGTGCTACTAGTTAACCTGCGCAGAAGATCTAACAGAGTATCTACAAGACTAGAAGCGGTAGCTTTCTTCTAAAAGAGATTATACTTTCCTAAAGAGGTTGTATTAATCTCTGGTTCTATAGTACTTGTACAGAGAGCCATGTACTATTATAGATATACTATCAGTGCTGCCATCTGAGTGCGTAGCGAGTCCTGCATATTTCCTGCGCTATAAAAGAGGAGGTACTTTATCCATTATAGTTTTTGAGTAGAAAAGGCTGATTTAAGGCAATAGAGCTAATTAAATAGATAACTCTAAGGACTAGTATTAATTTAAATTAATTTCGAGTTAATTTAATAAAGAAATAAAAGAGTAAAGATAATATAAAGTAGTAAAATTTATTAATATAAAATGCTAAGTTTTAATAGGAACAAAAAATAAAAAAACTCTAAATGCTGAAATATTAAATAACTTATAAACCACTTTAGTTATAACTTTTAAAAAAGCTCTTTCTAAAAGACTATAAACAGAAAAATATACTATATTTTTTATAAACTTATATCTATTATACTAATAAAGTTAATCTTAGAACTAATTTTTAAAAATAATATTATTTTATCTTTTTTTGATTTACTTTATTAATAATAGCTCTAACTACTAGATATCTCATTACTTAGATAAAGTCTTTAAAGAGCTATCAAATAATACTATTTATAGATCTCTAGCCCTAATAATTAGCCTAATATAGCTTATTTAACTTTTATTCTTATAATTTTCTTTTGGTGTTCTTAACGCTAAGGCTGTAGCCAGGTCTTAACGAATTTTGATGTTCTCAACGCCAAGGCTGTAGCATTCCTATAATTTTGATGTTTCTAATGCCAAGGCTGCAGAAATAACCTCACCGCTAAACACAGGTACCTCTTAACGCTAAACTCTACAAGGAAGGACACCCACGATAGGGGTTAACCGGGATCACAAAGGATATAAGACTCTTTATATAATAATTTTGAGTTTAATAGTATTTTTAATTAGAGTGTAATAATAAATTTATATTAACTCTGTGACAAAGGCTGCAGAAATAACCTTACCGCTAAACGCAGGTACCTCTTAACACTAAACCCCTAATAGCAGGAGTCTTATATAGGGGTCTATTCGGGCTTACAAGAGATATAAGTATAAATATATAATTTAAATAAAGAATTTTAAGAGCTGTTAAATAATATTATTTATAAATTTATAACTCTAATAATTAGCCTAATATAGCTAATTCAAGCTTTACTTCTATAATTTACTTTTAGTGTTCTTAACGCTAAGGCTGTAGCCAGGTCTTAACGAATTTTGATGTTCTCAACGCCAAGGCTGTAGCATTCCTATAATTTTGATGTTTCTAATGCCAAGGCTGCAGAAATAACCTCACCGCTAAACACAGGTACCTCTTAACGCTAAACTCTACAAGGAAGGACACCCACGATAGGGGTTAACCGGGATCACAAAGGATATAAGACTCTTTATATAATAATTTTGAGTTTAATAGTATTTTTAATTAGAGTGTAATAATAAATTCAGTTACTTTGTTATTACCACAAAAGTGAGAACTGCCATAAATTTCTGCACCAAGCTTCGGTCCCGCCAAGGAATTCGCAACAATTTTGCAATGCACAGTATCTATGCAACTACCGATAACTCATCGGTAGTCAGAAGGGCTGTTATCTCCTAGTGAGCCCAATACTGCCTTCAAAGGGGATATCACCAAGATATGGCGCCATATTTCTAGGGATATGTACCAAAGCATCTGAGGAATATCCGGATTCCTTTGGAAGATTAGACGATGGAGCTGCAGAAGTTTCATATTCAGAACATGCACCTTCTTCTGAAATGTCTGGTCCTGCCGCGTCTTCCCCTGCCTTCCATTTCCAAATTGTAGTCTTTCCTACTCCTGTGATTTCGTGAATTCGCTTGACTGGTAAACTCTGACGAAGCAGGTCTTGGACTTCTTTCCTCTTTTCGGGTTCATAACGGTTTCGAAAACGCTGGACATCTAGCCCAGGCGGCAACGTGCCAGCGGCAACATCCCGGGCCTTCCACCGGTGTACCATAGATTCTGTAACTCCTACCCTCTTTGAAGCCTCTTTTATGGTCATAGTCTTGTCCTGTATGAGTAGAGCGTAAGCCTCAGCCCTTTTAGACTTATTTTGAATATCAGCAAAGCTCTTGGAGCCGCTCGGTTCAAGATTTGTGATTCCGGATTCAATCTTCTTGCGCCTCCAACTACTTATCGTTGTTTTTGGTACACCTGTTTCCCGCGAAACCTCTGCGAGAGATATCTTTTCGTTCTGACTGTACAGCTGGTTAACTTTTTGCCTGCTGATTGCTATGCGGCTTTCATAAGTTGCTTCAGGATTAATTCGTCCAGCGGCCAGGCCATCGGCCTTCCATCGTTCCAATACGTGTTTTGGAACGTCTGCTATCGTCACAATGGTCCTGTACGACTTACCTTCGTTGAAAAGGGCGTAAACTTGGTCGCGTTTGTCTTGCGTGTCGTACGTACCGTGGGATATTCCTGCACTTCCTATCCCAGCCGCAATTCCCTCGGCCTTCGACCGGGACACTGTAGAGCTTGAGACACCAACTTCTTCCGCGATCTTTTCGGAAGATAGAGGCGTGGGCCCATTGAAGAGCGGGAAGACTTCGGCACCTCTGTTGTTCTCATCAGGTGCAGCTACTGCCATCCCAACGATCATGTCCATAGCAGCATACATATGTCGGCTTGACTTGGTCCGGTGTGGGAGCTCGGTCAACCAGTCTCGTGTCGTTGCCCTTCCAGAAGATCCAGCGCCACCTCCTCCAGCGAAATTGTATCCTGTGTCAGTTGTCCCGCCACCACCCATGAGCTGTGTAGATGCAGATGTAGGAACCGCAGCGTCTTCCGAGGCCGAGATCGACGAGGTTGATGGCCCTGCTGTTGCGGATTGGGGCTCAGTGATTCGAGGCTTTTTAGATGCTGTAAATGGGCTTCCTGGTCGCGCAGATTGTGTGATATTAGATTGATCACTTCTCGGCCTCCCTGACGCTGAGGCACGGCCTTCTGGTTGTGCTACATGTACAGTAAGAAGTCCGTCAAAGCGTGTCTCCTCGGATGTTGGGGTTGGGATTTCTGACCGTCCTCCTCGTGCAGCGCCAGGCGTATGATGCTTTGGCTCATGAGGGTCAGAGGCGTCCTTTTGGATTCTTTTGGAAGAAGATACAAAAGACATGATCGTTCTACGTCAAAAAGCTTGGGAGATAACTAAATCTGGAGCATATTAAGTAGAAGCAAGTAAATAAGCAAGCAAGCGAGACCAGATAAACATCTGTATATCCCCCTTAGAGAGCTTTCGGATGAAGAGAAGCAAAGGTATAGAATTACATGGTAGAAACAGTTCAAGAACGTGGAAACAGAATAGTTTCGCCAGCAGAATGCACTAAACATTTTGTTTCGTTACGCCATGGAAGATATCATAGATGCATCAGGATGTAGAAGTGGTCTCTGGACCGAAACGATGGACGTCACATCCGTGATCTTGCCGCCTCCCTACCTTGGAGATCACTCTCCTAAATATCGAGACCGAAGACCCAGGACTTGAGCCAGCCTTGACAGCTGCTGTCTGATGGTCACTGGCCCAGTCTACCTCGAAAACTCAGCGTGGTAATGAACAGCGTACTTGTAAAGGGAAACTGACCAGTGGCTGATTTAGGGTAAGTGTTCCACTGGGGCGGTGTTAAAAAAGAGCCCCTACTCGAGCGACTGGTCGTGTCTAGTTAAGCTCAATGTTGGCTAACTAACTAGACCCTAATGTGGCAACCACTTTCCCCCAGAACATGCCTAGACACTTTAACTAAACTTCACTTTCAGTTAAAGCATTAGTACACGACCACTGTCAGCAATCCTAATTATGATAGACCATACGATCCTTCTAAGCTTTCGCCGAGGAACTTTAGATGATATTTGACCGTGACTGGGGTATTCAAAGCCTGAATATTTCCCTTGATTGCTGAAGTGGTGCATTCGATGAACTGGTGCATTAGGGTGTACGCTACGTGATAAAGGGCCGGAGGGCTCTAGCTTGAACACGGCCTACCAACAGAGTGACTGACTTCTTTCGTTCAGCAATGATTATGCAACATGTCTGCGATCGACGACTTTCGAAAGGGCCATCATCCTCACCTTGAGGCTAAGTATCCAGCGAAAGACCATGCAAAGCGGGTGGCAAATGTTATTCAAGATTCTGAGTTTGGTCCTGACGGTGTTATCTAGTTCGAATCGCAGAAGACTCGTTTAACTGAAGACAGTGCCAGGTAGTTGCTATATCGCCAAACTTGGGATAGGTTTCCACCTGTGAGATATGCTGCGCTTCGTTGCTTACATCAAGCCAGAAGAGGGGTATACATGACTTTTGAATTCGATAGCCTCATGCTTTGGTGATGAGCATGAGCGAGGATCAAGAGGATCATCGCTGATCAAAATTCATTCCGTGTTGACCATTATTCCGTACAGATGCTTCCACTTGGAAATTGCTTTAGGTTCGAAACGCGCGGGCGGGACAGTTAGTAACTTACTACAACTATAGTAATAGTACTACGGGAGGGGCCTGAGGTATTGTTACTCTGGTGCTAGGAGCAGCTAGTTCTTATTACAGCGACATAGTGTCATGATTCGTCGATATAAAGCTTGTTCTGTGTGCATTCATTCTAATAAGTCAAATCATTACATCTAACTTCTTTTGAGCAAAGCGGCTCTGTACAGAGAGAGTTTACAAGCAAAGATACAGTACTAGTGCAAAAGTATCCGACCAACCCCACCTTCACACCCCACCAACATTTTGGACCATCTTCATACAAATTACTATAGTAAGTTACCAACTTGATGGATTCGAATAAAAAACAGCTCGAAATGTTCAGAAACATCCAGAGATTGAGGCTGGACTAATTTCCTGAATAGGCAGTTGATATTTAGAATCTGGTGTACCATCCTTTGGCCAGATCGGAATATAGTAAGTTACCAACTTGATGGATTCGAATAAAAAACAGCTCGAAATGTTCAGAAACATCCAGAGATTGAGGCTGGACTAATTTCCTGAATAGGCAGTTGATATTTAGAATCTGGTGTACCATCCTTTGGCCGCAATGACCGCATTCACTCGACTATCCATGCTCTTGATGAGATTGGCCATAGCTTCTTCTCCTATGGCATCCCAACCCTCATAAATAGCTCTGAATAACTGTTGATAATCCTCCTCTGATTTGCCTATATTGATTAGCTCTGGGTGGTGATTATTGATCTATTGCTTGAGTTGCGCCTAGAGGTGTTCAATTAGGTTAAGATCAGGACTATAGGCTGGCTATTCTATCAACTCTATGCCCTCCTCTTAAAGCTAATTAATAATCTTCTTCGCAGTATAAATTTAGGCATTATCTTATATGAATTTGTGCCCTAGTTTATATATCTAAGGCATCTGCTTATAAAGCACTACTAGATAAGAGTTAGCAGTATATCTTAACTTCTTAGAATTAGAATCACGCTTTAATAATATAATATCTAAGTAACCTTCTTTATAAATTATATCTTATATTATAATACTAATATCTTTGCTTTTTTTATATATATTAATTATATTAAAATTCTAATATTATTATAATATATAAAAAGCTTATATTTAATACGCTTTACTACCTTTTTTAAGCAAATATTTATTACTAAATATAATTTTGCTTTACTTAGTTTATATCTAGTTTTGTTATTCTTTATACTATATAAATTATTTAATAGCTAATTACAGAGTTAATAAAGGTCTTTTTTTAACTAGCTAATTAATAATGCCTTTATCTTTAAGGATTTAATAAATTATACTCTAATAAACACTAATATTAACTTTAGACTTGATTTCTTAATAAGTAGCCTTTAAATTAGTACGAATAAGATATAGAATATTACGTTTTTGAACCTTATTTAAGGTCTGAGGGCGTCTTAAACGAGGCAAGCTTTTGCCTTAGTTGCGTAGTGGATTTTGAACAAGGGTGTCGAAAATGGTGGTTTTGCTACATTGCAAATTTTGACTAATCTTTTGATTTGTCAACCCCATAGATTTGTACGCCGAAATTTGACCTCGTTGGTATGGAGATAACTCCTTGCCATAGCTCCTGTTAATTTCAAGAGGCGCCAGAGCCTTGCGTTGAGCCATAGTAGTTGTTTGAAAAAGGGTGTAAAAAAACGCGTGTTCAAAAATGACGCGTTTTGGTCGGATACTTTTGCGCGGGGCTGTACTAGCGCTGAGCTGACAATACTTCAGGCCCCCTTGTAGTAGTAGTTAAAGGGCTTCTGCCAAGCCACTAGAAATATCTCTTGGCAGCTCTGGCCAATGGGGGGTTCTTTGTAGTTATTATGTAACATCTTGATAGTCGAGTGTAGTAGTACCGTAGCATTCATTAATTCGTCTCCTTACTTCCCCAAAGCCATCTCATTACCAAAACCAAAGAAACACTACGTATAACCCAATACCACCAAATCCTCATCCTACAGCGGAAGCACAAACTGTGTCCTCGTCGCCAGACCCCGAGGGCGGGCTCGACACCCTTCTCGAACAAGACGACAGACTTTCACCTACCAACCCGGCTCCGCCACCCCCCCACCGATCTAGCCCTCGTTGTCCATCCTATCAACCATGGCCGACCCCTTCGAAGTCCGTTTGCGCTTCACAAACCTACTCTCCCACCTCTCCGCCTCCAGCACCGCCAGTATCCGATGCGCCCAATACGCGCTCAAACACCGAGACATGGACGAAGACCTTCACTCCTGCATTCTCGAACAGCTGGAACGGAACAACATGAACAATCGTGCGAATATCATGTACTTCCTTGAGCACTTTTGCGAATTGAGTATTAAGGAGGGGTATGAGGAGTATGTAGTTATGATTCGGAGGGATATTGGAAGGATTGTGGAGGCCGTGGTTGCGGCGCCCGGAGAGGTTGGCGCGGGTGGAGGTGGGGCAGGGGCTGCGAAGGCGAATGTTAAGGTAGTGAGGAGGGTGGTGGGCGTGTTGGGGGAGAAGGGAGTGTTGGGGCAAGAGGTGGTGGAGGAGATGGAGGGGCTGTTGAGAGATAGAGAAGGGGCTTCTGTTGGGGGGTTGTTGGAGGAGGATGAGGAGAATCGGGAGGGTGCGGCGGAGGAGGTTAGTGGGGATGCAGAGATGGGCGAGGGGGTAAACGTGGCGGACGTACCAAAGGAGGATCTCACAGCTAAGGAGCAGAGGATGGATGTCGATAGTAGGCATACACCCAGGGTGGGGAGTGGAGGCGCTGGGGCTGGGCCTGGTGGAAAGCAGGTCAATGGGGCGGTGAGGATGGATAAAAGGGTTATTGAGCAGAGGATAGAAGAAGACCGGGAGAGAAACAAAAGGCTGAGAGAGAGTGTGTGGGCGGTGGGAAAGGATGACCAGGAAGAACTGGACAAGATGTGGGATGAGGGCAGCGACGTGGGAGACGACGACTTTCTAATGGCCCGGGAGGAGGCGGAGGAACGGAGACAAGGGGCGTCGTTCAGTCATCAACTGCCGGTTTCGTGACATTGACTCCCAAATGCATACATGGAGTTTAGCGTCAGGTCATTGCAAGATACCCATGCCTCAAAATCATACTGCATTTCTTCTATGCAGGGGGTATGTAACTGGCTTTTGCAATGAGTCATCTATCAGCATCAAGTTGCCCGACCAAATCAATCTTCATCCCAATTGGGATTCTGTCCTGGCGGCTTTGGCCCACCAGCCTGTCTGGCTACGATGATCTGATCCACCGAAAGCACCGTTCTGGCCGACTCTGTCGCTAATCTGATCGCCCAGCTCTTGCTGACCATCAGATCCAGAATACCCTCCTCCATGGTATCCAGTATTCCGCTTGCATCTGAAGCTTCCAGGTCCACTCCCGTGGTCCAGTATGGCTCTTCATCATCTGAGCTCTCGTTGGCATCCCCAGATCCGTCTTCTTCCTCTGAAGATTCCTCATCCGTTGATTCGCGGTGCTGATGTGCGGTATACAGTCGTGCCAGAACTTCAGTGGCGTCAAGCCCAGCGCTTTCTGCCAGAGTCCTCGGGATGACCTCAAACGCCTCAGCATACTTCCGTATTGCGTGTTGCGGGAGGCCAGGGGTCCTGTCCGCATAAGCAGATATCCTCTCTACCAATTGCATCTCTGTAGCTCCAGCACCAGGAACTAGTCTCCCGTCCTTCGTCAAAGCTTTGACCACATTCACGCCATCATCAATAGCTCGTTCGACATCGTCCAGATGGTTTTGAGTTGCGCCTCGAAGAACAATCGTTGCAGTCCGAGTGATAGCAGCAGGATCCTCTTGCCTGAATACGGTAACTCTGTCGCCTCCGATTTCGGTCGTCTCCACAACGTCTATCGTGCCCATCTCGTCCGGCATCGGTGCCCCTAATCTGGCAAGAGGTGTTGCCCCTACCACGCGGCATAACCTTCTCAGCTCGAATTTGGACAAGACTTTAATGACCAGAATCTTGAAGCGATTGAGGTAATGCAGAGCAAGTTCTCCAACGGTAGCACCAGCAACAACAACCCTTAGGCCTGAATCATAGAGCTCTTTTATGGCGGTCTCCAATTGTTCTTCTTCACCAGTTGAGAAGTTCAGCATCTCCTCTGCGTTCTTCAACAGCACTGTTCCCTTGGTCTCCGTCTGGCTGATATCAATGGGACATGAGAACACCCCGACCTTGGCCTTCCTGGTATTCTTGATGACCCCGTCTGGCTCCCTTCCAAAAACCATGCCTTTCACCACTTTCGATTGCTCCAACGAACCACCCATAATCTTCACCACTCGAATATTGTCCACGTTGAAATTGACTGGATTCTTCGGGAGAACAGCAAGCACAGCTTCCGCCACAAGGGAGGCAAGCACATCCTCAGTGCCTGATTGCTTCGACGCAACAACGGTTCGGAGTGCTTTGACCAGTTCATCTTTATTCCTGATGTCCCTCACTCTTTCAACCTCAAGCCGCTCCAGACACTTGATTGCCTCTTTACCAGCCCTCTCATAACCACTGATTACATCGCTAGTGGTCAAGCCCATCCGTAGAAGCTCCTCTGCCTTTTTCAGCAATTCTCCAGCCAGTACTATGACCATGTTTGTCGCATCGCCCATCTCTGCTTCCTGCTGCTGTGAAGCCATGACAAGTAATTTCGCCGCTGGATGTACGACATCGAGTTCTCTGAGAATAGTGGCAGCGTCGGAGGTCAGGATCATTTTCTGTAAGTGGTTGATGACAATTTTATTCCTTCCAAATGGACCAAGGCTGGTTTGCACCGTCGAGGCTATCGTTCTGCAAGCATCAATGTTTCGTATAACGGCTCCATCTTCGGCGTCGTAGCTGCGTAAAGAGTCAGAGGCTTCAAGTCATAAAACGCGTCGCAGACGAACCTGTTATAGCCTTGTTTGAAGAGGCCAGCCTGCGAAGCTTGCGGTATGGAGAGAGACATGGCGTTTGAAAATAGGTAGTCTGATTTGCAGTGCAAACTGATTCTACGATCAATCGACCAGGTCAAGGTGAACAGAGTTCAGGCGTGCGGGAGAAATTTATTTGACTCTGGGGTATGTAATAATGCCAAGCCTTCACAGGGGCGGAGGAGGTTGAATGTGAGGCAGAAGCTGTTGTACTCGTTCGCTGCAGACAACAGTAGGGGATCACAGTTGGCCGTAGTAGCCTCTACAGCAATTAAAGAGAAAGGTGTTGGAAGTGTGGTATCATGAGAACTTGTCGATCTCCTAAACCTGAATGAAAGTATTGCACGCAAGGTCTCCGGTCTGATGGTCCGGAACCTTGAGGTTGCTATTGGGATACGATCGCTAACAATGTCATACCAACCTCCCTCTGTCGTATGCATTTGCTATCAGTGTGCAGCGCCAGTCCTTTCCATATAGCCACTGCTGTCCATACAGCGTATAGCGCCAGAATATCGCTCGTGTCTGGATCAGAGCGCCAGGAACCGTTGAGGAAGCCGGCCCCGCAAAATCAAGTATCACGCATCGTACTATCTCCATCAGGGATGTCAGATTCACCATCCGAATGCAAAGTCATGTGCTGGTCTGGCATGCTGTCAGGGCTGCTGGATGTATCTCGAAGCATGGGATGTTCCTCGGGTGGGGAGAACGACCACACCTTGTGTTTTGATCAGTACGACATTTTCAAGCGGCCAAAGGAATGGCTTACCTCCATCATCGTCCTATTCGCTCGACTTGCCATGATAACGCATTTCTCTTCCTCAAATGCCACCCTCCATACCGATTCAGCAGGCTGACTCAGCTCTCGAACCAATTGGCCAGTCTTCAAACTCCAGATTTTGACACGTCCATCACTTCCCCCACTGACAATCCGGACGTCATCGAATTGCAGACTTGTCACGCTGTTGTCATGTGCGGCCAATCGGTGAAGAGGCGCACCAGCTGAGAGGGACCATACTCGAACAGACCCATCAGAGCCGCCACTGACAAGAGTGTCGCCACGCATTTGGAGTTGTCCCACCAGAGATGTATGTCCCTGTAAGATAGCGTTACATGCTCCGGTGGTGGGATCCCATATTCTCACGCTGGTGTCCAGGCTGCCGGTGGCGATTTTGATGCCATCAAAGGCGATGGCGTAAATTTGGCTGAAATGTCCAGTAAGCGTTCGTAAACACCGTCCTTCCGAAATACTCCAGATTCTTGCTGTCGTATCATAACTGCCCGAAACCACAATGTCACCGTGGATACCGAGACAGCGAACACTAGCCTGGTGGCCCACTAAGACATTCCTGCAAACACCTGTCCGTAGATCCCATATCCTTAACGTTGTGTCGCGTGACCCAGAAATAGCGGTGTTTTTGTCTGCCATCTTGAGACATCGAACAGTAGAAGTGTGGCCTCGAAGGGTATGTACACTCGCTCTACAAGGATGTCAGTAAACGCTTGAATCGTTGCCTGTTTTTGAACCCACCCTGTCGCCATATCCCACACGCGGACATCACGGTCACATCCTCCGCTAACCAGCATATCCTCCCATGGCACCATTGCCCAAACTCCCATCACATGGCCCTGAAGTGTTCTTTGATGGTCGCCCATGGTATTAAAAACATGTATCTTTGCATTGTCCAACGCAACGACGATATATTTGTCGGTTAGATGAAGACTTGTAACAACCCCCTGGTCTGGTGTGATATGTTTTATAATGCTTTCGCCGCCTCTCCTCCAGGCAGCTTCAACCATATATTTCTGTTTAAAATGTGATCTGTAGCTCGTTGTCTTGGGCCTTCGCTTGATACGTGGACTGCTGGAGGCTGAGCTTAGCGTAGACGTGGTCAAGTTCGGTGCACTTGCAGATGGTCCACTGATGGTGGCTTCCAGTCCACGTTTTGCTGATCGGATTGCATATCCATATGGCCTTCGAGACGCCTGTGGAAGGGACAGAGGCTCCACAAGATCTAATGTTTCATTCGACATCCGACGATACGCATACTTGTCGCAAAGCAGTTTCCACGCCAAGTCATCGTTTAACAGCTCGCGCCATCGCCTCGAAACTTGCGAAGCCCTTGCCAGTGTAATGGGGTCATCAACAAAAGAGAGCACCTGAGACTGTCAATGGGTAGTACAAGATAAGAGTCCACATGACCTACTCTCAGACAAAGTTCGTTCGGAAGGTGAAGGAAGGGATCCTTCTTCAGTTTTGGTGCAACAAAGTTGTGGACGAAAACAAGTTGTTGGTTGTTACACATATTTAGAAGCTCGCCGAGGAAGCGTTCTCTTTGCGCAGAGTCCAACCTCTCAAAGTATCTTGTTGATTCTCGGAGGAACCCAACTTCATTCTCTCCAGCGAACGTCCAATTGGGTGCCCTTGAATGGGGACCTGGGGAGGGTGCCGGTGTCGGAGGGGAAGCGGGGGCAGAAGGGAGCAAGTTTGGTGGAATAGAGGTCGCGGATCTGCCGGGCGTTGGCAAAGGTTTGGGATGGGCATAATCTTCCGGGTCTGAGCGGTTGACGTTCGAAGGCTGCGTTATTATAGACTGAGGAGCAGGGTATTCATCGTCAACCTCAAACAACGATGTCTGTCGTGGAGATAAGGGCGCACTTGGGCCATGAGCTGTACGAGGCTCCATGCTCGAGCTAGTCGTGGTGTACTTGATCCCCGACCGCCTGGCTTCTACATGTAGTGGAAACTCATCTTCCGAATCAGGTTCCATGATCAGCCTGCAGAGGCCAGAGTCCTATACTGGGGTTGTAGTTCTTGAACAGACGAACGAAGCGGTGGAGACTAGGCCAGGCCACTTGGAATGTAATCTGAATGCCGATTTGAGCTTCTGTGGCAGGGATCAGCAAATGAAGCGTCGATGAGGTATCTGTCTGTAATCGAGGATTGGGAATGGATGTGGTCGAAGATAGCACAGGATTCGAAATGAGGACCGTACGATTTCTGTGAGCCAGGTCGACCTTAGCTTTGATACCAACACTGAGCCCACCTCGTGAGAAACGACTCGAGACCCACTTGAGTAATCATAAGAGAAGTGACACAACAAACCAACCTGTCACCAGGTGTTTGGGAAGGTTTAGAAGTGTCGAAGCCGGGGGGAGGATGGCACAGGCGAATGACAGTGGCTGCGGGAACCAAGCACGGGTATTCGAGTAGGCGCGCTCCACCTTCAATCAGCCCCCATTTAATGCTACACTTGCAGTGTATCAGATCTATGAATATTCTTCATTGAATGCAACAACCAGCCATGTGCGCGAGAGGTTGCCATTCGCTTAGATTCTAGTAACCAGCTTACCAAGTCGTACTGAGAGACCATATAACCTAACCCTCTGGTCTCATCTTCTCTCACCTACACATACCACCAAGCCTCCTGCCTATCATTTCCACCGTTTTATAGCTGATTCGTCGTAAAGCAGACCCTGCTGCTCAAGAATCTTCAGAAGCCTGCGCCGAGACTTAAGATTTCGATTGATAGACATCCGTCGAGGTCAATTGAACGTGGCTAAAGCAGCCCAACAGGTTATTGAGCGCAGGGCCGCATTAGGGCTGGCCATTCTATTGCTCCGCAAATGTGCCGCCCTGCTGTGCATAGCGTGGTGCAATTTGATGGAAGCTGTCCCGCAGTCCCTATATGTCTTTGACAAACCAGCATCACAGAAGTAGTGGCTATGTTGGCCTCCTTCAATGTGCATGTCCGACTTGTAGAAACAATGGTAGCACCATACCAAAAATAGCTGCCATAAAGTCCTGAAGAGATGCTTTTGGTGACTGAGATTGTGTATCTGTGTTTTCGACCATGCCATTGACGTGTCCATTCTGTTGTATATCATGAGAGCTCTCAATCTCTTGCATAGTGTGCATAGCAACATACAGAAAAGTGCCTGCCGAAAACAGTAGAAGCATTCCAGTCCACCATGTCGTGTTTCGTGCATTACCAATCCTTCCTGCACCAACAGTACGGGCAAATAGCCAGGTTAGAATTGCTCCCGTTGGCGCGGCTAGACTGAAAAATAGGAGATGGGTCCGCGCTGTACGCTTCGATAACCCTTGCTTCAGTAAAATAGAGGTCAGTCCGAATGCTGCTGGCGCTTTGTGCACCATAATGGCAAAGAATATAATGAAGCTGAGACCAGCATCAGCAGACGAGGACGAGGCACCAAGCGCTATTCCGTCCGCTGCTGCATGAATGATTAAGCCTGTGGTGGTCGCGAAGCTCCGGCTGTGTTCCTGAGGGGTACTGCCGCCTTGCAAGAATCCATCAACTCCAGTGTCATGTTCCTGCGACGGTGTTCGTTGAAGTCCTCGACCAAGATCATTTAGAGAGATATGGTAAGGACGAGGCGCGGGCTTAGATGAGCTTGTATATTGAGGAAGTTTGTCGATGACGAACATCAGAATGAATCCTGCGATGAGAGCAACGCCGATCCAGGCATGTGGAGAATCGTTGTGCTCTTTACTTGCCGTGGCCCCTTCTGAACTGTCTCCGGCAGTATTTTTGTCTTCATCCTTCTGAAGAATACTCAATGGCCCTGGTTCAACCGGCTTCGACGGTGGCTTTTCTGATGGGCCAGGGAGGACCGGGTAAAGCATCGACGTTGCAGCCGTATCGCTTGCTTCTCGCTCGTATAAAGCCCGGATATCTTGGGAACCTTTCGCAATAAACCAACTGCTTGAGGCTCTTCTAGTATGCACATTGCCTATCTTACTTGCGCTGTACAACGTGTCGACTCCTTCTGGAATAATAACAATGAGTGACGTGCCTACCAGAACCCCCATGCCGATAGTCGAAATGAGTCGTAATTGTGAAGGAGTGAGGGAGAACGAAAGCGGCAACAGCCCAGCCGAAAAAGAACTATAGGGCTGGTAAGCAGGCAAAAAGATGAAACAGCCCAATTGGCGCATACGCAATGGCCATGACCATGCTCAGGCTCAGCAGAGTAAAGAGTCCATCCATGCTGTCTGCCTTTGGATTGTCGTTATGGACCGTTACCACAAGATTTTGAAGCTCTCACGGTGGGAGTGCTCTGCTGAAAGCCATTCTAGTCCAACTGTCAAGGGGGTTCAAGGATGATCCAGTCGTTGTGTAAGTAGTTGGTCCGCTCCATTTCCGGTCGCGCAAGGTCCTATGTACGAGCAAGGGATTTAGGACTTTTATTTGAAGGATCCTTGCCAAGATGGAGCGGAAGCTAGTACTTACTACTAAGTTAGTACTAGCCAGCCTCAGCGCGTCACGCGAAATGGAAAGCTTGGACCAACTGCTTCTTTGGTGCTGCATGCGATTGTTGTTGGATGATCTTGTGCAGTACGGAGTACACCAAACTTATATGTCCGTATACAGGAGAGGCAAAAGCGCATTCGAACACATCGTCACGATAGTTCAGTTTATGGCATAAGTGCAGAAAGCTCGCAGTTTCAAAAGATCTTTTCTACCAGCTAAACCGGTACTGGGAGACATGGGCGATGAGTGTGAGCCGATCTTACCTCCATGCGCGATGACTTAAACGCTGACTGTTTCAACAGGGTCATCAGACGCCAACGAGGCCGTTTCTATTGAGCTTGTAGAAGCTGACGCCAATGCGCTACGAACTGTACACCGCTTCCACCCAAAGTTCACATATCCTATCTTTGGAGAGGAAGAGCGAATTTTTGGCTATAAAGCTCTTGACATTACATTCCGGTTTGCGGCTCATGATCTGCGTCCGAACTGTGTTATCTCCTACGATCGCAAGTTTCCCGCCATTGCAGATACTGCTGCCCTTGATATCCGTGATGCGTTGAAGGACTTCATACCAGCCGGTTTGTCATCCACCATACGCAGGGATGCTCTTCACATCTGCTGACTGCTTCCCTAGCTGCCTTCGCAAAAGCCAACGACTTCGAGAAGACTGTCCAGAATGACTCCTCTGCTCAAGAATTTACTCCACCTGGCAAGCTCGTCAAATCATACTCGCGAAAGGGTAAAAATTTTGAGATCTGGTCTGGATCATTACTGGATAGCCGAGTGCGGGAGACCATCCATCGGATGCAGATATTCATCTCGTTCTTTATAGAGGCAGGCACACCTCTCAACACTACGGACGCTGACTGGACACTGGATCGCTGGACCGTCTACTTCGTCTACGAGAAAAGCTCCCGGCCTTCACTTCCAACTCGATCTCCCTACACTTTCATCGGCTATGCCACAACATACCGATTTTACACCTTCCGACCGCGGTATCAAACGTCCACGGAGAGCGGCGGGGATACTCATGTCTCAGATATCGTTCTGCCGTCCAAAGAAGAGATCACCGCAGCAGCCCTTCCGTCACGACTGCGTATTTCTCAATTCCTCATCCTACCTCCTCATCAGGCTTCTGGACATGGTTCCGCTCTTTACAACTCAATATATTCCTACGCACTCGCTGACAGCACGATCCGCGAGCTCACAGTCGAAGATCCAAGCGAGGAATTTGATATGCTGCGTGACATCAATGATTGGAAAGTACTTGAACCCAAGTTTGCTGCTACTGATGTCAAAATCAATACATCTCCGTCCGATCCTTCGCAAAAACGCCGCTTAAGGCGGTTGCCCACCCCGAAGCTTCTTCCAATTGAGACCTTGCGGTCAATTCGCTCGGAAACAAAGATAGCTCCGCGACAATTCGCTCGTCAGCTTGAAATGTATCTTCTTTCACTGATACCGTTCTCACACCGAGCCGCAGGCGGGGCTAATCTCACCAAGCTGCTTATCCAGAAATCCAAGACGTCGAATCCTCATGATAAATTTTACTATTGGTGGCGGTTGATCCTTAAACAGCGCATCTTTAAAAAGAATAGAGATGTTCTGCTTCAGCTGGAGGGGAATGAGAGGCAGCAGAAGATAGATGAAGCTGCTCGAGCGCAAGAGGATGAGTACGAGAAGCTTCTGCTCATCTTCGCGACGTCGAAAGCTAAAGAGCTTCCGAAGAATGGGAATAGTGGAACGGCAGGCGAGGTGCTGGTGAAGGACCGAAAGAGGAAGCTGGTGCCTGATGAGGATGAGGATGACGACCCAAATTCACCGTCGCTCGAACCCGACGCGAAAGTAGCACGCAGCAACGGGAAAATCCACGATTCTGACCACTTTTAGTTCTAGCATGACGTCTTGGAGCTTGATGAAATTTGCATAGCGATGGCACAAAGTTCAGCAACGTTGGCTACAGGGAAATCTTAGTCCATATCGAGACTACACTTCATATGAGATCGGAATTCACAAACCTTGACTGTACTTTGAACTCTTCACATACTGAATCGAATTGTAGCAATATCTGCAGTCCCATCTGCAGTGAGGAGCTCTGTGCCAAGGCTCGATTGTGCGCTAACCTGATTGGTTTGCATCGTGACTTTCAATTGTCCCAAGACTCTTGAGATCGCTTTCCATTGGCAATTTATTTGCCCGAATTCATCCTCAGCTGCCTTCTGCCTTAGACTCTAAGCAGCTACCACTGGTGCGCAAGGAACAGACACTATTACGATATGTCTTTTTCCGTCCCAACCTCAACCACAGCGCGCTGCTGCAGATCTCTCCTCCGCAATTCATCCAAAACACCTCCACCATTACGCTGTATACGGTTATCCTCCTCAGCTTGCCTCGCCAATTCAAGACGGAAACATTCGAGAAGAGACTCGTCGAGACGATGGGCCAGCACAGATGTCTCAGCAGCTGCAGCGCCTACAAACCCAAAGATTTCGGGGATCGTGGATCAGATCAGTAAATTGACGCTGTTGGAGACTGCAGACTTGGTTGCGAGTTTAAAGGTAGGTTATACTACTTCTTGCATCTTTGGTAGCTTGCACGAGTCATTGAGCACAAGCTCTGATATGGGTAGCAGTGTTACGCCTGTTCAATGCTTGTTCCCTCTTCCCATCTGCATTTGTCTCCTCACCCTCCTTGCCCAATTAACACCATAATTCTCCTCTAGTCCCGCCTCAACATCCCCGACATGTCCTTCGCCGCACCCTCATCCGGCCCGTCATCCTCCTCTGCCGCCGCACCTCCACCTGCAGAAGAAGAAGAAGCCGCCCCAGCACCTGCCGCCAAGACACTCTTCACCCTGAAACTCGAGTCCTTCGAGGCGACATCAAAACCCAAGATCATCAAGGAGGTGAAGTCGATGCTGGGCCTGAGTTTGGTGGATAGTAAGAAGTTTGCAGAGAGCGCACCGAAGGTGTTGAGGGAGGGGGTACCCAAGGAGGAGGCGGAGAAGATGGTTAAGACGTTTGAGGCGTTGGGCGGGAAGGTGTCGATGGAATGATGGGGGTAAATATACGTGGTGTAGGTGAAAATAGTGGTTTGGGGGGACACGAGAAAGAGTATGAACGCTGATGCAATGTAAGCTCGACAAGACCTAGATTGTTAGTGAGCGGCCCAGCATTGGCTTGTACAAACACTGAACTTGAATTCCCAAATCATGATGCAGATAAATCCAGTACCTCAAAACCATATATTGTAGTATCACAAGTCATCTAGACTCAAGGGTATCAATAGTATTACTCCTTGCCCTCCCATCACCATTCGCCGCCCCCCTTTCAGCAGCAAGCAGCCCCCTCTCCTCTTCTCCATCACCACCATCAACGCCACGATTACCACCCTCCTCCCTCAACACCCCTACTCCGGCCACAAACCCCTCCCCATCCCCATTCCACCCCCGATTCTCCCTAGCACTAAGCAAACACCAAAGATCCTTCTTCGTCAGCAGGCCCTTCAACGCGCCTCTCTGCACAAAAAGCAGATATCGCAGCCCCAGGCGCTGGAACATGTTGACTGTAAGTTGGAGGGAGGATTCCGAATTGAGGGTTATAGGGGTTTGGTCCATCCAGGTGGGTGAAGAGACGGGGGGTGGAGGGGGGTAGGTTGCGTGAGATGGAGGGTGTGGGGGGCATAGAATTGGGGTCGTTGGTAGAGGAGGTGGTGGTGCTGGCGAGGTTGAGGGCGAAGGTCAGTTCGGTACGAGAAATGTAGCCGAGGAGGGTGTTTGGGGTTGTAGCGGTGGTGGATGTAGGCGCGGTGAAGGGTGTACATGTTCTTTCAGGCGTGTCGAGGGGGGAGAGGAGGTTTGACGTTGCTGGATTTGAGGAGGATGAGGCTGATATTATGACGGGGAAGCCGCGGAAGGTTGTGGTGTCCAGGAGGGTTCTTAATGATTCGATGGTGTGGGCGTGTTTCGCATCTATGCAGATCATTTCTTCGACTCGTGTCATGATATTGGATACTGTGACATCTGGGGCGGGCGTGTCGTCTTTGTTGTCGATGTAGGGATACTCGTTGAATTGGATCCAGGAATCGTAGATTCCCCGCTTAGAAAAGGCATCTCCGATCCATTTCGACAGCATTACTGCGATCATAATGGGAAGGACGTATGTAAGAGCCCCGGTCAGCTCGAACATGATAACTACAATCGAGACAGTCATCCTGGTGACACCTGCAAGAGCTGAGGCGGCACCAACAATGGCATATGTGCCTGGGGTGATGCAGGGAATATCTGGTTCGCATGCGGAGAAGATTAGAAAGTCGGGATGATGCTTCTGAAAAAGCTCGACAACGACACCTAACGCCCTTCCATAAAGTGCTCCAATTGCGAGCGACGGGAGGATGACACCAGCAGGTATTTGAAGTCCAAAGGTTATGGTAGTAAGTAGAGAGCCAAGTCCAGACGCTGTGAGCAACAGTGAGACCATTGAAATCGTACCGGCGGTCGTGGCCTTGCAGAGGCCAAAGATATCGTCTGTGCCGAGCTTGTCACATTCTGAAAATAAACTGTGCACAAGTTCGGAGTTCTGACCGCGCATCATCATGTTGGGATAATTGATGAAGGCAGTCAGGACGGAGACAAAGAGGACTTCCAGAACAGGAAAATCTCTCAGGGGGTTGGCGTTCGACTTTCGGAATTTGGCTACCAGCATATTGAGCTTGATGAACAAGCCGCCATATACACCACCAGTGATGCCAAGCAAAGCGAATGGTACCATCTCGAATCCATGCCAACCGGAGCTATATTCAACTTGGTAGAGCACGATTTTTCCGGTGCGGAAAGGATTAATAGCTTGCAATGTGACAGCGGCAACCATGGCACATACAAACGATTGCCACATCGTCTTGTCGGGGAAATAGTAGGAGAGTTGTTCCAGAGAGAAAAGAACGCCTCCGATAGGCGAGCCGAAAGCAACTGATATGCCAGAAGCAGCAGCAGCTGAAAGAACCTCGCGTTTTCTGGCTTCATTATTCTTAAGGGTATCGATAGGTTTCATGATGAGATTGGCGCAGCAGCAAGCAACATGAACAAGGGGTCCTTCTTTGCCTAGCCATAGCCCAGAAGCAACAGCTAGACACTGGTATAGCGTGTCAGTCTTGAGCAGTCGAGGAAAGATGTATACTCACAAGACCTAACGATTTGATAACCAGAGTCCAGAGACCCAGGAAACGCCGAATCACAAAACCTCCCAGAACCGTTTTGATTTCGGGTATACCACTATGTCTCGCATAAATCGCATAGGATTTCACCAGAAAAGCCGCACACGCAGCGAAGAGGACCTGTCTGGATTAGCACAGCGGGATAAGGGTAGATGTCGTACCATACAGAATACAAGACGAAGAATATGTACTCTACAGTGTAAGCACCACCCCGGGACGGAATATGTAGGGCTTCACGCCACGTTGTCCAGTCTTGACAATGAGATGGATCATCATGACCCCAGCAACAGAATCCTCGATGGAGGTAGAACCGGCCACCCTCTGCACTATTTCGGCAGTAACCGCTCTTAATATCACCCAGCCAGAGACTGACGGTGTCGATAGATGCGGCAAGCACACCGACTGTGACACCAGTGACTATGAGAACAAGCCATACGTGACTAGCATCCAGCACCCGCCTGGCGTAACCCACCAGGCCCGATGTGTTTGCATGGAGAACGCGGAGGCGCTGACGTTCTTTGGTATACTCAAAGATCCAATCAATGGTCGTCAAGTCATCGTATCCGACCCTCCTTCCTGGTCCTTCAACATACCAATCCAGAGGCGCTCCTTCTTTGGTTTCAGTCCAATTACCACTGGTAGGTGTTCTGATGTGACCAAGGCTGGTGCTAGATCCATTCTGAGAGCCCTGTTCTCGCAGGTCTCGAGCTCTACCACGCAGGAACTGTGGCGAAGAAGACACTCTTTCTGGTGAGTTGGACGATGAAGTAGGGAGTAGATTCGACAAACTGAATCGTGGCTGATGCTTTGACTTGCGCTTGAACGAAATCCTGCCAAACAGCAATCAGGTTGGAAAGGCGAGTCAGTTTGGCCCTGTACTTACGGGGCTGCAAGACCACCTCCTAGATCTCCCTGTGCATGCGTGTCAAGCAAGGCATCTTGTCGTGCATCTTTTGCGACAGGGTCGTCACCGTTGTCACTTTCGTCAGCTCCTTTGGCACGAGGAGAAGTGATGGAAAACTCTCCGGGGCGCTGAAAGCCACCTCTTAGACTTGACATGGTCCGTCATCAGGACTGATGATCGCGGGAAGGGGAAGTGAATACGATGTGTGATCTAAAAGCGCTTTGAGCAGTCAAGCGGTAGTGATCTCATACTTCGACAAAAGCACCAAATGCTAAGTAATCCGCGCTTCAGTTGAACTCCCTCGGCCCAGGCCATGATTTGTTTGCCTGGACTAGTCCCGGGCTTTAAGCTCTGCTGCGGGCACTCCCGCTGCTAGCGCAGGCGGATTTTACTCAAGCCCCGAGTCTATCAAAATTTATTCTGCGACCACATTTGGACCATACAAAGGCCTACGTTCTCGACGCGATGGCCATGGCGAATATAGCAATGCAGTGTGCCTGGGCCGACTCTCAGCTCCAATCAAATGAGAGCATTTTGGCCCAGCTTCCTCAGGAGATACTTGAGGTCATTCTTGCCTCAAATGATGGTCGCTACTTCGACACTCTTGCAAGGGCAGCACTGATTCCGAACCTCACTGACCACCTCTTCATTCTCTATGAGCCATTGATGGTTGAAATCGCTGCGAGATGGTGTCATCAGACCTCGACGGAAGATGCACAGATCAGCATTAATGTACTTGCGACCTTTGCACGCATATTGCCAGCGAAGCCATGCCTGAAGGTCCTGCTGAAAGAGTTCATCGAAACGTGCAAAAGCGGATTCCTCGGGAGCCTTGCAGAACCAGCTCAACTAATGTTGTTGGCCCTTGATGTTGATCTTCTGTCCTCATTTCTTGTGGCTTTATTTCGTTTGTACTCGCATGATATGACTACCTACAGCCGTCTTATCTCACCCGTTCAGCTCTCCTCTCTGTTGGGGCATGAAGACCCCTCTGTCAGGTATCTCACCGTTCGATGTCTTGCTCTGTACATGAAGCTGGCAGATGCTATGGTTGAGAGAATTATCTTGGAGCATGTGCCAGAGAAAGGGACCACTATCAAAGTTGATGGCGCACAGGCTCCTGCTCGGCTCTTCAGTCTGTGGGAGGAGCAACGATGGAGAAATCTCGTCGAAGCTCTTGCCAAAGCCGAACACGACCGTGCCCATTCTGCTGCTATTCCAATCAGGTCAATAACAGCGGTAATGTTCTCACCTAACACAGCGGTCCTAGCAGGTGTTCTCGTGCCACGCTCCAAGGGAAATCCAACAACTCCATCTTTCGTTGATACTCCCACTACCACAAGAAACTTCGTGAAGCTTGCAAACGCTATTCTCAATTCGAATGGGATTCTTCTCTCGGGAGCGTCAGGTTCAGGTAAGACCTTACTTGTCAACGAAGCTGCGAAGCTGCTAAACAAGTTACCTTATATGATCACCCTACACCTAAATGAGCAGACAGACGCCAAAAGTCTTCTTGGTATTTATACGACCTCCCCAAGCGATGGCTCCTTTATCTGGCAGCCTGGCGTACTCAGTCAGGCTATGGCGGAGGGCAGATGGGTCCTGATAGAAGATGTTCACCGAGCCTCGCCCGAAGTTATGGGTGTCATTCTTCCCATCCTCGAGCACGGAGAGATCTTAGTGCCAGGTCGCAATGAAACTATTCGCACAGCGACCGGGTTCTGTATTCTCGCAACCACAACCGAAAGTGCACTACGAGGTAGCGGCAGTGTTCGATCGCACCATAGGTGGAACTCGCGGTTTTGGAATGTAGTCGAAGTCGAGCCACTTCAATCGACAGAGCTAGAATTGGCTTTATCTACTCTATTTCCAATACTGAAGCCGCGCATCTTTCCGTTCCTTTCCGTACATGATCAAGTGCAGCATTTGTTTGAGCAACAAAACTTCAGGACTAGCCGGGTCAGAACCCCCGATTTGCGCGACCTACTTACATGGTGCCGGAGATCACAGTCACGTTTGGTAGCTGCTGGACTTCAGACCGGAGCAGAGCCAGTGGACGAGAACATCTTGGACAGTATTTTCAAAGACGCCGTCACTTGCTATGCAGGCCACATTCCCAGCCACGAACCACATTTGGCCGTTGCAAAATGCATAGCTGAAGTACTGCAAATTCCACCCAAGCGAATGCGCCATTGCGTATACGATCGCCTACCATCTTTGCGGGAAGAAGGCCGTAAGGTCATCATTGGAAGAGCCTCTTGTCCGATCATTAACAGCCAGGTCAATGACGTCGCTAGAAGCAGCAGGAGGCCCAAATCTGCGTTCGCCCTCACTAGAGGAACTTTAAAAACTATGGAAGAAATAGCCGCGGCCGTCGAACACGGTGAACCCACCCTTCTTGTAGGAGAAACTGGGATAGGTAAGACAGCGACGATCCAGCATCTGGCAACGCTTGTTGGCCAAAAGTTGAGCGTCTTTAATCTATCACAGCAGAGCGAAAGCGGGGATCTTCTCGGAGGGTTTAAACCGGTCACGACAAGGTCATTAGCTATTCCAATGTCCGAAACATTCGACCTACTTTTCGATAACACATTTTCACTTCGTAAGAATGCCCAGTTCCAAGCCTCGATCCGAAAGTGCATTTCGAAGGGTAATTGGACACGTCTGGCTTCACATTGGCAAGAAGCAGTGGACATGGCAGATAATACTCTTCGGCCTGGAACAAGCCCTGCAGACCAATTGGGAGACACCCAGCCAAATAAGCGACGCAAACTTCAGAATCCTAAATACGAAGCTCTTCGACAACGATGGCACGACTTTGCAACGAGACTATCACACCTCAAAGCTCAAGCATGTCGCGGGGACAAGAATTTTGCTATGACTTTCGTGGAAGGTAAGATTGTGCAAGCATTACGAGATGGTGAATGGGTGCTCTTGGACGAGATCAATTTGGCTACACCAGAAACGCTTGAAAGTGTGGCTGAGCTACTATACAATCACAACGAGCGAGCGCCATCATTGCTTCTCTCAGAATCTGGAAAGATGGAGCGTGTTGATGGACACCGAAACTTTCACATCTTTGCTGCGATGAATCCTGCAACGGACTCTGGCAAAAGAGATCTACCAGCAGGTATCAGATCACGATTTACGGAAATCTTCGTTCAACCTTCAGACAAAACGGTCGAAGAGCTCACTCTTCTTATATCTACCTATCTTGGGACGCTGCTGACTTCAGATGAGAAGGCAGCTTTTGACCTCGCCAAATTTTACCTGGAAATCCAGAAGATGAACGGTGAAAAGCGATTGACGGATGGGGCTGGTCAGGCACCTCATTTCAGCATTCGATCCCTTGTGCGTACCTTGATCTACACTAATCAGCATGCTTCAATATATGGACTCAGGAGAGCGCTTTACGAAGGCTCCTTGATGAGTTTTACGACAATGTTAAGCGTCAATTCGCAACAGCTTGTTAACGCGGCATTAGAGAGATGTTTGCTTGGTGGGTTAACGAATGTTCGGTCTCTGCTCAGCCAGAATCTAAAGACGGGCGCAAATAACGACTCATATGTTGTCTTCAAACATCACCTAGTCAAGAGGGGCAACATCAGTCCAGAGCGCCAACCTCATTATATCATCACACCATTTGTAGAACGCAACTTGCTGAATTTGGCGCGGGCAGTATCTGTACGACGTTTTCCAATCCTTCTTCAAGGACCTACTTCTGCGGGCAAGACAAGTATGGTAGAACACCTGGCAAAGGTCTCAGGAAATGAGTTCATCAGGATTAACAATCATGAGCATACAGACTTGCAGGAATATCTCGGCTCCTATGCTTCTGGTGAAGATGGGAAGCTGCAGTACAGGGAAGGAGTTCTGGTGGAAGCACTCCGCCGCGGACAATGGATTGTGCTTGACGAGCTGAATTTGGCTCCTACAGATGTACTTGAGGCTTTGAACCGGCTACTGGATGACAATCGAGAGCTGTTCATCCCAGAAACACAGGAGACGGTCAAACCTCACCCGAACTTTGTGCTATTCGCAACACAAAATCCTGCTGGACTCTATGGTGGTAGAAAACATCTCTCTCGCGCCTTCCGAAACCGCTTCCTAGAATTACACTTTGACGACATTCCAGAGGACGAGCTCGAATTCATCCTCAAAGAGCGCACACAAATTGCCCCATCATTCTGTACCAGGATTGTTTCTGTATACAAGAGACTAGCGATGATGAGGCAGTCAAGTCGACTATTCGAGCAGCGAAACAGCTTTGCCACTCTGCGAGATCTTTTCAGATGGGCTTCACGTCGGGCCGACGATCGTGAGCAGCTCGCACTAAATGGCTTCATGTTATTGGCAGAGCGAGTTCGAGATCCAACTGAGAGAATGGCCGTCAAGCAGATCATTGAAGAGGTAATGAAAGTCCAGATTCATGAGGAACAGTTTTATTCTTTGCGATGCCAATCTGTGTCTTTGCAGAATGCATCTGGTGTGATCTGGACACCTGGAATGCAACGTCTGCTCACGTTGGTCATGAGTGCCTTGGAGAACAATGAGCCGGTTTTACTTGTTGGCGAAACTGGCTCCGGGAAGACTCAAATCTGTCAAACCGTGGCCGAGATTAATGGCCAACGTCTTCATATGCTGAACGCCCATTCAAATACAGAAACCGGCGACTTGATCGGAGCGCAGCGGCCAGTCCGTAATAAGGCTGAGATCGAATCAAGGCTGCAGCATTCTCTTCAGTCTCTTCTTGTGAGCCACATGAACGGGGCCACTGAGTCTGCCTCTCTTGGAGAGCTCATCGACCAATTTGAGAGAGCTGACTTGTCCCGCAACGGGGACCCTCTCAACCTAGACATTAAGGCTAGTATCGCTCACAGTAGGTCCCTATTCCAGTGGGCAGACGGGTCCCTCGTTGTGGCCATGAAACGAGGTGAACCCTTTTTGCTAGACGAGATATCTTTGGCGGAAGACTCGGTTCTTGAGCGACTGAACAGCGTTCTGGAACCCAGTCGAAGCATTCTACTCGCTGAAAAGGGTCCCGATGACTCGTTTGTCCGTGCGACTCCTGGCTTTCATTTTCTTGCGACAATGAATCCAGGTGGTGACTACGGGAAAAGAGAACTCTCCTCCGCTTTGAGAAATCGGTTGACTGAAATCTGGGTTTCCCCACTGTCCGAGCAGAGCGATGTTCTACCAATTCTGCAATCAAAGCTGGGCCCCATTCTGCCTGAGATACCTCACGTCATGATCGAGTTTGCGCAATGGTTCCGTGGCACATTCCATACGCTCGATGCAACATCAGTCTCCTTGCGAGGACTGCTGACCTGGGTGGACTTCGTCCGCCTACAGCATTATGAGAATCCGCATCTCTCTGTTCTGCATGGCGCGGCCTTGGTTTTCATTGACGCCCTAGGCGCAAATCCAGCGGCACTAACCTCTGTGAAGGCAACCAATGTCCCACAAGCCCAGCGACTCTGTCTCAAGAAGTTGGGAGCACTTCTCGATCAAGACGTATCAACAGAGTACTTTGAGACGCCCTCTGTCGAGATAGGCGCTAGATTCGTTCAATGTGGAAGTTTTCGCATTCCGTGCGGTACCTATCAATGCTCAAGGCCAGACTTCGTGTTTGATGCTCCAACTACCAGAAAGAACGCTTTGAGAATTCTCAGGGCACTCCAGCTTCCTCGCCCCGTACTTCTCGAGGGAGATCCTGGAGTAGGTAAAACCGCGCTCGTGGAAGCCGTGGCGCAGGCCGCTTGCAAGAAACTTACGCGCATTAATCTTTCCGACCAGACCGACCTCACGGACTTGTTTGGCTCAGATGTTCCCGTCGAGGGCGGGTTGGTGGGCAACTTCAGCTGGCGTGATGGACCCTTCCTTCGAGCTATGGAGAATGGCGAATGGGTACTTCTCGATGAAATGAATCTCGCGACCCAATCCGTGCTAGAAGGGCTGAACTCATGCTTCGATCACCGCCAACAGATTTACATTGCTGAACTTGATCGGACTTTTGTACGCCATCCAGATTTTGTCCTCTTCGCTACACAAAATCCCCATCATCAAGGTGGTGGTCGAAAGGGTCTTCCAACTTCCTTCGTTAACCGATTCACCGTAGTGTACGCGGATGCCCTTACCCAGGCAGACCTGATAATAATATGTCAGCGCAGGTATAAGGGAGCAAAGCATGATGTTCTCCATCATATCATATCGGCAGTTTTAGAAGGCCATAACTTAATTCTATCTGATCGATCTTTTGACTCTAATGGTGGGCCATGGGAGGTCAACCTTAGGGACATTGATAGGTGGTTCAGCCTCTACAATCGGTACGATGGCAAAGTCGATCCAAGCCAATTTCATGATCTGGTGATCTCCCAACGATTTCGTACGCGTGGCCAGCGAGACACAATCCGTAATAATTACGCGGAGAATCTACGTGATAAGTCGATCGCTAGCATGTTCAACACTTTGTCGTCTTCCTGTTATCAGCTCGGCCTTGCTTTCCTCAAAAGAAACGAAGATTACCAGCCGGCCAAAAGCGAGGCTGGTATAATTCCGACTCATCTTCTGCCTTACGCGGAATCCTTAATTCATTGCATCAATCAAAAGTGGCCGACTATTCTAGTGGGTGATTCGGGAAGTGGTAAATCCACTGTCATACGAAAGCTTGCCGCTCTCCATGGTGCACGACTAGTGGAATTCTCAGTGAGCGAAGACTTGGACACAGTGGACCTTCTTGGTGGGTTTGAGCAACTACACCAAGATCGTGCAGTATCAAGAGTTCTCGATTCAATTCGTCAGAGACTTCTTCCCAGCTTGTTGTGTTGCATATCTCAAACTAGCCCTGACAGCAGTCTTTACAGCTTACTACAACTTTATCATATGTGCAATATGAAGCAAGTTGAGCTGAAGACACTGCAAGCCACATTAGCTCCAGTTGTTCAGAGATTTCCTACATTGCTTGAAGATGTAAACATTATGGAACCTTCAATTATTCGAAAATTCGAAGCACAAGAGCCTCGTTTTGGTTGGATTGATGGAGTGCTAGTGGAGGCAGTTGTGAAGGGCCATTGGCTTGTTCTTGATAACGCCAATACTTGTAACTCGGCTGTTCTCGATCGATTGAACTCACTTCTAGAACCCAATGGGTGCTTAATCGTCAGTGAGCAGCACGAGGGCGATGGAAGCCCCCGGATCATACGCCCTCATAATGACTTTCGAATATTTCTGACCATGGATCCGCGGCGAGGCGAGCTCTCTCGGGCTATGCGAAATCGGTCTGTTGAGATCTGCCTGCAATCAACGGACATGGTTCAATCTTCGTCTCGTCTACCATCATACTCAACAGAAGCAGCTTCTTTCCAATGGCGCCGCTTGCAAACCATCTCCTTGTTGCAGAATGAGGCACCTCTTCAAGCCGCTGTCACAGCTGTTTGTGCCGACCATCTGTCACTTCGAGAATGTCTATGGAGTATTTCGTCGCCCGAGTACGAGTTGCTGACAGGGGAGAACAACAATCATATCATCCATGAGCTGGCGCATTATCATTCCCTACCGGACTCGCTGTTCAAACGTATACAGAATTTTTATAACGAGATGGCCGAATCCTGTCCAGGGCTTGAACAGGCAATGGATGACCAGCCGCTACACGCAGAATCAAATGAGCCCTTGATACAGATGACTGGGGATCATGTGCAGGGGAAGAAAGCTGCTGAGGTTGGCTGGCTTCTGGAGTCATTCTTGACCTTGTCCCGAACCCGAAAGCTTGTGTCGGACACAGGCGTGCGAGCCCCAAACTTGCCGGTATCTGATATGACGATATTAGAAAGGTCAATAGTTGCACAAAGAGATCCACATCGAGCCTCCAACATGGTTCAGCCGGTCTCGAGACTTGTTGAATCCCTCATATCTGCTGCCGATGAAACGCTTACGTCTTTAGTGATCAGCTCCTGCAGCCATGGAGACCGACCTGCCAACTCCGTCAACGCCATCTTGAATTTCTTGAAAGACGTAGTGGACATGAGCAGACTTCCTCGCATGCGAGCTGGTTTGCTACCAATATATGTACAGCTCGGGGAAGAACTTTTCTCTAGAACTTCTTCAGTATATCCTGCGACCGCGGAGCTACTCAAATGTTCGCTAGCAGCTTTTGGCACGCATATAGATTTACGTTATGGTCGAAGCCTGACTCAACTTTGGAGACACTGGCGCCCTAGATGTGCTGCGAATAGCAGTCAGCTTGATTCATTGCTGAAACTGGACTACATTATGCAGGCATTCGATATTGCTTGTCGCAAAGTCCGCTTCGTCCGCCAAATGGTCAACGTCCAAAGAGAACTTTCGGCAACGCGAAATGCTATTCTTGACGGATCCGACAACGTAGTTGCACTGCTGGCAGAGCTTCAAACCATCATCTCAAGTATCACCCCACCCGTTGAAATCGACAACGAGCAGCGAACAAACTACTTTGCCGCTGAGTTTGAGGCCTTGTGCCAGTATCAAGACCTTGATCAGGGCGGCACTTGGGACCTTTTAGACGGATCTGGTGAGCAATCAACCCGAATATATGCTGCTCTTCTTGCTGGGAGAAGTACGAAGCATATTGGTTTCCAGACCAACTCAAACCTATGTCAGACCATGTTTTCGCGAACAGCGTCCTTCGCAGGCTGGAGCAACCCACTCGTCAAGGTTGAGTCCTGGAAACAAACCTTTGCCCAAGACCTTTTGCAGAGACTTAGTCGTTGCCGTAACGAGCCACTGCAGCGTTTAGACAGTCTGACGGAAGAATTGTCATGGCTGTCCAGTTTCACTTCGGAGAGCACACGATATTTCAGCAGAAATCAAGTTGGTCTTATCAGAGAGGAACTTGTTAGCCTGATACGCGGTGTAGTCCTATGCCACCAGGACTTACTCAAGGAAGAACTGCGGCAGCCTCGACCGACCTTCATTGGAGCATTGATGGCAAAGGATATCTTCCATGAGAGTGTGCCAACCGAGCATCATTTTCGACATATCTGGGAAATCTATCTATATCCAGCCTTGTCACTTGCGACTTCTCAACTAGGATGTGATCAACACAAAACAGTCGGTGCAGGTCTTGTCTATTTCGCATTGGCATCCCTTCAGTTGTGGGTCCCCGATAGACCTACCGATCCGGCACTTGCCCTTATAGTTCAGCGAGAGCAGTATCAGCGGCGGAAGACTGAACTTGAGACTAAGCTTCAGGCTTTGAAGATTTATGCGTCCACTTTTTCTGGTCAGGAGACAAGCTTGAGGATACGTAGGCTAGAGCAAGAGATAGGCCTGATTGGAAAGGAGCCACCTCCACCGCCGGTCGTTCGGTTGGAAGACGTCAATTTGCTCCAGGTTCAAGCTGAGTTCTCCAACGTTCTCATTAGCATTGTTGCCAAACGCCCAGAAACCATTCTTTTGGCATGTGTTGAAGGACCTTTTGAAGACGGGAAGATATATGCTTCTCAAAGATCGGCGGAAACCGACCTCTTGAGACGGAACATTGAACAGATGATACAAAGACTTTCTCAAAGTCCACATGAGTATGACGATCTTACTGTCCCTGTTGTGCATTTATTACAAATTCTAGATCTTGGTGCGAAAATACTTGAGTGGAGCGGAAGAGAACATCAGCCAACCCAAGAACGTCAAGCGATCACCTATATCGTGGAGCATACCCCACTGCTTGGAGCGACGCCTGCATCATTGAGTGATAAAATTGAACGACATCTCGGCGATGGAGAAAAAGCTATCCGCGAACTGCTCCATCTCCAGACAGCCAGCGTGGTCGCGAGTGTTTCTCCCAGAAGTCTGTCAGATCCTATTTTGCAGGCAGGAATATTATCATCATTTGAATCCTGCTTTGCCGAATGGAAAGCTCATCTAGAAGTCGATCAATCCAAGGAGGCACAAAGAGCTAAGTATTATGAGTATCGAGGTCACGATGTCAATGAAAACGTGGTCGACATGGAGGAAGTTAAAGAGATTTTTCCAACCTTTGATGGCGATGTGATTCCTGACACGAAAGTGGACAAGATGCAAAACTACGATTCAAGGGTATTCACACTTAAGGTGGCCAAGCTACATGCAAGCATATTTTCACCAGATTCAGGTGGTCCTCAGCTAAAGCGTCATATACTTCTGCGGCTGGATTTTATGGCACTGCTTTTGTCCACTTGCGACGCCGATCATTCTTTCGTCCCGCCATTGACAATGCTCCCGGCCTTGGTTCTGCACCTCAATGAACAGATGCAATTTTTCGAAGGCGGAGGAAGCGCAAAGGAGGGCAGTATCTATGTAGATCCTAATGTGAACGAAACACGCAAGCTTCTGAGCCTGGTGCACCGAATCGGGAACCACGTCCACACGATCGCCGAAATGTGGCCCGAACACGCGCTTCCTCAAGATATACTGGCGTGCTGTCATGATATTCTCCGTCTCCCTATCTCCGATCCACTTGCCAAGTTGTTCACGAAGACCGAAAGACTGCTTTCCTTCCTCAACGAATGGCAGATAGTTGCTAGCCGGGAGTACTCTGTTGTACCATTCATTGACGAGCTGACAGCCTTGATAATTAGTTGGAGAAGACTGGAACTTTCGTCATGGTCACGTTTACTTGTGGCGGAAAGCTCAATATGCGAAGAGGATGCTAAATTGTGGTGGTTCATGGTTTACGAAATCGTGATATCCATTCCACTGAGACTGATCGATGAGGGCAATGACTGCGCTAGCCATTCCCAAGATCTCGTGGGCACTTTGATCAAATTCCTGCAAAATTCGAGGCTAGGACAGTACTCACCGCGACTTCGAATCTTAGAGAACTTTCGTAACATGACAGAGTGGCTGATGCGCACCGGTAAGCCGCTGGGCACTGTCGACCTGGCTCTACTTAATGTCATTGAGCATTTCAAACGATATGAGCCCATCTTCCAGAAAACCCTTCTTCAGGGCAGAGAAAAACTGGAATATGAGGTGAGAGAGCAGATCAAGCTTGCAAGTTGGAAAGATACCAATGTGACCACTTTACGTGAAAGCGCAAGACGTTCTCACTACAAGCTGTTCAAAATTGTTAAAAGGTATAGAGCGTTATTAGCACAACCAATTGAACACTTCAGTGCTCCGGACGTCCGACTTGACCGACCTAGACTTTTACAGATCACCTCGTTCGCCACTCTGTCTGTAGATAAGACTCTAATCAAAGCTCTTCGTGTGGTTGAGCAAGACGTCGATGGCTGGGACAATGCGCCGCGGAGACTTCGCGAACCTCGAGGAGCTGCTGAAAGTATGCTTCGATTGTACGAGTCATCGCAGGGCGACCTTGATGTTGGATCCCAGCTTTATGAGTACGTGCGCAATCTCACAAGCGCAATGACCGAACTGCGGTCGGAAACCCCATCGAAGACTGATGGCGATAGTCGCGCCCTATTACTGCATCTAAAAGCCCGGAAACGACGGCTGCTCGCAGATGTCTTGAAAGACGTACGCCATATGGGAATTCGACGTAATCTCAACACGCAGGAGCTTGAGAGACAACAGTCGCTTAATACGGTTCTAGGTGCAACTACTAGCTTAAACGATTATAGCACGCTACTTGGTGAAATCAAATTTGCCGCGCGTCTCTCAGCTGCTAGAGATTGTTTTCATGGAGTATTGGATCTTATGGACCGGGCAAGAAAGGGTCAGGAAGACGGATCTGAAGATCTAACCAGTTCCGAAGTGGGACGATGCATTGGGTCGCTAGAGGGTTTCCTGCTTGTGATACAGAACCAGCGGCACGCACTAGATGATACGCTGAAAGATCTGACGGTACTTCAGCAGTCTTCTAAAAGGCTTTGTGGCCTTCACTCGCAGGATGGCTCGCGTTGTGTCGCTCTGCCTCCATACAGCATAATTAAGCACGGGCAGCTGAGATGGGCAGTTTCTTGGTTGCCTCAGATACTGGAGGTGGCTTGCAGTGTACTACAAATCCAGGTCAAGCACAGTGAAAAGAAATATACAGACATCATCAACTCCTTCAATTCCTACCAAGCACATTTCAAGGCTGCTGGACATGAGCTGAAAGGCAGACTGGATGAAGATTTGCCGGAGTGCATTCAGAGTCATCAAGCCTGTGTAACCATCGATCATCTACAATCTTTACTTGCGAAGCTCCGCAAAGACCTTGATTCGTGGATTGTCAACGAACCCGATGCCGCTTATCTCCTCATGCAACTATTACCATGGACGGATTGGAGTTCTGTTTCCATCAACAACGTGACCATAGAAGAGCGAAGCAGTCTGCAGTTTGATGATTTCAAAAGCCGAGCTTTGGCAGCGGTTGACAAGGTTTTCGTTAGCATGCAGAGACATTCTGGGTTTGCCGAAAAGTTACCGAAAACGGTTGAGGATGCGAAATGGCTCGTACACAGTGACGAGATACTCAACTTGTCTATCAGATCGTTCCACATAAAAGAAGTTGCTACTGAGATTAGCGACGTCATGAACTCCATTGCCACGTTTGAGGAAGACGATTTCCAGAAAGCGATATCGTTGTGCGTTGTCTTCACACCTATATTCACACAATTTCTGGCCATTTGTGAGCATGCTGTTGAAAGATATGCCAACTTGCACGCGGAGACATGCGGACTAGCTTACATATTGGTCAAGTCATTCAATCAGATCGCTTCTGAGGGCTTCTGCGGTCCAGCCGACGGTCTCTCCACTGCAGAAGAAAGTACAGGCCAGCTAGAGCAGGGCGTAGGTCTTGCTGAAGGAGAGGCTGCTGAGGATATCAGTAAGGATATTGCAGATGATGAGGAGCTTTCCGAATTAGCTGAACAGCAACGCGAAGAAGGATCAAAAGAAGAAATTCACAAGGAGGAGAACGCAGTGGATATGGGCAAAGACGATTTGCAAGGTGAAATGGACGAGCATGGCGAAGCCGATGATAAAATAGGCCAGGACAAGGCTTCTGATTCAGAAAACTCAGACGAGGACATGGATGAAGAGACTGGGAGTGTGGATAACTTAGATCCTTTAGCGGTAGATGAGAAGATGTGGGAGGGCCTCGCCAACGACAGAGAAAAGGAGCTTGAGACGGAGGATGGACCAGGGACATCAACAAACGAGAAGACCGCAGCTAGTGACAAGAAAACCGACCGGGATGTTGGGCCTGAGGAAATTTCGGACGAGCACGACGAAGAAGGATACCAAGGTGATGAAGACAATATCAATAAGCCACAAGCCGACAACGCTGATCCACACCTTAAGCAGGACCAAGCACTAGAGCTCCCAGAAGGGATGCAGCTCGATGGCGATCAAGAAGCAAAGGAAGAATCAATCTCGAACGATGGCTTGGATGAGTTCTCGGATGCTCATGATGAAGCGGAATGTGACCCACCAGTTGACGAAAACGGTAACGAAGAGCAACTAGAATGCAATGACCAGAGCGTGGAGCTAGATGACACGAACGAAGGCACAAACGTTGAATGTCAGGCGGAAGAGGGCGAAATCATGGAAGATCAGATAGCTTCAGAGCAGGGGGAGCAACTCAGAGAGGATCACTTCCAGACGAGACAGGATGAGAACCAGAATGTTGCTGAGAATGATGGTGGTGCGGAAAATGGTGTCTCAGGAGAAGCAGCTGATCTTGACAAAGAGCATGACGCTAAGGCCAGCTCTTCTGGTACAGCTCCAGAGACTGAGTTACCTCCAGCTAGTCAGGAGCAGCATGACGATTCAAGGGCTGATCCGCAGGGAGGTACACGCAGCGAAGCAAAAGACCAAATTGGCAAACACGCCGATCCATTAGAAAAACGTGAAGCAGAGGCGTTCAAGAAGCTAGGCGATGCATTACAGAAATGGCATCGACAGCAACGTGAGATCTTGCAACCCTCCGATGTGGACAGACTGAAACAGGATGACCTCGAGCTCGCGGATGCAGACTTTGAACATGTGGAGAACGAGCAAGATCAAGGCGACAGCCAGGCTCTTGGAGAAGCCACTAAAGACGAAGCACGAGCACTTAATGATCGTTACGCTCTGGAAGACCCACAAAACCAATCGAACGACGGCGCAGCAGCGCCTAAATCCCATGAATCAGAAGAGAGCTCGCCGCAAAGCGGACTTGACCAAGCGCAAGAGGAAACAACAGGTCGTGGCCCAGATGAGCGACATCAAGAAAGTGACGCCTTCATTGCTGACGGTAGTAGAAACACAAATGCCGAGGATTTTGCGAATGGCACTTACGCAGAAGATGATCTGGACGACGTCAAACATGAGCTCTCCATCGTTGACTTACCAACAACCGAGCAACCACCGTTAACCTCCCCAGAAGAAGCACTCCGCCTCTGGTCGCATTACTCATCGCTCACCCACCCTCTCTCTCTCATCCTAGCCGAACAGCTCCGCCTGATCCTCTCACCCACCCAAGCCACCAGACTCCGCGGCGACTTCCGCACGGGCAAACGCCTCAACATCAAACGCATCATCCCATACATCGTATCCAACTACAAGCGCGACAAGATCTGGATGCGCCGCTCCATCCCCAGCAAGCGAAACTACCAGATCATGCTCGCAGTCGACGACAGCAAATCCATGACCGAAGGCGGCGCCCACGCCCTTGCCTTCGAAACCCTAGCACTCCTCTGCAAGAGCCTGAGCATGCTCGAAGTTGGCGAGGTCTGCGTCGTCAGTTTTGGGGATGAAGAACATATCCGCGTTGCGCATGGTTTTGGAGCGCCATTCACGAATGAGAGCGGGGCAAAAATCTATCAGAATTTCAGCTTCCAGCAGAGCGGCACGAATGTGAGGAGGCTGATTGAGGAGTCTATCCATTTGTTTCGGGATGCGAGAGCTAAGGGTCCGACAACGACGGCGGATCTGTGGCAGCTGCAACTCATTATCTCGGACGGGATTTACGAACATCACGATCTCATCCGTCGCCTTGTAAGGCAAACATCCGAGGAACGCATCATGATCGTCTTTGTGATTGTGGATAGCAACGGCGCAAAGGGGAATTCGATCATGGATCTAACGCAGGCCGTGTTTGAGGCTGTCGATGAGGAAGAAAGTGACGGGGTAGGAAGATCTTCGGGAAGAGAGATGAAGTTGAAGATGAAGAGGTATTTAGATGGCTTTCCGTTTCCTTATTACGTTGTTGTAAGGAATGTGGCAGATTTGCCGGGCGTTCTGGCTACGGCTTTGAAGGGATGGTTTAGGGAGGTTGTGGATGTGCGGTGAGATTACCAGATAGGCCGTAATACATAGACCTCTTTGCTTCTACGGAATTGTCAGAATGAAAGATTTCCAACACGTTGATGGTTACATTTTTCTACCTGTTCTCTATATGGCTATGCTAAAAGGAAAAGCTGCGGTATATATCCATTGCGTGCATACACCCTGCTCTATATTCTTCGACGCCACTCTGCATGCAACACTGATTAAAGCTTGAACGTCTTCTCACGCCAACAGCGACGAGTTTTACACTGACAACTATATCCCCATGTTCGTCTGGAAATGATGCTAAGCTCCGTAAAATGAAACGTTGGACTGAGTTGAGGGATACCGCCGTCCTAGGGCAGATTTTCCGGCTCAAAGTTCGAAAATCCATGGCTTGCAAGGGGAAAGTTGAATGTAGGAGAGCCATCGCCGCGTACACTAGGGCTCTGTGTTGTAGTATCAGTCGATCGATCGGGCATGTGGTAAAAGCAGCGTACACTTGTGCTTGGGTCATGCGGACATCTACCATGATTAATTATTGGATGTCTAGTGGCATTACACCGAGAGCGCCGAAGACCTTGTCGACTGGGTTTGTGGCTTCTCTTTCTACCATGGAGTACAGAACTGTTGATGTCCTGGCCACCGGATGCCATTGATGGTCAGGGGTATCAGGTCTTTCTTTGTAGTTTGCAAGGGCCACTTATGACCTAAACGCTCGTTGAATCGCCTCGTAACCATTCTTATGCGTGATGAAGGCTGATAGCACCTTGAGCATGCCAAAAAATTCGACAAGCATCTCAAAATCGGTACTTTTGCCCCGCAAAGAAGGGTTGTATTGCCATTCAACAGCACCTCTTGCAATACCCATAATCGATTAAATCATGCACGAGCAAATACTGTCCCGAAAGGCCCCAAAAGGGAGTATTTCATGATGGGATTTCCAGGAAGATGAATCTAGCTTCGCATTCTCATTGTTTGAGTCCGCAGGTGCATTTCTAACTTTGCTCTGAGGACTGGAATTTGAGCGCGAGCATATTGCTCTTCCTTTGAACCACTACCCCATCAGAAAAGCACCTCCGCTGCCTTGCTGTAGGTTTCACCCCATCAGCGAAATTCGCCTACTCTTCTCTCAAATCATCATTTTGGTTGATACAGATGGCGTCAATCCATATGAGCCTTGGACGACAAAGTGAGCTGGCTTGTTGTAGAAAGTTACCGAGATTTTTGTACACGGTTAGCCCTTAGCCAGAGCAGATAAAGTCCAGCTTGTTACCTGGATTGCCCTAAGTATAAGACAGTGCTTCAAAGCCAGGATTGTTGTCTAGACTGACCACGACATAACCCCTGAACCTGGGTCTGAACCATGTTGAATGGTTAGGAGGCGAATATGGTGTTCCGGCAATTTTTTATACTCATATACTGGGGGCTTTTCAAGAAACCGGGAGTCTTAAGGGGATCTGGGTGCCTTGTCGTTCTGCACTCGAAGCAGACCCAGTGGCTGTGCCAAGCAGTAAAAACTGTGTTATGGAAATGGTTAGCAGTCTAATTTTTCACTAAGGATCCTTCATATATTTGGCATGCCTGTGACAGACACTCGTAGAGCTCATAGATAGTCTGAAAAGCTTGTCTACGTGTTAATGTAAGAAACTATGGCTTTGTAGCCCTCTTTTGTTATAGATTCTGTCTCCTGCAGCTGCTGGTGCTGTGTGGCTGACTTCCGGAAGTAGCTAATATCCTGTTATGGTTCACATCCTGTTGTGGCCGGCCTTCTTCATCACTAAGGCTGTGTTATCGCCTATTTCTTAGCATCGCCCATCTTTCAATAGCTGGCTGCCGCGCTATGGCTACTGCATTATGGCTACTGTCCTATTTGGGGAATCTTGCCGGTTTGCCCATGTGATCTATCGGCTATAGCCGGTATAGAATTTATGGCGGATAGGGGCGGCCTTGGCATTGATTCGCATCTTGATCATGATGGTGACATCTTGTTCAACAACACTGACTGAAATTCAACCTCCATGAAGAACAAAACACTGTTTTGATTTAGGGGGGAGAGGGCGTGCGATTTAGATCATGGCTATTCTCTTGGATGTGTTTGTCCGTCAGGACATTCACGTGCAAAGGCAGCAGTACGTGAGCTTGTGTTCAGCCAATCAAATGTGGTACTTACAGACGAACGCCTTAAGTACAGGTGTTCTAGCACAGCTTCACATCGCTAGATCAACCGCACCCTCTGTCGATTTATGTTAGCTTTGTCTCAGGATATCTCAACGCTGCCCACTTCTGTCACCAAACGATTACCACACATTCATCATGGGAGGAGGACCGTCAGCAGAGAAAAATGAGCGTGACGCCCGCTATAAAGCAATTCAAGAGGAAAAGGCTTCCCGCTTTGGCGGTCGGTCCAGACTCCCGGTCTGTAAAGCCTGCTTTGAAAGCCATGTCCGCTGCCCTGGCCCAGAAATTGATGAAAATGACAACTATGACTACGACAAGAAGTGTTTGCGATGCATCAATGACGACCTTGAGTGTGACTTCAAAAGCAAGATGTCTTCGCTGTAAGTGCTGGCCATAATAATGCATCTGGCGACTCTTTAAATGCTGCACCGCTCTACCAGATCACTAACCATCATTCATTGCAACTAGTGCTAGACGGACCCTGGACGCTATGACAGAAGAAGAGCGAAGCATAGCCATGAGAACAAACAAAGAAAGGGGCAGAATGCATCCACGAGAGGCTACTATGCACAACCATCCACGGCGGCGGCGACTCAATCACTCTGACCGTATTTCCTCCAGGATTCCCGCCTCTCATCTTAGTGGATCAGCCATTCGAGCACGTGAGCTTCAGCCATCTAGCAATACATCTAACCAGCCGTTCACGACTCAGCCATTCGCCACTCAGCCAGTCGCTATCCAGCCGCTCACTACCCAGCTGCCTACTACCCAGCCGTTCATCACCCAGCCGTTCACCACCCAGCCGCCTACTATCCAGCCGCCCACAATCCAGCCATTCACCACCCAGCCGTTCACCACCCAGCCGCCCATCACCCAGCCATTCACCCCCCAGCTATCCAGCCTCATCCTACCGGACGGCCGCCTTGTTGAATATACCGCCCAGCCATCTCAAGTCATCCTGCCTGACGGCCGCATCATTGAATACACTATCGTTCCAGCAGAGCACGTCGACAATGCCACCCGTGAGCACGCCTATGAAGCAACCTCCCATGATATAGCACAAGCTATACAGGAACAAGAAGACCGTAGAATGGCGCATCGCTTGCCTCCTCAGTCAATGTACCCAGACCCCTCCGCCTATGAGGAAGCTCCCACCACCCCACTGTGGTGATAGGAAGGCAAGGCAGGAGAAATGCCAAGGATTGGTAGATAGGGGTGCTAGCTTGGCTTGGTAATGGGGTGATAGATGGGAGCTGGATGAATTAGCGACCTCCGAGGCTGCAGATTGGCTCTTCATGTTACAATAGTTCCAAAATTGAGATGAATCAAAGATTCATATGCACCACCAGTCCTCTCTCCCAACTTCTATTTCATTGGTGACCTCCCATGCTGTAGATCATGACATGAGATTCTACCCAAGAAAGTCTTATCAAAGAATTGTAGAGGTGGGCAGTAGATGGAGTGGTGTCCTTCTAAGATACGCATAATCACAGTATGTCTCAATATCCAAATTCCTAAATACAAGCACAAAACATGTTGGTGTCTTCCCCTTCAGTATGCGATCTATGTAGTCGCGAAAGAGAGGTCAGTGGTATCAAGAAGGTCTTGTGTTAGACTTTGTTGATCTGGTTCCTTTGCTATACTGTTGCAGGGTCCTCCTCTACCACAACGATCTCTGTCCATTCACGAGCTTGTAGTATTGTACTAGTCCGCGAGCCCCCTGCCTATCTTCCTTGAGCTGTAGGGTTGCTTGATAGCAGGAGAAAGAAGATTTCGGATTCTAAACTAGAAGCGTAAGACGGGTCCCAGGTGCTCCCTTTGGACTCTGAATTTGAATGCAATAATGGAACTGGTAAGGTATTGGGGGGTCTGATGCTCTTGTTACCATCAGTCGTGACTTTCTTGCGAACACAGATCATGGCACATGAGTCCCTGAACTTGCGAGAGGAGGCCTTGCAAATCGGTTTGCCTGATCTTGATACTGAAACGAAACAATGCAAGATCAACAAGGTGGTGACATGGATATGTCTGAGCTAGTTCATGTTTCGGACTGAGACGTGAAATATTGGAGTGAAGGGTGATACAGAGAATAAGTTTGGATCACTAGTCGCATATATACCTACTGTATTGCAGCAACCTGTAAGATTTGTAATATCCTTTTCGTGAAGGACATGTTCCTGCTGTTTTCCCAACACTAGTCAACTGTTGACGAGAAGTTCGTTGTTGAAAAGATGATTCAAGCAGAGGGATGGCTGATCGACTCAACAAGAGTCTGTGGAGTTATGCAACAAAAAGTCCTTAGTATGTGCTTCAGTGTAAAGATTAATAGTACACTCCAGGGGTGCAGGCCTAGGGTGCCCGCTATCAGCTCCCTATTTTCATATACCTAGTGATGGGTCCCTACTTGGTGACTGTTTAGCCTGCGTTTTCGGACCCCAATCCACCTGTGGGTTAGCATTTTATACCGCTAGGCTGCCCCTTAGTCTCCGCCACCTGCTGTGACTGTGTAGTATACTAATACTAGAGAGGCTAGCTTTGTCTGCCCCAAGTCAACGGAGCCTCTATCAAAACAGGCCGAAACAATTACGTAGTAGACACACTCCTCATAAATCACTACATCTACTCCGTATCCAAACCAGTTTTGTATCGCATTGAAGTGATGATGTCAATATTCATCCTATTTCTGATCGTTGAAATCCTTTAAAAATACCAAATCATCAGTTTCCTGTGATTTCCCACTTCACCCTTCAGGTCATTCCTTTCTTCATATGCAAATATGTTGTCCAACGGAAATGGTGAGTCTTATGGCAGTGTTTCGAATGCCTTGGCACAACCTAAGGCCTACCTACTGCAGGATGCACAGTCACCATATGCTAACGCCGTGCGGAGACCTGCCATAGCCCCAACCACCGGTCAAGTGAATCCATGTACAGGAGGCTTGGAGCCGCCTCCTCAAGTCATTCTAGATGTTCAGCAGACCACCAAAGAACCCGCCACGTGTGTTTCACGGAATAAATCCGACATCCTCGCTACTAAAACTCCTTCGATAGGACAGCCGACTACCCCAAACCCAAAGACTTCTCGATGGGGACTGAATCAGCCACAGAATATTCAAAACCCGCGGACTCCACAGAACGATTCATATAAACAGCAGCATAACCCTGCACCGGCTATATGCGAATCCAGAGAGAGGATACTTCGTCAAAAACAGAATATTGGGAAATCTCATGCTTCGCAACACGGCACAAGCGCGCAAAAACTCGCTGTCCGGGACCAGCAGGCTTCAGAACGTAATGCACTAAAGCGAGAGATTGTCGAAGCTCCACGAACTTCCAAAGCAAGTCCAATTCGCCAGAAGGCTGGAGAAAGTCCACCGGCCTCAAGCGGTAGTCTGTCTCAACAACAGCAAAATGCTCATTTAGGTGAAGACCCCGAGAGACCAATCTTAGATCGAGACGTCAGGCAATCCAAGTCAAACGACCGACGAAATCAATCATTGGATGCAAATAAGCAAGATGAATTACATAAGAGGAGTGAAAGCACAGTTCAGGTTCGATTTCTAACGACCCTTGATTGTCAGTTTAAGATTCCCGATCAGTTTTATCCTCTCAGAGCGCTTATACCGAATTTTGCGGCGCTTTATAATGAGCGGCGAGTAAACGATCATTATCCCCGAATGGAAGCAAAAGATTTACCGCCCTTCTTCCGTCCCTTCAATCAGTTAGGACCAGAATTGTCAAAGGATAAATGGACGATATATAATGCACAGGGTGGAATGCCATATTCAGACCCCGGTAGGTTCTTTCTTCTAGTGAAAATCGTATAGGGATACTGACCAAACAAAAGACTCCTTTTGGCCTACTCTGCTATCACCGCTTCTCTCTATGTCTGGAAATGGTTTAGAAAAAGCAGTCCAGATAGCCTGGGCAGAATTCGAGAGATATTTCGACTTATGCCCACACTGTTATAAAAGCTGCATTGCCGTTCATTATGAGCCCAGTTACAGCTTGCCGGAAGCCCAACGAATTGCACAAGCTGCACTTTACTTCGAAGACGCTATGCATAGACAGATGAATGACCCAGAAGACGGTGATCCACCTCCGAAGAGGAATTGGTTACACAATCCGAATTTCTCGAACTTCCTGCCACCTAACAATTCTAATGCTACGCGTGTTATGGATCTTGTTGGTTCTGCTCGCAGCTTCGAGGAATTGATAGGATTGATGAATCCAATCCCTGTTCCAGGTGAACCTAATTTGTCCTGGATTTTTGAATTTGGAGAACTGTTGTCCTCTCACACAAAGCCGATCACATTTGAGGGCTGGCCAAACTTCAGGTCTCCTGTCGACGCCATGAATGGAATCAATTGGACAGTCTCCTTCATCACAGCATCCATGAACCGTCCAGGGCTGAGAAAGCTGACAAGCTTTCCACGTACTGAGCAAGGTCTAACTGCGTTCCTGTCTGAGGGGTGCAGTTGGACCCGGCACTGAATTGCCTACTAGTCGAAAATGGTGGGCGAGTCCTAGCATTCTGAAGCAATCCCCAGGGCACGTAACGTTGGACTCTATCGCTTTTATATGTGATTTACAAGACGTTTGACAAGGAAGACCGAAACTCTCATTTAGTTCTCTGCAGTATCTAAAAAGTTGCCCTGGTGCTGGGGTATCCATCTTTTATATAGCGACCATGCGTGAACTTTGCCGAGTTTGAGAAAACGGCGGCCTAGAGGATACCCTATCAGGGTAATGTAGTTGCGCCGTGTTGGCACAGGAACCAAACGGCGGAGAGGAAGCTGGATTTTTCTCAGACGGAGCGGCATCACCAAAGTCGCCACCCAAGGAACCTGCTACAACTACAAGCGGGCCTATTACTGCAACCAAAACAAGTTCAGCGCTGTACCCATAACCTGGTCCACGGCGGGGAAACCCAAACCCAAGCCAAAGGACAGAAAGGGGCCAGAGTAAACATGAGTTTGCGCGACCACCCTTGACTCCAACACTGGCGGCGAAAAAGCGGCCTGCTGGCACGCAATTGAAGTGGGCAAGAAAACGAACCCGCACGAGTCTATCCCCGGGAGCCCTCGAACAGATTTAGAGGCTCAGTAAAGCTGCATTGGTAATCGAACAAGAGAATGAAGCAGGAGGGCGAGGACGGACATGGACCGCCTACCACAAAGGAAGCGAATCGAAGCAAGAGAGGCAGTGGTTGTGAGTCATGGGGCACGCGAGACTAATCGTGCCTTGAGAGTGGCATGGGATGATATCAGCTCGAATATTCGCCATGATCTCCAACCCAACCTAGCTACGGTCAAGACCATTCCCCTATGATAGGATGGGGAGCGCTCCAAAGCGGGGATTTCTACTCTTATGATAGCGTATGGAGATACAGCAGAACAGTTGAAGGCGGCTGCAAATGGGTTTACGAACAGTGGGCAGGAAAAGATATACGGTTGCAAAGTTCGGACTGCAATCAGAGGTCATTGTCGACGGCACCATGGACTTTCCAGAGGATGAGGCCGGTGTCGAAACGACAGAAATGGTAGCGGGTGTAAGAGGCACTGGAACGGCCCAACAAGACCAAGATATCGAGTCGGTGGATGAGCCCCAGGTCTATTCGGAAAAGGGGTATCATGTCATTCTCTTTGCGCTTCGAATTTTGCTTTTTGTTCAACGTCAAGGAATCGGTGTTTTGTTCTTTTATCATACTCCTACGAGTCAAGAGGTCTTCCTTCAGCACGTTCGTACAAGTAGAACGTGCCCCATCACACCACAAATACAGATAGCCATAGAATCCGGGCATTGATGCAGACTATGGACCGCGTCAATAGACCCTGCATAGCAGGCGAAAGAATACGGCTTCCAACCCAACTTCCTGTTTCATGTTTTATTCTTGCAAGGGCATATTTATGGCGTACAAACTGGACGCCGCTTTTTGGCGAAAAAGAGAAAGAGGCCCCCAATAGACAGGGTGTCAGGATGAGCATGCACATAATGTTCATTCCCTGGTGCGTCTCTCCATATCCATTTGCAGGTTTACCTCGACTTCCACTTCCAACTCTCACTCCCTGTTCTAAGCGCCAGTGGCTTTTTTTTTTCTCTCTATCCTAAAGCAACAGTCACTCACGAGCTCCAATGGGCACGCATAAACAGCACAGAATAGTGGGGCGCTGCATCCCATCAAAAGAGCTCTTAGAAGTGTATATAGGAGGAGCTGACTAGCTGACCGCATTGTCATAAAGCATATACTCGCGTTTGCATCGTCCTGGAAGGGATTATTGGTTTTATTTCAAAGACTTTGGCATAGGTTAGAACAGGTGAATTTTCTCCAGAAGGTCAGCGCAACAGGATGGTGATTTTGATTCAGTTGATTATTGCAGAACGTTGTACTTGCTGCGACTGCTCTAATTTCTGCCCCTGCTGATGCCACTACTGATACCTCTGCCACGAGCGCTGGTACCTCTGCCGCCACTGCTGATACCTCTGCCGCCACTGCTGATACCACTGATACCACTGCTGCCGCTGCTAGTGCTGCCGCTTCCACGACCGGTGCCACGGCCACCACCGCCGGTACCACCATAGCGACCACCCTCCTCGCTTTCGGAGTGCATGCCGAGTGGTAATTTCAGTGGCTTATCCAGGCTGTGGGCTTTGCTGTTATGGCCGGCGATTTTCATAATCAATTCTGGTGGGAGATGGTGTCTTACTCCACGCGGCGATCTAGCATGACTGTTCAAATATTAGTTCAAGTGACATTGAGGAAGGGGGGAAACGGTAGGCAGGTCCGGTTTCGCAACAAATTTTGCCTCCCTGTTCAGTTATGATGGGGCGGAAAGGTAATGACGAACTTGATCAGAGAAGCTTGTGTATGATATTGTTTGGTGAGGCAACCTCGGACTTCTTTGTACTCCTTGTCGAACGAGGCCAGGCTGGATAACGCCCTTCGTGCTTGAGTATCTCTTACCTCTTGCACTTCCGGCACTGGTGAAGACAGAGTATCAGCTGTGACTCCAATATGCACGTAGTGCAATTCCCCCGGGAACCTTAATATTAGGGCAAGGGCCAAGGCAAACTTACACAACTCAGCTGCCTCGACTCCAGCATCTCCTCCATCATCTATTAGCTTTCTCAGTCTTTGAATATCATGGTCGACGAATTGTTCCCATCTCTCATTAGGTATCACGACCTCCTGTATGAAGGTGTCGTAATCTCCCTGGGCATCCACCTCCCCACGAACCGACTTGTCATAAGCTCTTTGGATGGCTCTTCCGGTAACGCTTTCGTCATCCATGTTCACACGCGATCGTAGACTAACGTGACAAGGGGGATATCGCAGCCTTTTTTCGTTTTACCAAAGATACATCGAAGCTGGAGAAATAATAGACTTTGCACTGGAAACTAGTGACGATAGATAAAATGTTGACTTCACACACATCCTGATGCCATTTCTTGCAAAATGTTTGTTGCGCTAAAAAGAAATGATGAAACAGATGAAACAGATGAAGCAGATGATACTTCACTAAGTTATAGCAGCAACGGAGTCGGCGTTCCATGAGACGGAACCAGAAACGTGCGACTGCACATATAACACGTCAGATTCATAGTTGACAGCTGCGTTGTCCATCTCTGAAGCTGTGAAGATACATTTATTGAGTGAATAACAGTCATGGTGGGCCTGTGATGAGCCCATGCTTGTGACAAGGGGGATATGAATAGACTTCGAAAACTTAAAACTTCCTATGCAGTTTCCGGTTTGAAAACTGAGTTTGATGTGTCAACCTCCTGCATGGCCGCAGATTCGAATTGCGGGGCTGACTCAGGGACAGCTTCTGGACCTTTAGTCTATATGTAGTATTTTTCTTAGAAATAGCGGGGTTATTATACTGGGCAGTAGGATTGCTTCTTAGACATGCTCTCAAGCTTCCTTATAGGTTTGTTAAGATATACAAAATATGAAAAGGCAGCGTTCGGAGCCAGCGCAACCAGACAGTACAAGGAGGTCTGTACCATTAGTATCAACTAAATTATGTACCATTGGTACTGTACTACAGCGTCACTAAGCCTCTTACTTTCCTATTTAAGTTACAATTTCCAAACTTTTTTCCCTAAGCAATCTAATTAATTAATTTAGACCATTATGATCTAAAGTTAGTAAGATCAACGCTGATTAAGCCCCTTATTCCTGTACTAGTATGGTCCCAACGGTACAGATTGCTACGCTGTAGGAGCATCGTAATGCGGTCGGAAATTTGCACAGGGCGCATGACCTGATAAATGTGAGTTCATGTCTTCTAATCTAAATGAGAGAAAGCGTATAATCCTTCGTGTTACTTACTAATCTTGACTAAGAAGTATGCAGCAGGGTTTGTCAGCAACTGCTCACGCGTAATTATCCTCGAACAGACAAATCAATCCTACTCGATAAGTGGTTTCAAGCTATCCATGATTCCGAGGCGTTATGTTACCACCGCCAAAAGAGTTATTGTGGGGGCGTCCAAAATGTACACTATTCCAGCTTTGGATCCAGTCTTTCAGCTCATGATCCTGCGTGTGCGAATTTGCTGCCTTTTTGCTTCTCTGGTTTCCGCCATTGCTTTGGAGGAAATGACTGACAGTACAGTCTTCGGTTTTGCGCTCCGCCGAAATGGCACTTGCCTTGCCTCCGAGAGAAGTTGCGGTCCTACCGCGCGCCCATTTTACGCCTGTTGTCCGTCAGGGTCAACCTGTGTCAATCCATACAACCAAGTCTGTTGTTCGTCGTCTGAGAACTGTACCTCGTCCGCAGTCGAACAGCCTGCCTGTGCCAATCGGTCATGGGATCTGTATAACAATGGTGGTGTTGAGAGCGCCTTCTTCTGTTGTTTGAACTCGACCTTTGGGTACGGCGTCGGCCTGGACAGCAATGGATGTGCCAATCCTGACTATCAGCTGGCTGGTAACGAAACCCAATTACAGGAGCACATACAGGCTGCAGGTATGTTTGGCAGAGAAATAACATGAACTTGTAGACTTTTTCCGGTGAAATGCAGATTGAGGTGGGTCGACCAAAATGACTGACTTGGTCCTTTGCAGCTTCTTCGTCATCCGCATCAGCATCTGCAACTACTTCAGCGACTTCCATCCCCACGGCCTCAGATGCTGGTCGCTCGTCCAATGGTGCAACGATCGGAGGCGCCGTAGGAGGCGCGATCGGTGGCGTCTTGCTGATCATGTCCCTCGCCTTTTTCTTCTGGAGATGGCGAAAGCAACGACGACAACATCCTGAGCCTCAGATATCGAGCGAATATGAAACTGCCGACAAATCTTACAAAATCGATCCAAGAGATCAACAAGCTGGAGGAGTTGAGATACCTGGTCAGCAAGTTAAGGGAGTGCATGAGATTTCTGGCCAACAATTGGCAGAACTGCCTTTGTCAGGTCCGGGACTCACTCGGTAACCGCGAAATCGTGGAGATCATCTGAACGAGACGCGAACAATTCTGATGGTCAAGACCGCTTGGTGGTTGATTCTGCAAAATTTGCTCCTTAGTTAATATTAGAAGTAAATATTCTATTCTCTTTCTGGGTGGATCTAGTTGTAGTGATAGTGGCGATTGTCCACATTTCGATGAATTTTGTATGTCTGATCGAGGGAAATATCCTGTCCGTTTGGGTTTCAATCCGTTGAGCAGATGTTGAACTTCTGTAAGGGCCTATTGATCAATTGTGCTGCGTTTTATCCTCGTAATTTGCCCGTGCGTGATTAGTTGAATCCTGCAGCAATCTCAAAGATAATTTCGGTGTACTGGTTACGCGTACAGCCAATCTGTACATATTTCAACGCCCTCTACCCGCTAGATAGCCAACTTGCTATATTTACGCATTCTGCCAGCAGTCAACAGATTCCCTTTCTGTGGACATCTACGTCTGGAGACGGGACGGCAGCAGGGTCAGATTTGGATTGTGGCTTATGTAAGGCCGGTGAAAAGAATTGATGTCGCTCTTGGCATGATCTCAAATGACAAATGCGTTACTCGATACTTGCGCTTCGACTCAAGCCTCTTTTCCCAGGACTGAGCTGGTGATATTGAGTTCTGATCCATTTAAAAGACATAATCTCGGCCTTTGTTCTGTAATGGCCAGCGAGATATCTATTCTAAAGGCAGCTGTTGATTGGAGGCTGCTATGAGAAGAACTGGCGCCTGGCCCCCGACTTCTATGGACTGTGGTAGGTTTCTGGAAGTGTCCATGGGCGGCTACGTTCCCAGTTCCATTGTCTGCCGAGTGAATCATTGTTGACTGGCTCTGGCTGGCACTGGTGGCAGATGCCTCCCAGTTGTTCCTTTCCTATCAAGACCACCCTCACCATCACAGTAAGCTAACATGGACAAGGTCACTCAGGTACTGGCGATAGACCTTCCTCCCGACGTGCCTGATACATTCGCTGGCCGAGCAGACTATGCCGAGACAGAGTATGGCAGAGCTGCTATCTCTATTCTCCACCATCGTACACGCGGACGACAGTCGAAAGAAGAGAAGGCCTAGTCTATATACCAATTAAAATTCTCGCCATCAATCCTATCTCCATATCCTTTGCTTCCCCCGCCTTCTCCGCCTCCTGTGGAGGAAACAACGAATGGCTGTCCGCAATTATCGATTTTTCGGCGAACACAGGCCCTAGCATTGATGGTGGAAGGGTTCTTAGGACCACACATTGAAAAGAGAACTGGCGTTTTTCATTCTACGCAATCGAAGCTGTGGAATAAGGCTTTTGAGCGCTGTTTTCGACCTGAGGAAGACCCTCGAATCCTTGAGCGATATGTGGAAGATGGTGTACGTTCTGGTCGACCAAGGACGATTATGCCTGCTATTGAACAATGGCTTCTAGATAATGTCACTGAAGTTATTCCACATCATAATCAAGATATTATACCCCTTGAGGGAGGCAATGAATACAAGGGAGGCATAGAGGGCCAGCTGTCATGACGTACGTGTCTCAATTGAGCGAATCATTATACCAAGTATCGTGAGATTTACAAGAATTCAAAATTTTGATACTACTAGGCAATACTGTGGCCACCCCTATTCTCATGCAAACAAAGATTGAAAGGCAAGTGTACGCGAGTGATAGGAGCCGGAAATTGGAACCCAACAACCTGAAGGGCACGAAACTGGGCTCTCTCAGCTTGAAGAGTGGCCCAGAATCTGGCCCCCATGGGGAGCTCAGGGTAGAACTCAGTCGACGCTCACGGTTGCTCAAGGCTGCTATTCATCACTCAGGTTGCAATCACGTATGTTCAGGTCTCGAAGTGAAAATAAAACTGGGAGAGGTCAAGATTCGGGTGAGAGTATAATGGACTCTATGTAGTTTTTCTCTTGGAAATACCGGGGTTATGCTGGGCAGCAGGATTGCTTCTTAGACCCGCTCTTCAACTCCGCTGTGGGTTTGTTGGACGTGTAAAATATGAAGAAGCGTTGAAGGTGATAAATGCTCTGAGTTACCTGTACATCTAGAAATATCCTGTAGCAAGTCATATGTACATGTAAATTAATGTGTTGGTGTTTTCTGACCTATATACGTTCTGATGAGGACTCAGTCTGAACAGCCTCATTTACTAATATGTACTGCAATGGTGTCCTCTTCAGACGTAGATTGTGACAAGGAATCCTATCCAATAAATGCTCAATAGGGATATGACACCGAATTGCCATTCGTAGACTGATCCAAGTTTCATACTCATCACGGATATCTGTTCCCAGCTTCTGAACTTATAACGTCCTCTTGTGCTACAGATTGCTCTTGATGTCATAAAGATACAAGATCATATATGATTGAGATCAATAACCATCATCCGAACATCATATGGCCTTGTGAAGTGGATGGACCTTTCCGTGCAGTAGATTATAACATGTGGTTCCACGCCCTGATTTGGGAGGTGATGATTCACTTGAGGTGGATGAGTGGATTGATACGATTTTCAATCACAGAGTGTTGTCAAAATAATTTCAAGATGTTGTACGTGCACAAGGTCCATATTTCTGTATCGAGCTCTTCCTGTGTTTGGTCGACATGCCCATCTATCATCCAGACACCCTGAGCTATGAAAGATAAAGACTTAATGCAGCAAAGCGTGGCGGAAAAGCACTCTGAATTGTGCTCTTCATTCGAAAATTGTAATAATCGCGGCTGCAGCAGTAAAGTTAACTTGTTAAGCATGACTGCTCAGCATTTCTAGAAGGAATATCCGTTTCGGTATCTCTCGGGAAGATGTTGTATGTTTCAGAGATGGTACTTTCCAATCTTCGAAATGCCTGTTTGAAGTGGCTCTTTAACGTCCTGAGATCGAAGAATTTCGTGCAATGCAGCTAGTGCTCGCTTCTCGTAGGCTTAGGAAGGGATGATCTTGGAGTAATTTGAGGGCGGCATCGACGCGCTCTGACCCTGACATCTTCGCATATTTATCAGCCATGGTTAGTTGACAGAAAATGGAAACTTCTGTAGCTTTAATTCGATCGACTTGGAATGGATTTGAGCCATTGGTTGTTGCGTTGTTGTTGACGATTGAAATATGGTGCGGCAAATGGGTGATGCGCATACGAATCTTTGAAGTTAGCACAATCTAATGGATTTTTTCACGGGAGAAATCTCCTGCCACCTCTTGGGATCCATATACCCAACTGCAAGCCGCTCAGCCAGCTGCCCTTTCCAACGTATGAGCATAACGACCAATTTGTCCTTAGAATCCCATGTCTTCTCTTCAGCAAACTGCCCTCCACGCATGCTGTGCGTGATGACATCGCACACAGCCATTGCGATCAAGTCGAGAGAATTGTCATCGATCTGGGCTGCCATATCGCTGATTATTCTGCTATAGCCATGGCGAAGACTCTGTTTCAAATGGCCCGCATCTGGACCAGTGGTCATCCATTCAATCTCCAGCTTGTAAGCCTTGTAGAGGACTGCTTCTGCTTCAAATTGGAGGATGATTGTGTAGGGAAAATGTTGCCGTGGGAAAGCCGTATCCGGATATGTCAAAGAACCTGTGGGATACGTCGAGGGATTTTCTAGACTGTTCGTGACCTGTTCCAGCGTGTCCGTGTGCCATATAGCCGAGGGCTGCCGGTGGATTGGGAATGACTTTCCGTCTGCTTCAATTGTGAAAGCTAGAATCCTGGGACGAATGGATGTAAAAGCCAGCTTAGAATGATAAGTGTATGCTGCGTACGATACTTTGCCAAGCCATCCGAACCAAGACCAGGAAGGCGGAGATACAACAGTGCTACCATCGCCATGTTTATGCCACCTCCGTCTTTGCAGCTGACCATGCGGTAGCCAAAGTAATGCCCAGTCAAAAACCCCGGTTGGAAGACCCGCCAAAAACCCCCATCCCAGTTTGTGAGATAAGACGTCTTGAATACCAAGAAACGCGTTCTCAATATCTGACGGAAATGAGAGCTCCCTGGTGCTGTACTGAGACATGATTTTAGAGTATCTTTGGAGCTGATCGGTGCAAAAGGACTCTGTCTGATGAAAGCCAGAGATATTCAACTTGTCCATGTGCTTGACTATGAGGTTTAGCGAATTGAACTCAGCGGCCAACAGCCATCTATAACGGTCCATTGGTGGCAGAATTTGCTCATGGTCGTTCGTCTCTCCGTGGCCGCAGTCCAGGTATACCTGATGCTCACCAATATAGAGGCATCGTCTTGAAATCAAACGCTCCTGGAATGTCCAGGCTCTCCGCTCATATATTTGATTGTGCGCATTGCTTGACAGTCTTGAAAGAATCCCCGTGATCGGCATGCCCTGGACTACTTCGACTAGCTGCGGCCTTGGGTAAGATACCCCTGGCAAGGGCGAACTACTGTTTTCCCCAGCTAGCGCCACAATGGTAAGCCATGATTGACCGTATATGTCTGCCATTCGCCGAATTTGGCTGAGCCTGTGTTCCTCGTCATCTTGAATAATGCACAAGGCATCAACCCACAGATAGCCTTTGCCAAGCCCTTGAACCACTGCTGCTGCGTCCTGGATGACTCGGGAGACTCCTGCTTCAACAAGTGATCTTGGTTTTTGAAAATGGCCAAACGTTTGCTTCGTCGTTTTGACCATCGGACCAGTTCCCCAAACATAGCTCAGGGTGATAAAATCAACCTCGCTCCCGTCGACTGTCACCAGGCATATTTGAATGACGTCCACAACAACTAGCTCCATAGATTCAGGAAGACCTCTCGACTTTTGTCCGCATGCGGAGCCATGTTCCGAAGTACATCTGTCAACCATCTTCCGTACCAGCTGAAAATCAACGTACTGCCGAGTGTTAAGGGTGTATCTGCCTCTAATGTCCCCACGGACAGTCCACAGCGACACAATCGGTCCATAGTATTCTGTCCGGAAATGCTGTTTGAGAATCACTAACGGCTTGGTGGATTGGGTGAGAATCGGGTTGCGAACAACAGTAACTTCGATTGGCTGTTGGATGTCAAAGCCGGACTCTCGCGCGGCATCGGGATCTGGGTTGAGACTGCTCCGCTTCAAGGAGTCGAAACCATCTTTGCAAAGCACAGCAACGATGCGGCAGAAGCTGCATGATGTCTTTGTGAGAAGATCGTGCATCAGGCCAAGATCAAGCTCAATGTCCACTGTTCCCCATTCAAACATTTCTTTTAGATCCAAAGCTCTGCAGATATCGCAAAGAGCCTTTCCGGCATGGTTCGGCTGCATACTATGAACGTCAGTGCTGTCTACGGGCCTCAACGAGACCTGCGTGGGCGGGTATTTGATTGACAAATACGGCACATCAACACCAATTTGCGGATAGGTCCCAACAATACGTTCAATTTCCTCTGGGTATTTCACCGTCTTCAATGGGCTTGAGCCAAGCTTCATTCCTCCGTAGGGCTCAAAAGAGAGACACTCATGTTGCCCATAGCAAGGTGCCGCCACAGGAGCTCGACTAGCGATGAATGCCAGCTTGACTCGGGTAAGGATACTCAAGCCCTCCTGGTCAACGTCCGGTGCAGACAAGCGGAGATCCCATGGCATGATTCTCCCTGTTGATGGGGTTCTATGAACCTCGTGCACTGCATCAGCGCCAGTGCTGCCATTGAAACTCCTTGCTTCGAGCTGCACCTGCAAATCAGGTACTTCGCTGACATCCTGAGAGCATACAATCTTCCTCGGGAGCCGGAAGACGTTGAGGCTATTATAATCCAAAGGCGTCCCGTGAAAATGAAGTCGGCGTCCATTCTCGTCCCATACGCGGTAGCCCATCATGAGGTAGCGCGCAACCTCCTCACAGGACATCCATCCGACGCGGTCGACAAAGATGTCGCCTGGTGGTAAGTTATCAGGGTACATATAGGTAGAAAACTCCCCATCCCTGTGCTGCTTTGAACACAGGGACATGACATATGAGTGGTCGGAGTCATTTTTAGGGGGATCTCGCCCGGTGATGGTGTGTAACAATATGCGTGCTATCTCATTTGTCATTCGATCCTCATCCATGAGAGCTTATCTCAAGCCTGGTCAAGTGGAATAACGTCGAGAGGTACGTAGGTGCAGTCCAACGGAATCATTGTTGTACAGGAAATTACTAGGTATTGTTGTCCTCCCTAAGTTAGTCGCAGATAGTCGCAATGGCTTTCGCAGCTTGGACTAGAATGCAAACCTGTGCGACCTGCTCCCTAGAGTACGCAGAAAGGTGTAGAGAGCAAGTTATATTTTCTATTAAGAAGCAACGTATCTAGATATACGTAGAGATTGGCTGTACGCACAGTGAGATTGCAGTAAAAATTGACCAATCGAAAGCAGGCAGAGCGCAGGGATCACACGTAGGAAAACTGGCCAGCAGGTGTTCATACGGTCTGACAAAACGTTATTGTTGCCGTCTACAAATAAGTATCTGTCTTTATGATCTATCTAAGAAATAGACACATCATGGAATGCATCATACAAAGAACCAACGCGTGTTACAGAACCCTTTCGAATCTTAGTCCGTAGATTCGATAAAATTCAAGGAACGCATACTGATCGTAACGGTGCTTCTCCCATATTGACGCAATAAGTGATTTCTATTTCACATATTTGCTACAAGTCCTGTACTGCATCACTGGATATGTGGATACCTGCTCAAACCATACATCAATACAATCGAGGTTATATTCAGGGGTCCACATAACGTATTATACAGAGACGGTGGATGCATTGGTGCCCCTTCAGGGATGCAGAATCTATTCATGCCTGAATACCGGATAGAGTTGTAATTCAATACACGCACCATCTCACCAGCCATACCTCCCTCCAGCTTCCTTCTTATTCCTTCTACCACTCGCAAAACTCTCCTCCAGCGCTTCCTTCTGTCCACTCGCGGCACTGACAAGCTGCTTCAAACTATGCTTGCCTGGGGCAATGGCTCTGACCGGGTTATGCAGGACTTGCTCGCCAGAGGCACGAAGAGCTTCGTTTGCAGCATATTCGTGGTCGGTATTGAAGTTGATGATGGATGGGGAGATCTTGGAAGCGTCTTTGTGGTTCCGTCCGAGAAGTTGGCGCTTGGCTGAAGCGGAGAGATTGAGGTCTGTGGCTATTGAGTCGAGGGATTGGGTAGAGGCCTCAGCAGTATCAGTTGTGGTAGTATTGTCGAGAGGTATTGTTGTGACTTCGGTCTCGTCACTCGGGCGATCAAACGCGTCCTCTAGTGCTGCACCTTGGTAGACGAGTGGCTCATATTCTGACTGCTGGATATTGGCAGCATCAGATGACACATCTGCATTCCCTATAGAGAACAATTTCACTTTCGGTGCTGCTGCGGAGGCTTGCAATTCAGGCCCAGGCGCGGGCTTGCTGGACTGTTCCTGGGCAGCTGTGGACGACGCGGAACTCTTTGGTGCTGGTTTTTTCTTCTTCGTATTTCTCGCCACTGACAGAGGCTTGAACATTATCGCATTGCCCTGCCCTAGAAGAGGACTTGCAGAGGGTTGAGATAGCGTCAACCTTCTGTCTGTATCAGAGTTCTCACTTCCATCACCAATTTTACCACCAATCTGAGCCCCAAGTGGATTCGTAGCCTGCTCTGCAAATAGCTCTTTCAACTCAGCATCCGACTCCCTGCTGAAGCCTGGTTCTGCTCCTGTTTTCAGACTGAACACCCTTCTCGCTGTCCCGTTTGCACCAGGTTTTGTCCCATTTGCAGTTTGTGTATCCCTCTTGGGCGCAGGTAGCATAGAATTAAAGCCACTGAAGCCTCCACCTATCTTCGGTCTTTTTGGAGCCGGCTCCCCATCCGGATCTCCATTCGTGGTAATCTCGGTGTTGACCTCCTGTAGATTGACCTTTATCTTCCTGGGATTCGATTTGTCGACTATGAACTTGTTGTCAGGTTTGGTGCTGGATGCCGGGATGTCTTTCTTCGCCGGCGCTTGAGGCTTCTCATCCTCCGAGTCTTCAGACTCTGAATAAGCGACGAGCACCATGGTGAGATTTGTGTAGACAACGGGTAGGATAGGGTTGCCAGAAGTATTGGGTATGGTTGGCGGACTTGGTGCATGGGTTGAAGATGAATTAACAATGACACGGTCGTCGCTCAGAACATCTGACCACCTCGAGATCACGGCAGACCGACCAAGTCTCTAGGCTGCAACTCTACTTTCAAAAGCTCAAACAGATCATACCCATGGCAGCACGGCTGGCACGATCTGGCTTCTGGTGCCATTTACCGAACTATCCTCGCCCGATTCCTCGACAACCCTCTCCCATCCAGACCCTCCGACTAAACCGCTTCGCCTCATACCAAAGATTCCCTGGTCGAGGACCACAACAAACTCAGTACCGCACGCGGTTCCGACCCATTAACCGCGTACAATATGTATGGAATAACTACAGACGGCAGATCGCAACGGTCGGGGTCGGTAGTGGTGTGGTATATGTCTACAATCTGGAGCCAGTTCCTATCACGGGGCGGCGTCGCTTCAATATCCTGTCCGCCAAGACAGAGAAATCGATCATGGAAGGTGGATACCCGTTATTGCTGGAAGAGCTGAAAGGGAAGATCCTCCCAGCCGAGCACCCATACACGAGAATGGTTGCCAATGTCGTCGAGAGACTTCTACCAGCTGTAAAAGAGTTGGCTGGAGATGAATGGAGGGTGCATGTGATCAATGATCCAAAGCAGATGAATGCATTCGTCATGCCGGGAGGCAAGGTCTTTGTCTTTACGGGCTTGCTTCCTATCTGTGAAGACGAGGATGGCCTGGCGGTTGTCCTGGGTCATGAGATCGCACACAACGTCGCACATCATGCTGCTGAGAGGTTATCAAGGAGTATCTTCACCTGGCCCTTCATAGCTGCCGCAAGCATTATACTGGATGTCTCGGGCGGTACAGTCCAGTTCATCACCGACCTGATCTTCAGCCTCCCAAATAGCAGGACGCACGAAGCAGAAGCCGATCACATCGGTCTCCTAATGATGGCCCAGAGCTGCTACAACCCCGAAGCGGCTATTCCGTTCTGGGAGAGAATGAAAGAAGCTCAGAAAGGGGCTCCTCCACAATTCCTGTCCACGCATCCCAGCGACTATAGCCGGATCAAAGCTATCACCGAGTGGCTACCCGAAGCCAAGGACAAGTATCAAGAAAGCGGGTGTGGGTTGACCGGTGGGTATGCACGAAAATTCAGTCAAGCCTTCGGCAAGCAAGGCGTCATGGGCAGGAAACAGCCAGTTATTTTTCAGCCAGCAAGATCACCACAGCAAGAAGACGACGATCTTTGGTGAGTGTTGTCCTACGCTGTGCAACACATATACCAAATAGAGGGGAAACCCTTTGCTTTCCCTCTCCACTCCGCCTGCACACTTGGAGGCCCCTCTCTACTCAACCACAAGAACAATCTCCACCCCTGACTTCTCAGCACACGCCTATGTCCAGAACATCCAGACTACGAATGGAACAAAACACAAGGCAAGCAGAAACCGATAATCAATACGAAAGGGGTTGAACAGATCAGCGGTGCTCATACCAACAGAGCCTCAGGTTGTGGTTCGTGTGAGTGCTTTGGAACCATCTACACCATCTACGGTGAGAGTTCCGAGAAGACCATTTCGTCGCCACTCTCCAGCACCACGCTGCCAACCGTCGGAACCAGCCGAACTAGGATTAACAAAACGTATCTTCACGATGAGAAGGTCAAGCCAGGCACTCCGCCTTCTACGGGCAACAACGCCTCATCAAAGGCCTTGTGTAAGGTCCTACCCCATGACTCAGAATGGAAGACGAATGTGAAAGGAAAATGTAATAGCTGTGTATCTATGCTGGACTACAATGGCATCACTGGAAGAAGCTTTTACCGTACTGAGCAGGAGCTTAACTTACTACGTATTAGCTATATGAATTGTCGATATATCGCACATATACCTAGTGACTAGTGAAATGCCAAAATTTCCGTTCCTCAGCGCTTCACTGATCATGCCACCTCTCTTCCAGGCAGTCCCTCGCCCAAGTATAAAACCTCTCATTACCAATATGCACGTGGAATAGAAAAGAAAGCAACTCCCTCCAATCAAGAAGGGGCGCATCAGCAAGCCAGCCAGCCAGCCAGCTCGTTGTCATTCAGCTGGTACACCTCTCCGTAGCCGGCCTCCAGCCAATGCCCAACCCGTCCATCAACCTCTTCTCCCTATCCAACCAGGTATCCCCTTCCACCTCCTCCTTACCCCCAACCCCTTCCTCCGGCCTCTTACCCTTACGCGGACTCTCGAAATCCAGCACCAAACCATCCCTACGGTCCCGCACCCCACTGCTATCGAACTTCCAACCCTTCTCGCGCTTACACCAGCGGCGGATATCGCGTTCGAAGGTGGTTGCGCCGCTCCAGCCCAAGACGGCGCAGCCGACGGTGCGCCAGGGACTGATGATGATATCGACGCGGCGGTGGATGTTGGGGTTCTTCATCACCGGTGCCGAGTCCGGGTCTGCCGCTTGGCTGGGAGGGACTTCGAAGTTTGGGTCCTGCCACACGCAGAGCGCTTTGTCGAGGGAGTCGAAACCGTGGCCTCCATGGCCGCCTGTGTAAGGAAGGGTCTGCTGGCCGCGTTTGGTGGTGGTGGTGTTGAGCGTCAGGGTGTGCGTGATATAGCCGCTTTCTTCGAGTTCGGAGACCACGTCCACGACCAGGTTGCGCGTTACGTTTTCGTCTCGGTGGGAGAGGATCATGTCGACATCGCCGCATTGCTCTTTTCCTCTGCGGTAGCCGCCAACGATGATGGCGACGATGTCTTCGTCTGTGTCGTATTGGTGCGGCTTGATGCCCCTTGCTTTTCGGGCGTGTTGTTTGGCGATCTCGGTTATTTCTTCGACTTCCTTGCGTGGGATGGTGGTTTTAAATTCGTCGTAAAACTTCACTCCGATTTGCTGGGCGCGGTTGAGGGTGTTCCAGCCGAATTGCACGACGTCATCGATGTCTTTCCAGCCGTGGGTGAAGTACATTTTTCGGGCGGTGTCGGCGCCGCAACCCCAGATATCATAAAGGGTTTTCAGGCATTGGAGGTTTTCGTCTTCGTCGAGTTTGCGGGCCACGGGAAGGTAGCGCTCGGACTCTGAACGGGAGGTGGCTTTGTATTCGGAGAAGTGGGTAGCAATTCGTTCGTCGCAGCCGGGCAGACGCATGATTTCGAGAGGAGATTGGATGAGGTACGGGTAGGCAGCGAGGCTAGCGATAGAGGTGGAATACGCGCGGACACCGATTTGGTCGAGGGTCAGGATGCGTGATAGCTTGATCTTCTGGAGTTCGGAGATGAAGCGGTGGTTGGGTTGATTCATGGGGGTGGAGCGGAGACAGCAGTACATGCTGTGATTCTTGACCCAGTCAGGAGGTTCGGGCAATGCCTTCGCGTCGCATTCTTCAAACTCCGAAGTCGTCATCCGTTTTAGCTTTGGGACCGGGCTACCGTACACAGGTGGAAGATTCTGCTGCTTAAAGCGTCTACGATGTTGGAATGCTACCGGGTGGCCTTTCTCTTCGACGACTTCTGCATCGGCTTTGGCACGAGTGAGGATATTTGTGAACAGGTTCTCGCGCTGTAATGGAGAACTTGTAGGTTCATTGTTCGACGGTGTATCAGGTCTCTGCGTTCGAACAGATGATGGAGACGACGTAGGAGTGCTCTCTCCATCAGGTTTCGGAATAAGTCGCCCATCATAGACGATGAATGGCTCGATAGGAAGGAGACGGCGGTGGCGAAAGCACTCGTCCCGCCAAGCAAGCTTTACGACAAGAACTCGATTGTGTAGATCAGGGAGTACAAAGTCGTCCTCTACTAACGGACGTTTTGATGAGGTTGCCGCACTAGTCTCCTTGCCTTTCACGTTACCATCCTCTCCAGCTTCTGACTCATCATCCGATATTATCACAACCTCGGTAGGTGGTGCTGTAGTAACTCTTCTTCGTTTCCGAGCAGGCTCTTCCATTTTGACAATGTTCTCCTCCGTCCATACTCCCTTACTCCGTAATTCGAAAGCAGCTCGAGTCTTCCGCTCAACTTTACCAAGGAATATCTTAGCTTCCTTGGCATCGTATGTGAATGGCGCTCCCAATTCGATTACTTGATCTTCGAGTTCGTGAAGTTCATCAACCGTGAGATGGGCGGGCAGAATGTAGACAGGAGGCAGAGCACGTAATGACATCGACCCTACATGACCTGTTTCTGGCGGTGTTGGTAAGTCCGAGCTCATTTTCGTCACTCGCAGCACTTGGTTCCAGCTCAAGAAGTGTGTTTCCAAAAGATGTTGGTAATAGAGCTGTATCCAAAAAGCATCTACCGCATCTACTCGTTCCCTCCGATCATGCTCGTTCCAGCATAAATGGTAGATGATTTTCAGTGAGAAGTGACTAGGAGCTGGGGCATGCTATCGGTTTCGCAAGAAGTGGTAGAGCTCGACGCCTCTCCTTAGAAGCATTTTTGACTCTGATGGAGCTATTTTGCAGGAGAGGGAATTGAGATGAGACGATGCGATAACACTCGAATAAGCATGTCAACTGGTCGTTCCTTCGCGTCTAACTTAGGGATGAGTGAAGGTATTGATGGAACAGGCTGAATATTGGTCCGGAATGACGGAATCATGTCGAGTCCACAATACGAGCATGAAATCCCGGATGATGTAAGCACTGTTGCCAAGACCTTCCTGGTAGGGACAGTAGTACGGAGTACTCCCTAGTACTGTGTCCACGATATAAGTGGACAGGCAGTTCTTGATACACTGCTCAGATGCATGAAAGCTATCTGATCTATTCAGGCGCCTTTCCATTCATCTCCCCTACATCCAACGCAACCAAGAACCTACTGACACAATTATACGTCGCTACCGTAGCCGTCAACTCCACAATCTCCTTCTTCGTGAATCCAGCCACCGAGCTCAGCTCCTCGAACAATGCATCCTCGACCTTCACACTCGTCGTCATCGCATCTCCGTATCTCAATACAACCCACTGCTTCTCGCTCAGCTGCCCCCTCCCCTCACTCTGATCTAGCCTCCTAACCACCTTCAGCATCTCCTCGGTGAAGCCCTCTGCTTCTAGTAGCAACGGTGCATGATGCATCCATTCATACCACGCTTCGTTGAGCAAAGCTACTCGACATATTGCGATCTCGCGTAGATCTGCCGGTAGGGAGGTCTTGGTCCGGATTGCACCGAGAAGACTGTTCCATCCATTGGCGACAGGCGGTGAGTGTAGTAGAGCCCTGTCCAAAGGGATCAGGCCACGATCTCCGCGACGAGCGAGAACACGTTGGACTATCTCCTCTTCTGAAGGAGTAAGGTCTTCTGGTGGGTTGGGGACGTAGGGGAGTCGCATGTTGAACAGGGTCGCTGCCTTGATCAAATGACAGAAATATGGTATCAAGTTTGATGGACTTGGACTCGCTGGAACAACTGCTTGGTGATGTCTGATCGAGCTTCTTCAAGTGGTAAATTATCAAACGTCGGGCCATCTTCGGCTTCAAGCTTTCAGCGGCCGGCTAAATACTGAGCCGACGTCCATCGGCCTATCTGAGAAGTTGGAAGAAGTTCTTCAAGCAGGTAATGGAGATAGCTAGGGGCCGCTGGGCGATGACAACGTACCATGGAGGTTGCTGTGATAGGATGCAGTCTTTCTGATGGATCTCTAACCATCGTTATGAAAAGGTACAACAATACTCCGTGGAGGATATCAAAAGGACCTCATTTGGTCTATGCAACTCTATAGTTGTTATTACTGCCTCGCCATGAACTTCCTCACTGTCTCTGCAAATTCCTGTGGCTTTTCCACCATGGGCAAATGTCCTGCTCCAGCAATAACAGAGTACACCGCACCAGGTCCATATGCTGCCGCCATCTCTTTCATAGTGCCAGGTAAAATTCCATCGCCACCTCCTACCACAAATGCACCAGGAACGCCACTCTCTCTCATCTCTGCTCGCAAGTCGTACTCAAACAATGCCTCTACACTTCTCTTGAATCCCTCAAGACTATTACTTGCAACCATGGCTTTGACCTTTTGTATCCTTTTCTCCAGATAACCTCCATCATAGCTCTCTTTGACAAACCACCTTCTCACCGTCATTTCCGCCAATTGCTCTCCTACCACCCTCTCCCCATTCGGTGCCGTTGCGCCTTCCTGCTCCGCAACATCAATTCTGTCGCCCCAGGCATTGCTATTTCCTTCGGGGCTTTTTGAGCTTGTGTCGCATGAGACAAACGCCGCAACTCTATCCGGATATTTCATTCCCGTATTCAACACCGTTGCACCTCCAAGACTAACACCAATGAGGCCCGCAGCTCTTGGGATTCTCAAAGCGCCAAGGAGGGCAATAATGTCAGATGCAAGTACATCCACGGTAATGGCTTGGCTTCCACAATTACTCGATCGCCCTCGGGTGAGATAGCGTAAAACGCGATATTTCCTGTTTTGCGGATAAGATAGAAATGAGGCAATGAACCCGTTCCAGATGCCCCAGTCGACGAGAATGGAGTTGCTCAAAACGATACAGGGAGCATCGGGTTCGGAGCATCCTTCCAGTCTGTAGGGGAGAACAACGTCGTCTGGAGTAGTGATAAATGATTCGATTGTTCCGCTGCCACCAGGTGAGGTAGGGTTTGTCCTTGTCTGTCCATCTGGTGAATTAAATTCCGCCACGTCTTTCAAATGTCTTGGGGCGGCGCCAAATATATAGTATAGCTCGTAAACGCGCCACTTCACATCTTGAATCACATTCGCCATAATCTCGTTCCGCCAGGGTTTAATCATCGCAGCCTCGAATTCCTCGCCATGAAGTCCATTCTCCGGTGCAAACTCATGGATTGCGAGGTATTCAATTCCCTCCTTCCCTTCTAAGATCGACGAAGTCACGAAACGCCTGGTACGCAACCATCCGGGAATTTTTGACATCATATCAGTATATTCCTTATCATACCACCTATCCAGCTCTTTGCTATCTTGCCCTTGCTTCAAAGTCAAGAATACTGCACATAAAACATTCCCCTGCCTTTCTCCTACACCCACTTCCTCTAATATCTTGAACCCCTCCCCTTTCCGCTCCGACACAAAGTCATAAAGCTTTCTCCCTACCTTAATCTGCTTCATCACATCCTTCTCCCTCTGACTCTTCATATTATCCCCCCTCAGCCTCAGATACGTCTCTCGGGTCAACTCTTCCATGTCCGTGATATCGTAGATGGCCATCCATTCCGGCATGTCGTCCGTCCCTGTGCCTTGGGTCTCGAGGTCTGTTGCGCGGTAGCGGAAGCCGTTTCCCACGAAAGGAAGGCGAAGACGCGTAGGGCCGTGCTCATTGTTGTACCAGTCGTGGAATAGGGATGTAGGAAGATCGGAGGAGGGTTGCATTGTCACATATAAGATTCCGGGAGTGGGCGCCATATTCGACTGATGAGGTCGAGTCTCGGAAGAGATGTATTACTTAAGGTACTATGTTAATTGAAAGAGTGATGTGCTTCTGCTAGGTAGGATGTTGGCAAGCAAAGAGATTCACGGAGAAATCCATACGATCACCTTTTACCATCTTCTCTCAGCGTAGTACAGAATTGGGCTGCCCTAACTTCATCACAGGCTCCTGGGACCTCATCGACCTTGTCCACCGCGACGAAGGGCGGAGAAGCGTGCGCAAGTCGGAGCAGAGCTCGGCATTTCAATCAGCCCCGTCCTTACGTCATACTGTTAAAGCTTACGGATTAAACCTGATCCGGGATCAAATCCTTCTTTGCAGTATTTTAGACCGAATTGGCATGTTCGACTTGCATAAATCAATTATACCAGATTGCATTCATGCCAAATCCCGGCTCCTTAACATCACAGTGCGCAACCCTGGCCATCCGCTCATCCTTCCATCGATAAATCTCTATCCAGCCATCCTGATCGTCTGTGAGCGCCAACCACTCGTCGCTCCAAGGACAGGGGCTAACCGCGTTGGAGTGTCCTCCACTGTTAGGTGTAGGATTCATGCAGAGCTGACGGATGATGTTGCCTGCTGGACCTAGACTGAAAGCGCTGATGTAGCCAGTGATATCGATGGGATTGGCACGGGCGGTGGCGAAAAGGTATTTACTACCATGCGACATTGAGACGACGTCTGCGCGGTAGAGCTTCTTATCCAAACCTGGATGATGTATGTCAATACCAATTCTGTGGACATACTGGTGCTAGGAGGTTCATTACCGACCTGGAGGGATGAGCGGATATGTCAGTTGTGTGAAGACTGGCATGTGAGTCTGCTGATCGATCACATAGACGGCCAGATTATTCCCAGCTTCCATCAGGACATAAAGATATGCACCACTGGGATGGATCTCCACCCAGCGGGGGTGGTCTCCGGGAGCAGGAGCATCAACACTGCCAACAAGGGTGAGCTTGCCACTTTCACCATCTTTCTTGTGCGTCCATATTCTGTTGGCCCACATGTCTGCTGAATAGAGATAGGTCTCGGTAGAGTCGAACACCATTCCATGTATTGCAGATTCGGGGCAATACTCGTAATTCTGGATATTTGATTCCATTGCTCCGTCCTTGTTCACAGAGAAGACGTTTCCGTAGCCCGCATATTCATAGAAAGGATTGCCGTAGACGTTGTATGGTGGCTGTTTTGCTGCCAGAACAAATATTGCTCGTGTCCTCGTTTCTAGACTGCTTGCTTTGGCTGAATAAGGAATGAGAGTGGGGCCAGACTGAGAGGCTTATAGGCAGTACATACGGTGTCCTGCGATTGAATGCGACATATGGTGAGTTATCTCGGTAGGAGTTTTCACGGAAAAGCTGGAAAACGTTTTCATGGAAGCTCCATAGATGTTCCTCCTAGCATGCTAGATCGCTCAGGTCTGTGTCTTAGCAGGCCTTCGGACTGTGGCAATGTTGAGTACACACATCGAATGTCATCCATGAGATAGGTTCGTCATGATTAATGCCGGTTTTCTTAATCAATTTCAAGGTCAACGACTCATCATCAAACTCAAAGGTAAATATGGCGCCGGGTCGGGTCCAGGTCCCAACCATCAGATGATGCAGCATAGTGAGCAGCCAAGTTTGCAGAGACTGTCAAGGTAGTATCGCGACGAGAAGGCAGTGTTCTTCAGTAGTATATGTCTGGGAGGAGTCTTCTGGGATCAAGGAAGTTGTGACGAGAAAACCAGATCTAGCTCAAAATTGTCTGCTTGCCTAAAAGGGAGCTGGAGACAAGAACTGCATTACCGAGAAGGGGAACCGAGGCACACTGATCAATGCGGGGGAGGGGTGCGGAGAGATCCCGGCAAAGCCTTTATGCGCCCTATCCACAAAATATTTCGTCGTGCAGTAGAAGTTGACTCCTATTATGTAATTGAAGTACGCGGAAGAGCCGATGGAGCTCCCGCAAGCCGTGATCTCACATCAATAACATCGGCAGAACCAAGCAGACCCTCTCATCTCCGTTGATAAAGAGGTTAAACTCCCAAGCGTCACCACAACAGGTGTGATCACTTCCATCAATTCGTCACAAATATCTATAGAACAGACAAATCGAGATATACCTTGAGAACCATAGATCTAAGGTAGTCTTCTCAAAGTCGCGCCCTCGAGGTCAGTCCACTGAGACAAGTCTTTCTCCATCTACCTTCTTCAATCCTGCTTTAAACTCATAATGTCGTCCTCAAGATTCGATCCAAACTTCACTCAAAATGTCATCAATGCCATTGGCCCCAACACCGCCCCTCGAATGCGCGAGGTCATGTCCTCCCTCATCCGGCATGTACACGACTTTGCTCGAGAAACCGAACTCACCGTCGATGAATGGATGTTGGGAGTACGGTTCCTGAATGCTGTCGGACAGATCAGTGATGCTCAACGGAACGAAGGCCAGCGGCTAACAGACGTGATTGGACTTGAATCGTATGTCTAGACTCCTCCCTTACAACAATTACTACATATCCAGCCACGCTCAATGCTCACCCAATTGTCTCCCACAGACTCGTCGACGAAATCGCCCACAAACACATGACCGAGTCGACCGGCGACCCAACCTCCTCCACCATCCTCGGTCCCTTCTGGTCGCCTAACGCCCCCTTCCGCGAATTAGGCGGCAGTATAATCCAAGATCCGCATAATGGGCAAGTTACGTTCATGCACGGCAAGTTAACCAACCTCACCACCAAGAAGGGCATCTCAGACGCCGTGTTGGACATCTGGCAGGCGTCGTCGAATGGGAAATATGATTTCCAGGATCCAGAGAATCAGACTGATAACAATCTGAGAGGGAAATTCAGGACGGATGCGGAGGGAAATTATCATTTTTATTGCTTGAGGCCGACGGCTTACTCGCTGCCTACGGATGGTGAGTTCATCCCTACACGTTTGTCGTATGGAAAGACTTGAGGAGATGGAAGGAGAGACATGAAAACTGACATATTCCGTGATCACAGGACCCGCAGGCCAACTCCTCACCCTGCTCGACCGGCACCCAATGCGACCTGCTCACATCCACCTAATGGTAAGCCCGCCGCCCATCCCTTCCCTCCCCCACTAACCTCTCCCCCTAGATCACCCACCCCACCCACAAGTCCGTAACGACGCAAATCTTCCCTGCCGACGATCCCTACCTCAGCACCGACTCCGTCTTCGCCGTCAAGAGCGATCTAGTCGTCGACTTCAAGCCCCGCAAAGGAGACGACAAAGCCACGTTGGATCTGGAGTATAATGTTATTCTGGCGGCGAAGGATCAGGAGGGGGCGTCGAACGTGCCGATGGCGCCCGGGGGTGCACCGTTCAGCAACGGGACGAATGGCGTTAATGGGAACCACTAGATGGACTTGTTGCTGGCGCGGGAAGGGGTGTTGCTGAGGTTATCGGACACGATCAGGGCTGATGCAGAGACTTGGGTGGAAGGTCCTGATTATAAGTGTGTATATGTCTGACAGCGTTGCATGGTTGGCATGGGATGGTGAAAAATTCTCTTGCTGGCTGGGATTACATGAGTGTAAATAGCTTCCATTATATCTATGTTGGTGAAACTCCATCCGGAAATAGCTAACTCGGTCTGAAACACATATGGCTATGCAATGATGCTGACGCTAAGTTCGTACTGGGGGTATCATGCTGAGACATTATGGAGGCAGCTAGGGACTCCTCAAACCTTGGGGTGCAAATTATCTTCCTTCATCCAATCCGACCTCCGAGTCGTTCGTCCATCAAGGTCTCCGCTCCGGGCTTCGATTTCTGCGGGCTGCCGCCCGGGCTAGCCAATGCCAGACTCTTCGCTCTGGCATGCAGTTTCCTGTCTTCATCATCCTTCCAGTCTCGGATGATCTCTTCTCGTACACCCCTACCCCATTTCAATACCGCATCTTCAAGCTGTTTCCAAATGCCTGGTTCTTTCGAGCTGTTGACAATGCTCATGACATTGACCAAAAGTTTGATATCCCATCTGATCTCCGCCGCTTTCATCCAAAACCTCATGTTTTCGGCACGGCGGTATGGTTTGGCTACGTCGTCATGCCAGGTCTTGATTTCTCCAAAGTGCCGCTTGGATCGCTTGACGGCGCCATTGTGCATCTGGATCAGCTTTCTGCCATCCAACAATGCTCTCAGAAATGCGGTGGGCTCGTTTGCTTCAGCGTCGACTTCTTCCCAGCGGGGCAACTCATCACCTGTTGGCTGGTTGGGTGATGCTTTCTGAAGGCTTTCCAGGAAGCAAATCTCCCTCTCCTTTTCCCTACCTGACCACAAAGAGTTATCCATCCACTGCCAGCCTTCTCGCTCTTGACGTTCAGCCTCTTCCATCCTGACTTCCTCATCTATCATCATACCCACTTCGCTGACCCATACAAGAATCGCAAGTCTCTCTTCCTCGCGTAGGCCACCTGCAAACTTTCTCGCAGCCCACTTCTTTAGTACGTCAAGTACGGAAATCAAATCCCTTCTGATCTGGAAGTCGGGTTTGATGGAGTGGAGGACTGTGGGGTTGGGATGAAGGGTATAGTATAATCGTGCAGCTCTGATAGCTAGAGTCGTTGTGTCCAAGAGGTGTAGCCCTTGTATCTCGTAGAAGCCTTGCAGATCCTGGCCCTGCGGTTCTCCATTCTCTCCGTTCTTGAGACTCGAAGAAACGTCTTCTAACGCATGTAGGGCATTCTCCAGGGCATCGACAAGATCCTTCTTAAGACTCTTCTGGTCAGGAGGAGGAGGAACATGATTTGTTCGATGTGCATAAGTGCTCACGGTTGGAGGAAGCATCACCTCCTCACCATCTTCTTGTGCTGCGTCCCACAATAATGCACCCTCATCCTCGATAGGGCTGTCTGTGATGGCGCTTCCTGCATCACTGTCACTCCTGCTGAGCGAGAATTTAGATGGTATAGGCAGATCATATTCTCCATTTTGTCTTGTCTTTGCTAGCTGTCCTCCCTTTCCATCCAGAAGACCGGTTCGAGCGAAGTAGTATTGTAGGTGAGCAATGCTGCCAAGGGATAGCACTGAATCTCTGTTCTGGGCTGAAGGTGCAAATGTGACACCTTGAGGACGAATGTACCCTCTACGGCGAGAGGATGTCGTGGAGATTGCAGAAGGAAGAGAACAAGACCGAGCGGATGAGCGTGAGGAATTACTGCTAAGAGAGGACACGTTGGAAAAGGATCGATTGGTTGATACACTTATCGAAGGGGAGAGATCAGGCGTATCTAGCGATGGTGAAGGGGAAGCAGAGAGAGTGGGTGAACCATTAATGGATGGCATCTTTGCGGGCATGTCGGCCGTTGCCGTTACAACGATGAGACAGATATCTAGAGAGCATCAAAGGTCTTCGAGGTCCGGAGATTTGAGACTCGCGTGAAGACTGACACATTATTGTCAACAAAAAACAATCAAGACCCTTGAACAGGGGAACATCAACGGGAGCACTAACTTCCGGATTGCAGTAGTTAGTACGGAGTAAAGGGAAGCTAGTTGGCAGCAAGAGCTCCTGAACCGCTACTCGAGTAACTTAGACTCATTACAGTACCCCTCGCTCGCGTGTCTTTTGGTTTCTTTGAGCCTTGGCAAGCAGAACAGTGCAGTGGCACCAATGACGGATTACCCTTCTAGCCAATTCACCTCTTTGTGTAGTACAGTAAGCTAACACTCCAAGCCCTCTGGACCACAAAACTATATCTTATACATTCATCTAGAGGTTTATTCTGTACATATACCCTTCCAGAGAGGCACCGGGTAGGACAATTTTTCAAGCTCCTTGGTCTTGCACACTATTCTAGATGGCGCAACGAATTTCCTACAGAGTTCACGGCAAGGTACAAGGAGTTTTCTTTAGGTAGGGCGTTCTGATCTCGTCTGCTGTTGACAGGATGACTGACAGACTTTCAAGAGCATTTACACAGGAAAAAGCTCAGAGTTATGGTATAACAGGGTTCGTAAAGAACACATCCGACGGCAAAGTAAGATAGACGAGAGTTTTACATCAATGGAGATCTAGCCTAACTCTCTCCAGGTTGAGGGCGAGGCTCAAGGGAACGAAGATGCCTTGCAGAAATTCCTGAAGGATATCAATGAAGGTCCGAAAAATGCACATGTTGTCAAAGTGGAGAAGTCGACCATAGACACCAAAGATGGAGAATCTTCCTTTCAGTATTGAATTGTTCAGACCCAGTCCGAGGTTTCACTACAAGATTGCGGCAAGGCGCAAGGATATCCACCATGCCAGCCCATATTGGTCCAAGCATGATGGAGAGAAAAAGACAGAAACGGTTTCCAGCATCTGCCTAGCTTAGGCGAAAGAAATAGAAAGAAGAGAGATGGGTTCTAGTAAGAGACAGTCAAGTCTCATCTTTCTGCCCCATCGGCCAAATGCAGCAAAGTCGTGCACGTCATCAACAGCGTACTCTGGCACCCACTTAGGGTGAGGAAGACCATTTCCCACCGTCTGGTACTCGGTATGGCTCATCTAAGGATCTACAACTAAGTCTTAGCTTGCCAGAGGCCTTGTGCTTTGTTCCGTTTTGCTTTTATTCCCTATGCACGTGATTCGTGATTTGATGTCCGATTTCTTCCGAAAGCGGCAACATTCGGACGTGTTTTCGCAGTCATGTGGCAAGAAACAGTAATGGGTCTCAGATGTCCATTCTGCTAGAAGCCACGCGAAGGCCGACTTACATTGTGCAGGTCTGGCTAACCAGTGTTACAACTACTTGGACCATGATTGTAGATGTCCATTTATGCTGCACTAACTGATAGACCGAGGAATGTATCGCAGAGCTTGCCCAAAGAGTGCTAGTGAAATGCAGCCCTGTGGCGTTTCCTAGCGGATTATGGGATTACTACGTTATTGATTTATTTTTGACACCGCTGCAAGTGTTTGGTGGCTCCACACCGTCAGTTGTGGTCATGGCCAACGAGAAATGTCGGAAGGCTTCGTGTTCGAAGCTGAGCATGTTGACGCACGTGCCCAGGATATAAATATGCCCTGGCAACTTCTGACTGTCATAACTCAATCATCTTGCCATCAACAGTACACTAATCCAACCAGCATACATACGTTCTACTAACCATTCACCTTTTTCCCAAACCAACTCTGTATTCTACCACCACTAAATTATGGGCACGATACGTGTGACGCCACCACGGACCCTGTTCTCTGGGCAGGGAAGTGCTTACATCGGCAAAGCTATTGCAAGCTCGCTCAATAGCTCATCATCAATATGCACAACAGGAATGAGAAGTAGCTACTACCTTCTCCGACCATACAGCTCTCCTCTTGGCAAGAGAAACTTTTCATCCACAAGCAAGCAGCAACTGGAAGTGTTTCCGCCTCCAAGAGATGCGCCCTCCATCAGAGTCACGTATGTCTCCATCAGGTCTTCCTTTCGTGGACTGACTAACTCGCCCCCAGTCCTGCAGCATGGCAGCATCCGGTCTATTCCGAAGAGTCGATGAAACAGATTGCCATTGCTCGTCGCGACGTGAGGACGTGGTCCGACTGGACTGCCTTCAACCTTGTGCGCTTGCTCCGCTGGTCGACCGATATAGCCACCGGCTATCGACATCAGAAGGAGATCAAGAAACTCGAAGATAATCCGAATGCCAAGCGATTTCAGATGACGGAGCGGAAATGGCTGACTCGTTTCATCTTTCTCGAATCGATAGCTGGAGTACCGGGTATCGTTGGGGGCATGCTTCGACATCTCCGCAGCTTGAGACGAATGCAACGAGATAACGGATGGTCCGTTTTTGTCATAGAACATCTTTGGAGACATGCTAACTTTCAGTAGGATTGAGAGTCTTCTAGAAGAAGCTTACAACGAGCGAATGCACCTCCTCACTTTCCTAAAGATGGCCGAACCAGGAAGATTCATGAAGTTCATGGTTCTTGCTGCTCAGGGCATCTTCAGCAACGCCTTCTTCTTTGCGTACCTCGTCTCCCCTCGCACATGCCATCGATTTGTTGGTTATCTCGAAGAAGAAGCCGTCATGACCTACACCCATTGCATTCGCGATATCGAGGCTGGACGATTGCCATCATGGTCAAAGTTGGATGCTCCAGAAATCGCAGTCCGATATTGGAATATGCCTGAAGGCCACAGAAAGATGCGAGATCTTTTACTATACATCCGAGCAGACGAGGCTAAGCACAGAGAAGTCAACCATACCCTGGGCAACCTCGATTGGCACAAAGACCCCAATCCATATGTGTCTGAGTACAAAGATCCGAGCCAGAATCATCCCACAAAGGGTATTGATATCAATAAACCGGTTGGATGGGAGCGAGAGGAGGTGATATGAGAAGTTGTTCACTGTGATTTGCGATTCAGCGTGTTTGTGAAAGCATAGCGAGGATTTGGCGTTTTACAAGGGCCTGTACATTAGCAGGGAACTCTCAACTTTCAGAAGAAGAATGATTTGAATCCTTCAAAGGGTTACCAAAAGTTGGCTACAAAGCCTAATAGACATGAATTTTGTTGATTTTGGATCTTTATTCATGCTTATCACTATGAATTGTTCTTCACGAATTGTGCTGAGGCTGGAACAAGAGATGCCACATCAAGTTTCGCAGGGTACATATCTTGGGCTTGAAGTACAGTGGCATAATCTCAAATGAGGCAACAACTGTCATGCTAACAATAACTGCGTACTTCTCAGAGTATTCAGCACCACTGATTTGAACGAGAGACTCTCGTAGCTTGGTCACACGGGCGCACTACTAAGTCGTCGCCCTCAGAAAGTCAACCGGACCCACTTCCTCCTGGGCATGAAAAACATACAGGTAGGCCAACTCCCCCCTCAATTATCAAAGATTTTGCTGCCAAATAGCGGTGTGCAACCTCAACCTGGCCTTTCAAAAAGTTCAGCTCCGCCTCGCCAAGCCCCCTTTGTTTCGCCCTTCCGGATATCCCTGGCTACAGTCGACCAACCATGAACAACAATTACACGGAGGACTACTCCTGGCAGTCTCTAGAGGGCGATCAATCCTGGTGAGTTGAAAAAAAAAAGACAGGGGCTGACCGAAGGGCAAAAATTTAAGGGTTGACTACGGCTATGCGTCAGCCTTACCGAACTTTCAACTGGACCTGCCATTGGGCTATGAACCAAACCTCACAGCACCATGGGCTTCTACAAATACATCCTCATATTATGTCCAGAATAATTTAGGAGCTGGCTCATCCCTCGTAGAGCCTCAGCAGAACCTAGTCGGCAGTTATTTCCACATCACGGGAGCAGAGGGTGGTGCCAACGGCCAAAATGCATGTTTCACGTCTGAACCGAGAGAAACAGTGCTCCCAAACGTTGACACTGCAGTGCTTTACCCTGCGTATATGCAGGGCACTGCATCTCACCACCAGGTGCAACAACAAGAACAAGCCACAGATCTGTCAACAGCCGCCATTGACTTCCAGTTTGTTGGTGGATCTCGACCACTTCAGCCTCTAGCAGCGAAGGCAGAACTGCCGAGGTAGGCGAAAATAACTTTGCGGCTCTTTTTGGTAGTTCCACTGACAAATCGTAGCGTTGCTCAGAGACAGGATGAGAACTCAGAAGAACTGAACCTCAAATGTAAATTTCCTGGTTGTGTTTCGAAGAAAAGCTTCAAGCGAAAGTACGAACTTGAACGACATATGCAGAAGCATAGTCGGCAAGAAACTTTCGACTGCCCTGCTGTCAACTGCAAGTATCGCGGGCCAAAAGCTTTCTATCGACCAGACAAGCTGAAAGCTCATGTACTCGCTGGTCATGATGAGCAGACACTATTCGCGTGCCCTGTAGCCGGATGCTTCTCAGCTAGTAGACTCTTGTCGCGCGCCTTCTTGTCCGTGCACATGCGCAACCATGACTTGCCAGTAGGGAAGTATCGGGGCTATTTACCAGCACTTGGATCTCTTGATCGATTTCGAACCTGTCCTGTCGAGAAGTGTTTGAAGAAGCTGTCTCCAGATTCCCTGCAGGGGCATGTCCTGCAGCACACTGAGGCTGAACGAGCTGCCTGCCGGATCAAGATTGCTGCCGCGGGATTAGATCATCTCAGTGGTTGCGTCATCTGCCCAATTATCAGCTGTCGAATTACACTTCCAGATCTGCCGGCATTCCAAGATCATCTTATCGACCACATTGCCTTAGATCCGAATCACTTTCGCGCCTGGAAAACCAGTGCCATTCATTCGTGGTGTGATCTTCATCAACATCCCTGGGTGCTACTGCGTATTTCATGGTGGGATAGAATATCGTCTTTTTATAATAGAGACTGCCCTGCCTGCGGGATGAGGAGGGGACAAAACACTCATCCGTTCGACTTACTCAAAGATCCCAAGAATTTGCACGCTTGTAGAGAAGAGATCCTCCAACTTTACCCTGGTATCGGCTGGCACCCAATCTTTGATGATGTGATGCCGGCTGTTCACCGTACGACGATACGATTACCATAACAGAAAGGTGAATACAGCCCGCACCTTATCAGAACCCAGCTAAAACACTTTGCAGCCAACGCATCTTCAGCCTTACTTCTTCTTTTCGTGGCAACTGTTTCCTTGCAATGTCACTTTAACTGCGGTGGGTCGCTACTTGTATTGGGTAATGGTGAGACTGTGGATGGTTGAGGTGTGGATACAAAGGGTAGTCGTTGTCATTTGATACATGATTCAAATTCTCTTATCATCACGGCCTAGTAAACGATCATTCTTCTGAAAATTACCAGCTCTGTTGCTCATTGCATGACAATTCCATGCTGTGATTGTCAATCATAACAAGGCCATCAATCAACCCCGGAATCACCCTGCCCTGGTGCGCCACTGAACAGCTCTTTTTGATACCATGCTCCGTGTATAATCGCTGTTCAACATAGTTTTTGCGTATAAGCGAAATAAGGGAGACTTCTATATTTGGAGATTGTATATGCCTGATTTGACCTGGGGGGTCCCTGATCTAGCGTGGCTGTAGACGGGTTTAACAGCTGCCTTTCCACCTAACTCTCCTGTTCTTCGCATATGCAGCGTACTTGCATGTACGCTCAACATGGAGAGACCTACAAGGTTGATCTTCACCTTCTTGTAGCCGCTGTCTTGCATGTTCTTGTTCTTGAAAATCTGGTTATGAAGAGTACGTAGCATGATCGACAGACGCGTCGCGTTCTCCCAGCTAAATTTTAGCTGCTCACTACGTACTACGTAGTTGGTTTGTTTAGAGGTTGGCGGCCAGGAAGTTTTCCCGCTCTTAGCGGAGCTCCTTCAGGCAATGCCCAACCACAACATTAAGGTCATATCTCCTTGTCTCCGTGTCTCAATTACCAAGACAGACGGAACTCTACATGTAATGACTTGCACCGTTACAAGAAGCGCACCTTTAAGACTTCCTTGTTTGTGTGCCTGCTGTTCCCTGATCGACCCAAAACATTTTGAAAGCCAGTTGAAACACTTCACAAAACCTTTCACTTACCAGCATCGCCATCAGAGAAACATAGAAGTCTCCATAACCTCACGAATTTCAACCAAATACTGTTGATCAGCTCCCTATTGTGTCCACCAATCAAGAGGGGGCATGTTTGCCCATGGAGTACAAACGATGGTGGAGACAGAAGCATCAGCCGAGACCGATCTCCAAAGGTACCTAAAGAAAACATCTGACGACTCTGGCAATCCCCCACCCGTACCACCGAAAGACTCACCCTCGGTGTCAAGCAATGTCGACTCCCACTTCATCTCCCGAAGCATATCTCGAACAGATTCCATTTTCTCTTTCTCCCGCGCAACCTTCAGTAGCCAATGGTCCAGTCTCACTTCCATGAAGTTACCTTCCTCCGAATCGCTCTCTACTAGCATATCTGCTATATATACAGCACATAAAGCCATCAGGGCGTTGACAAATGCGGCGGATCAAATACAAATGTGGGCTGGAAAAGCGATCAAGATCCTAAGCAATCTGGATGCAGACGACGACGTCGAATGGGCTGCGGCTGCAGGACGAGAAGGCCTAGATGAGACTGACAAGGCTGTGCGGAAGTTCGAAACACTGGTAAATGTGTACGTGCAAGCGATAGACGAACTGCAGATGCGGCCCGATGTTGGTGAGGTTGAAGCAAAGGATCTACAGGACGTTGTTGACCAGATGGAATCGACCCTCGCAGATTGGGAGGATGTCCGAAATTCGTTGAAGGCTGTGCACAATCAAGTGGAACTGGCTATGGAATGGGAAGAGTTGTGGGGTACTGTGCTCGGAGATGTTGGTGAAGAGATGGACAGCTTAGGCCGACTTGTCTTTGAGATGGAAGAAAAGAGACATATGTCAATGCGTGAGGATGCCCACACCGATGTCAGCGAAGGATTCGACCTAAACGAGCTGGAAAACATGCTTCATGAAGGTCCGAAAAGAGCCTCAAACTCAGCCACCAATCGCTTTAGCCTGCCTTTCGGTTTCTCATCCTCGCCATTGGAATCTTCTGCGTTTGATAAGACACAAAATGATTCAAATTTGTTGGCCTTATTTGCCCGTATGCAACCACTTCGGGCTTCCCTCGACTTCTTGCCAATGCGTCTCTCCATGTTCAAAGCACGGGCTGAGGAGGTCTTTCCAACTGCGTGCATAGAATTGGAGGAGAAGAGGACGCGGTTGGAGAAAGGCTGGAAGACATTGGAAAAGGAAGCCGAGGACCTCCGAAGAGAACTGGGTGAGGACCGATGGATACTGGTCTTCCGCAATGCTGGTAGGCAGGCGCAGAAGATGTGTGAATCCGTCGAGAGAAGCATTACAAAGCTACAAGAAGCAATCGACGCAGGAGCGCAGCACAACAATCGAACAGCCCTTGCTAAGAAAGTCGAAAATTTCGAGGCCAAACGCATGCACTATGGGCCTGCGATTGATCGTGTTCTGTCTATCATTCACAAAGGTGTCCGGGATCGACTCACAGTCAATGGAGAGATCCTAAGATTGCATGCCGACATGACTTCTCGGGTCCAAGCAATGCATCAATCGATGAACATCATGGAGGCCACTCTCGAAGAGTCCAATGCCAATCACAATTCTGAGCTGCGAGACTCAATATCGAGTATCATTTCCATGGATCGGTCAATGACGAGCAGCTTCAACGAGACGCCAGGTTCATCTCCTGCTTCGTCGGTTGTTCTTTCCGGTGGCAAGCACGATACACCGCCAGCAAATGGGACTCGTGGGTATCGATCGACTTCTTCTTCACGTCCTCCAACTGGTCATAAACGCTATGCATCATCGCTGAATAAACGACCGGCAACGCCCCTCTCATCGCATTCCGCTAGCACCCTTCCAGCTAGAACTGCATCTCCTTCGCCTGGCCAGCCGTCTGTCTATCGCCAAGGTATATACAAGCCTCCCACTGCCCCACTACCTCGACCAGCTGCCACTCCACTCAGCAACAAGCCTAGATGGAGCAGTAGCGGTAAACCCAGCAACCCAAAACCTGCTTATGGTGCCAGGACTGCTTCAGGTACAATGTCGTCCCCGCTGGGTAGGCATCATCAGCCCTCTCGATCGGGGTCCTCATTTTCCTCTTTACCAGCCCCAAGTCCATTGAGTCGAGAAGCAACAAGCTCGCCCAATATTCCACCAACAAACGCCATGCGACGAGCGTCGAATCTGCAATCCTTTGCTGAACGAGTTTGCACCCCGGTCCCAGGAAGTGCTCAAAATCCGCTGCCACACCATCGTGGTCGCCACGTGACGGCGCCAGTCCACACATCACCTCACCTTGGCACCATCAGATCTCCTTCATCGCTAGCCGTCCACAACAGAAGCAAGCCTACAATGAATCGGGCACCTTCATCACTTGCACACCAAAGATCGTCTTCGAAGCCGCTGGCCTCGAAGACAAGCAATCCAGTTTCGAGAGGCGACAGCGGGATTGATATTGGCGATGATGAAGACTTGGATCATGACTTGGAGAATCTCCAGCTGGACAGAGAATTGAGCTCCAGTCCTTCAATGAGACCTAGGCTAGCTCAGAATCAACGACCAGGATCTGTGGCAGGCAGGAGATTGAGTATGTTACCTCTTCCGACAAACAAAATCAAAGGCAGTACTGTCATCTCGAATGCTAGCGGCAGAGAAAGCTCACTGAGCAATAGGCCTGTTTGGAAGTGAAAAGGCACCCTTTACTTTCCTGCTTAGGTATTGAAGGAATGATATCAGGTTCCCTTCTTCGTTTCTTTTCTGTTTGCACATGTCTGTTTGTGGAAGAGTAAGGCAAGCAAGCAAAGCTGCTTACTTTGGTTAATGTCAGCGTTTTAGCGAAGCGAAACATTCTATTGTACTGTGCATATGTGCATCTGAGGTACACGGATTAGCTTGGGTAGTCATACTAGTTACTAGTAGTAACAGATGAAGGAACAAAGAGTGAACCACATGACATGACATGACATGACATCTCCTTTTCTTCAGCACAAAGTGTCAAGTTTTCCAAACTGCCAGTTTCTACAAGAAGATCAGTAGCATATTTTTCTTTTTGTCGGGAATGAATGCGAGGCTATCACCTGGACAGGAGTAAATGAAACAGGCCACTTCCCATCCCCTTCCAAACTCACAACGCTGATGAACTCTCACTAACGATAATCCCTTCTACGCATGTCCCTCTAGCAAGATCTGATAGACAATAGTAGTCAGGTGGACAACCAAACATGCATGCTAATCAATGCACGAGTACGTACGTAGTAGTTAGTACGCAGAATCTTCAGACCTGCAAGGTGCGGTGCTTGCCCCTGCATCCATACTATGCACATGCATCCATGCGTGCACACTTGCACACCTGCAAAACGGTGTCCAATCCCATCCCATCCCATACAATTCCACCTGTCTGCTTGTAATCCCATTCCATCACATCTCCTGGACATCCGTGGCGGAGGGAACGTCCTTGTGTCTGAATCGATCGATCGATCAATCGTCATTTATATTTATCTTCATCTTGATATTGTAAGGGTGTCTGATCTATATCTTGCGGCGCAGTCATGACGGGGGAGAACTGATCGAGGTAAGCAGGTAGGTAGGTAGGCGGTATGCATGCGCACATGCAGGGGGATGTAAAGCTTGCTGACACTACTACTATGTACGTAATTCTGTAAGATGTGTATGCGAGGTTCGGCAGGTTTGACTTTCATGCATTACGGATCGGATAGGTTTTAAGTATGATGCAGGAATGGTGGGTGGAGGCGGAGGGGCTTCGGATACGTAGTAGCTGCTTCGATAGTGGTTGATAGAGTTGTTCGGGTAGGTACTGTGCTGCTGTAGTGCTGTACCTGGATTGGTTCTTGCACACCGCAGCTACGTATAAAGGCGGACGGGAATGAAAGACGTTGAGACCTTTCTCGGATGAGTTGGCTAGTTGACGATCAGCTCAATTGTATGCACTCACCATGGATACTGAGGGATTATCAAAAGGTGATCATGGCGTACTGAGGTCTCTGTTCTACTGCTCGTAGATTCTGCCATGTCTGTCAAGCTACGGTTTCCTCCCTTGTATATTCACATCCTTCCGTTCCGATATGTACATTAACCACATCCGTGCTATACCTTGCTCTCTCACCTCCCTGACTCACCTTTCAAGGTAGGATCCTACTTATTTTCCAACTATGTCCCCGCCGTCAACGTAACAACCACCCACTTAACCTCGGCCTTCTCATCCTTCAACGGCGTCCAATGTGTCGCCAACCTCTCACTCCTCCTATAGATCACACTCTTCTTCGTCACGAGATTGATATCCGCGCTTACTGCCCTTCCAGACTTTAATGAGCTCTTGATGCGATATTTGAAGTCGCGCGGCATAGAGGGGGCATGTTGCATGAGAATCTTGAATATGTTGTTATTGGCGAGGTGGAGGTTTTCTTTCGGGTCGAGGCAGAGCATGTCGACTATGGTCGGCGAGAAGAATTTGACTTCGAGAGCAGGGTGGCTTAGAACGAGGAACTGTGATGTCCATGAGGTTAGGGTAAGGAATTGCTTGCCTAGAGTGAAGGAGCAGATTGTACCTTAGAGTAGGCGGTGTAGAACATCTCCATCTGCTCTTTGAAATCCAGCCGCTCGATCTTGTTGATTAGATTCTGTTCCATGCCGGCTGGTATGTCGGAGTATTTGTCATTGTTCTTGCTCCGGAAGGTTTTGAACAAGGCGCCGAGGCCGGAACTTCCGGGTTTAGAAGTTGTTGCTGCGGCAAGATATGGATCGTCAACGACATTGGAGTCTTCGCCAATGGAAAGGAGTCGGAGGATGTCGGAGCAATTGTGGATTGTGGTGGAACAGTTGATCTGTCCTCCAAGGAAGAAAACTGTTCTGCCCTCGGAATCTAGTAAAGGAGCTGTAGGATGCTTTGTTAATTTCTGCCGCATTGATTGTAGGTAGTACTATGCTATACTCACTCACGTATAGCAAGTTCCAGAATGGTTCTCCTGTCTTTCGATAATTTAGAAGTAACTCTACTGACTCCTTCTTTGCGCCAATGCAGGCTTTGAGTCGCCGCACTGCAGCGTGATCGGTATGGTTGCCTTGTAAGAATCGACAGTTCCGAGGGATAATCTCTGACCTTGAATAGCCGGTGACACTGACGAAACCATCCGAGGCGTAAACAATGGGATTGTCTGCTATGCTGGTACGCAGATGAAAGGTTAATACCGCGCTTTTGAACACTCAAGATTGCGTCATGTAACTCACGCTGGATTGGTAAGACAGAAACAATCGCCAAGGCCTGCATATCTTTGACGGCTACCACCAGACAAGGCCTTGACTGCACTGGTGGTCATTTGGTGCTTGACAAATCTAGGGTAGATATCCGAGGCCAGCAGATTCTCAATGTGCTCTTGCGCATCCGTAAACATCAACTCCATGGCCGGAAGCGTGGTCATGGTGGTCATTTTAATATCTGCATTCATCTGCTTCATCATGCCCTGCGAGAGGTTCAACTGTTTCACGGCATCCGGAGATATGAAGTTTTTGTGAATCTCGGAGAGGGTCTTGGTCAATTCGTCTAGGAGAGTATTGTATCGGTCTACCTGTTCCAGAGCGAGCCATCGTCAGCGCGCACCATGATGAAGCTCGAACTCTGAAAGCTAACCCTCTCCAAGAATTCCATGTTCTCTCCCGACATACGTGCTTGGCTAAATTTAAGAAGCTGATGCGCCGTGGCTGGGTTGTGCAGGACGATCTGAAAGACTTCTGGGCTGAAGAAGTCTGCGACACCATTGACAGCCATGCCTCTACTGGTGGATGACCTTGGCCGAGTGTCATCAGACTGTGGTGGTGGAGATACACCTCGATCTCGCTCGCGCTCCACCAGGGCCTTGGAAGGTGTCGAGGTGATGTTTCCGAAGTCGAAGCCATGATCGTTGCCATAGGGGTTCGTAGGAGCGCCGTTGAGGTGGGTATCTCTGTAATCCATCATTGCCGTCATTGTGCCTCACCTGTGACAGTAAGATGAATGCATGGCAGTGTCATGAGCAGTGAACGACCGCTTGAGCTATTGTTCAGATGTGCATTACGGTCAGCGACGGCTCTGCGTTCGAGACCAAATAGACTCCGGACGATAGCTAACTGCAAGAAGCCAAATGCCGGAAGTACATCATGACTTTGGCGTGCATGCAGCATTGGCAAGGATAGGGTGATCTTGCTGCTATTCGTACATTAGCTCATCCACGTAAAAGCAATTCCGATTGGTGCCAGCTGCATGCGCTACTCGAGGCACTATCCTGACGACTTTCTTCGCTTCGAGCTCCCCTGCATATTGTGTAATATTGGTATTGTTTGGATCGACCTTGGCCCTCGCGAATCTTCTACCTGTAGAAATATCCCGTCTATCGGTATTCTCCATCTACTAGCGGCTCCTAGCGAAGGGTAATGCTCAGACTAGGGCCAAAGGCGTTGGTGGCGGGGAAAACGTGGTGAGAGAAGCTACGCTGAGATGATCGTTTCACAAGGAGCAAAACATGCTGTCTTCCATGCATATTCGATACGAGTCGTTACTACGAGTACGTATCCATGATGCCCTGAGCAAAGATGCAGGCAGCTACCACCGGCAGCTCACATGACACTCACCATTCAGCAGCTAAAGTTGCTAAGGGCGCCACTTACCCAGAAGATGAGCCGGGTGAATCCTTCAAGTAGTTAACAATGAAGATTTGTGCCAAGGACAGCCCCCATCGCCAGGACCCGAGCCCCAGGGGTAGAGGACAAGGCATAAGGAACAAGATCTGCCGAAATTGCAATGATCCTACCCAAAAACGACCGACTATGCATGGCACAATCAGTTCCGGTTTAATTAGTTTATCGAAATCACGGCACCCAATCTGTCGGGACACCTCGTGCCACCCTACCTCACCATGCCACTCCCACATACCAGTAACTAGTTTTACTCCGTACTAACTACTAGTATTAGAATTTTCGCATAAAGTTTACTACGGTACAGAGTACCAAGCAGAATTGTAGTAGCCATAGCTTGGCGCTAGTATCTTTGACCCTGTATGACTCGATATGCTTTCATAACCGCTAAGCTAAATTCTTGATAACGGTTATTAACTGACCAATTTGTATAGCTAAAGACAAAATAAGCTCTCAGATTGTGGATTCGGGAGCTGTGGCACAATGAAAGAAAACTAGTTTTACTAGCGCCGAGCTATATGGCTACTTCTGCCTGGTACCGTAGTATGGATTCTAGTTATTGCCCATTAACTACGCCATTGAGCAAGCTGCGTCTGGCCAGCTTCTCCCCCCTCTCACCCATCCTTGCTACGTTAGCCGCAGATTGCACCGGGCTTCAACGTCCATCATCCTTGATCGATAAGCCTCCGACGGCTCGTTGATTGGGAATAGCCCAGAGTCAACCAGGATCAATCTTGCTCTTCTATGCGAATCGCACGGTCGAGGATTGGGCTAAAATTTTTATCACGCAGTAGGTAGTAGATTCTCACCGTTGCGTTCCAAGCAGGTCAAAGTTCTGGCTCAGTTCGTAATGCACATGGTCACCCATATTCCTTATTCACTACCATCCCGTGCCCTCCCCTCCTCACTCCTACCGTACTTTCATCTCATTTCTAGAAGGCGAGCGACACTTTTTGCTTTGAGACAAAAGAACACCCTAGCCAATTGGCCAAATGTCCAATGTCGGCGCTCTGCACGCCTTCCCTAGCAACAAGCCCCTTCACACCATAGAAGAATCAGGACACAGCGACTACGAACCCACTGAGCGAGGTGACTCAAGGCTGCAGTCGTATGAGGACATCTATTACAATCAAGCAGTGAGATTGGCGGCAGAGGAATGGCAGGCTTCTTCCTCCGACAATTCCAGCAGGTCCGATGAAGGCCGCGCCTCTCCCAGAGCAGATGCTCGTTCCAGGTCAGGTCAACTGCGGCATCGCACAAAGTAGGGTTTTGTTTTCATTCGCTCTGCCCTTTTCCGAACATGTTACTCACCATCGCTGTAGTTCCAATAAACAGGCTCCTTTCCAAGAATCAGAAGGGTCAGATCATGCCTCGGCGCAGAGGAGCTCACCCAGAGAATCTGGCACCTTCTCAGTTGAAGAATCCAACACCGACGTCACATCTGCCATGCAACAGTCTCTAAGGGGTGAGCACTCGGATAATGAAAACCCCTTCGTCGCCCCATCAGACGAATTCGACCTGGCAGCGCCGGTCAAGATTGGAAACGATCTACATGCTCTCGAAGCTCTTTGCGATCTGTTATTTGCTGGCGAACATCTAAAGAAGATCTTTGCAGATCCATCCTCACTGCTGGATTTCACGGCTTTCCTCAGCGCTTGCCGGCCAAGATCGATTCCCATGCTAATGTACCACCTGGATGCCGCAGAAGCTTTGAAAGCTGTCAATTATGCCATCACAATCGCAGATTCTCTAGAAGCGATACCAGGGCACGACTTTACGTCTGCGCCGACTAAGACATCCATGAACTCGGAATTGGAATTCAAAGCCGAAAAGGCGTTCAACGTCCTAGTCAAGGAAGATCTTCCGGCCTTTGTGACTCAGCTGTATGTACAGACGGTCAAGTCAAGCATGATGAGGCGTATTGCAGGTCCTGCCGTACCACCCTCGAGGGATGAGCCGGAGGGAATGTTGGAGGTCTTCTGTCTGACCGACCCGTCGCGAACTGACAATCCTATCGTCTTCGCCTCAAAAGGTTTGTGGTCTGCAAGTTTGGATGCCGTTCTGTTATATTTAGCTGACGGCATGCACAGCATTCCATCAAATGACTCAGTATAGTATGGGTTACGTTATTGGACGCAATTGCCGTTTTCTGCAGGGACCAAGGACAAACAAGGCCAGTATCGATCGTATCCGCAAAGCATTGGACGAAGGACGAGATCATTGCGACCTGATCCTTAACTAGTAAGCACTGCAATGCCATGGTCATACTCGCTAGCTGACTGATTCCTCTATCCAGTCGTAGAGATGGGTCTCCTTTCCTAAATGTATTGATGCTCGCTCAATTGCGCGACGTCAGCGGAAAGATCAGATATACTCTCGGCGCCCAGATTGACGTCAGCAACGTTCTCCCTGACAGCGCCGATCTAGATGGCGAGGTCTCTCAAAGAGGCCCTCAAATCGACTTCATGGGTCCAACTGCTCCTCCAGAAGGGAGCAAGCCGAAAGACAAATCTCAAGACCCACGTGAGATGCTGGATTCGCAGAACCAACACGAGGATGGCGGTCGAAGGGCGCCGACGATACAAGAACAAGCAGATGACGATGTCCGGTCAACGAACGGTAACTGGCAGCGTCCTGCAGCTCTCCTGCGAGGTCTTTCCTCCGCTTCCCTGTCAGAGTACGGTTCTGAAAGCTGGGTTAACAACAAACTGGGTGGATTTTACCAGCATGTAAGCTTCCTGCATTCTTATTGATTTTTCTATTGCTGAGAATCTACAGTATCTTCTCATTCGACCTTATCCATCCCTACGTGTCCTCTTCGCCTCCCCCTCTTTGCGCCTACCCGGCATAGTGCAGGCTCCTATAATAGACAAGATTGGAGGTAGTCCTGAGGTCCGTGAGGAGCTCACCCAGGCCCTAGCACAAGGCAGAAGTGTCACTGCGAAGGTCCGTTGGGTGATGAAACCAGGCGATCGAGGTCGCAATCGATGGATCGCCTTTACGCCACTCGTTGGCAGCCACGATCAGATTGGCGTCTGGATAGCTATCTTGGTCGATGAAGAATCGGAAAACGAACTGAGGCTGGCGCCTCCAGTGAAATTTAGAGTCCCTGAATTGAAGAGACCGGCGCCGGCTCCTCCGAAACAGCCATCAGTGGTACCAGCCAAGGACAGAGTACCCGATGCCAAGGCCTTTGATGCGTACTTGGAAAAGCCTATGCCGCCCTTGCCAGAGAGACCTGTCCCCTCACGAAATGAGGAATCGCCAGCCAGTATCAGCCCAACGGCCACCTCCTTCCTACCTGAGATTGACGAGGCTTACGAAAGTCTTGAAGTGCGTTTGCGGAAGAAACGGGAGCGCGACGCGGCGAGATTGCTTGAAAAGAATGGTGCTCCCATCAAGCCGACATACAAATCTCTTTCACCCTACGCTTTCATGAATAATGATGGGCCTTGAAGTGCTCGCTCCTTTCAGTATACGAAGTGCGGAGTAAATCCCGCCTATTCTTTCTCAAGAGATAAGTAATACCTATGTTCACATAAGTGACGGCGTCTTTCCCATATCTGCTACGAGCATTCCAACTTGGGCAGTCTTGCAGCCAGCTACCTTGCAGGCAGAGATTTTATTGCTGCCAGGGAACTGGTCATCCTCACCTAATCCTCACAAGCGAATTCGTGGCTCCTCAGACAAAGCAAGCCTCACGGAACCAAGCATCGAATCACATTGCGATTATAGACTTGGAGCTGGCTCTTATGCCGAGCTTAAGTTTTTCTTCTCTTTTTAGCCCATAGGGGTATCTGGTTGGCACGACGGAATGGTGGCTTCCTCCAAGGTGCGACCTCGAGTTACGGTGCGCATATCATGGTTCATTATCAGCCAACTGAATATGGTAATTCTCATTTGCATATAATCTGTGGAGCAAGGGAAGAAAACTGTCCTACAGGGCGAGCATGTAGGTCGTCCTGGTGTCCTGTCAAGGTCGGCAAAATGCGTCACTCAACGCAATAACAGATAATGTGGAAAATTTGGCCTTTCAGGAAAGTAATGAGGTATAGCGATGGATGATGGGGAAGCCATATCTCGGCTGGGCTGGCACATAGTAGCGAATTCACATTCCAACTTCATCACACGCTATATCTCTTTCCTTACCTTTCCTTTCCTTTCTACATTGTCCGTACCTAGCTTCTTCGAGATAGCATCTTCAGCCAGTACATGATTGCCTAGGTTATTGCGAAGGGCTGCACACTGAGTGGCACCGGCTGTCTGCCTTGCTTGGTGTCGGGACAGGTCCTCAGCCACTGTATATCTTTAATGGATGAGTTCGGCTCGGGTCGGTCACTGAGGGGGCTTTCGCAAAGACCGGACCGTAGCCGAAAGGCGCACGCAGGAGAATCTCGACTCGGATCGTCCCTGCACAAGACCATTGCCTGTCAAAGCTACTCGTAACAGACGAATCTGTCCCCAGCATTTATGTAGTTCTACTCCGTAACTTGGATCAAATGTAAGGCTTCGTAGGTCGGCAAGCTGATGGTCTATTGACTAGTTACGTAGTAGTGGACGGATGCCCGGGACCCGGGCCCGGAGGGCCGAGGCCCATTGATACAGTTAGTGACGCTGTAGGCACAGCACGAAATGGCGAAATAAATGAGAGTTATAGCTAGCAGACTACTCTACAGACAATACCAGCCAATTTGTCATCAAATACCATGCCAAGAGCGACACCAATTATTTGTATGGGCCTTGGGCCCCGGCCATACTTACTTACTACGTAGACATCGGAATTAGTGGCCGTCTGGGCAAAATCAAAAGGGTCATAATGATTGGGCGGCTCTAGGCCGACTCTTGTGCCTAGATAGTCCCACTTCTTGTGACAGATTTGCAGGAGCCAAGACGGCCACCAATTCTGTCTAACTTAGGGGCCTCGGCCTTGTGCCAGCTTTGATCCCAGCGTGCCGCTTCCCTGTGGTTAAGCGCTCTTCTCTGTACGCCTCTTAAAGGTCTGGGATGATCTTTTGTATACCTCCAACCACCCATCTTCCTCATCTTACGTTCTATTAGGGCACCTGTATGCTGATTCTCAACTATCCAGCACAAGCGCACAAGCACTCACGATGCAGACTGTGTTCATAGATACACCACACATTCTTGCTTCATCTAGCTTGACCTACAGTCTGACCAGGCGGATAGGGAGGCTGCAATTCATGCACGAAGGCTGTGCAGCGGCACAGTGCACATTTTGACAATCATTATCTCCAAGATAGCGCAGGCAACAGCTCAAGCGGCACGCAACACCTACTCTCTGCAAGGAGGAAGAGTGTAATGTTGACTGCCGCGTTTTCTGTACATCCCAGCTTCTTGGGTGTCTGCATAATCCTTGGGATACCGCAATCGCTCAGCCTCTGTCATTTGGGGTCGATTTTGCCCAACATTCCTGGTAGTATCGCTACTCTACTCAGCCGAGCACTCGTTGTGGGGAGATGATAGCTACCCAACACCGGCATGGCAGGCTCAAGTGAATTAGAGCCGGGCCTGTGTTTGCCCTCTTAGTGATGGCCCGTCCAACAAAGCCATGCTCCCAGCCACGATGTTCCGCTTTCAATGTGTCTGCTCTATGTGCTCTGTTTTTCTTTACATTTAAAAGGGTGCACTTTCCACTCTTCTCTCCATCATTCCCCTCCGCAGAAAACATTCTACCTGAAACTCCTTCCCCACACCTTCTTCTCTGCCACAGAAATCAAATCTACTCAATTTCGACATGGGAGATCAATCCGCGGCTGAGACGCCCCTTATCTCTCTACAGTCAAAGGGTCATGGCGATCTTCTCAACATTATCGATAGTCTCAGATCGCAAGGCATCAGCAGATATATCGACCTCCCTCAACTAATTGTCTGTGGAGACCAGTCGTCGGGAAAGAGCTCAGTGCTTGAGGCTGTATCTGGAATCCGCTTTCCCACTAAAGACAACCTATGCACCCGATTCGCTACAGAGCTTATACTTCGCCGAGGTCCAGATAGCAATGCAAGCGTCACCATCGTGCCTGGTCCTGATCGAACCGATAGCGAGAAGACAAAATTACTCAAGTTTCAACATGAGATCGTTGAACTTGATCAGTTCGAGCATCTAGTCAATGACGCCAAAGAGGTTATGGGTCTTGATGGAGACGCAAAGGCTTTCAGTAATGACATATTGCGAGTTGAAGTGTCTGGCCCAAATCAACCACATCTGACGTTAGTGGATCTTCCTGGTCTGTTTCAAGCAGGCAATAAGGCTCAATCAGATAACGATGCTCAAGTCGTCAAAGATCTGGTTCTTTCCTATATGAAAAAGGCCCGAAGTATTATTCTTGCAGTCGTATCTGCGAAGAACGATTTCGCTAATCAGATCGTTACTAAATACGCTCGGGAGCTAGATCCCCAAGGCTTACGTACACTTGGAATTATCACCAAACCTGACACTCTTCATGCTGGTTCCGACAGTGAGAGGTCGTTCGTTGACCTTGCCGAAAATAAGGACGTGAATTTCAGATTGGGTTGGCATGTATTGAAGAACCGTGACTATGACACAAGAGATTCTTCTGCCGAAGAAAGAGATCAAGCTGAGAGAGATTTCTTTTCCAAGGGCATCTGGACTACTCTTCCGCCTACGCACGTAGGCATTACTTCACTGAAACCACGACTCAGCTCTCTGCTCAAGGATCAGATCCTAATGGAACTACCGAACCTCATCCGGGACGTGGAAGGCGGGGTAAAGGAGTGCCAGAGTATTCTTGAACGACTGGGTGGCGCGCGAGCAACGCTCAAAGACCAGCGTCTGCACCTTCTCCAGATCAGCCAATCGTTTTCCTCACTCGCCAAGGCCGCAGTAGGGGGAGTATATGTCGACCAATTCTTTGGCAGCGCAATGACCAAGGACGGCTACAACAAGCGACTTCGTGCGGTGGCAAAGGCCATTCTGACAGAGTTCTCTGATACTATGCGAACAAAAGGACATGCAAAGTACATTTTAGATGACAACGAGACCCAACCCTTCCAAAGCCCACCACTATCACCACCTCGCATCCGGCGTTCTGACTATATCCAGGAGGTGTTGGGTTTGATGAAGCGGAGCAGCGGCTATGAGCTCCCAGGCACCTACAATCCACTGATCATAGGCGATCTTTTCTTCGAGCAGGCGTCTCCATGGGGTTCACATGTGAACGCGTTCATGAGCCGGCTCATCGAGGCAGCCAGAACGACGGTCAATATGATTTTGGACCATATTGCAGATGACGAGACGATCGGGGGGCTGATGCGGCAGATTATCAACCCTGAAATGGATGCGCTAAAAAAAGCCACGGAACAGAAGGCTGCAGAAGTGCTAGCACCGCACCAACGAGGTCATCCGAATACTTACAACCACTACTTCATCGAAAACGTGCAAAAGGCAAAAGAAAGGCACTGGCAAAAGTTCCTCGAAGAGAGGCTTTGCTCGCATTTTGGGCTTGCGGATATCGACGAAACATATCACTCCCCAGACACTGGAATTCAACTGCGGCCTCTGCTAACCTCAATGACTTCAAGGACAGAGGTTGACATGGACCGTTTTGCTTGCTCTGAGGCCATCGACTGTATGCTAGCCTACTACAAGGTTTGTTATCACTTTCTTGTATCTACTCTACACATTCACAGTGAAGATGCTAATGCGAGGTCGTCCAGGTCGCCCAAAAAACCATCGTGGACGTCTTCAGCGAACTCGCCATTGAACAGTGTCTGCTACAAAAGCTGCCTGAGATGTTCACACCTGAAGTGGTATTTGCTCTAGAGCCGGACGAGATTGAAAGCATTGCTGCAGAAAGTGAAGAAAGCAGGGTCGAAAGAAGTCGTGCAACGGAGAAACTCAAAGTCCTGGAGAGCACCTTGAAGGTATTACACAGCCTCGATCGGCACAAGATTACCGGTGGGTCGACAATTTCCTTCCTCTTATCCGTATAAGAAGCTGATCAATACTTTAGTACAAGGAAAAGACGAGGCTGGGCTTTCAAGCGACGAGGACTAAGCCCGGGATTTTGATGGCGGCGATCCGTACGCTCAAGGCATGGCCATTGCTCTTCGGTCACGCGGTTCGAGGCCCTGGTGGGAAGGCGTTCATGGTGTGGGTTACGCATGTCTTTCGTTATGGGCTCCTTTAGCAAACTTGCAGTCGGCGTCATACGTATGGGGTGACCTGTTGGTCTCTGGTGTATCTATGAAGTATAGGATAGCAACATCACAGCTCGTCAAAGCCCCACTTTTGATGGTTTGAGCGTGCATTCACTCCTACCAACCTTAATATCCTCCACTCCCACCAGACGGCTTGTCTCGAGCCGAAAGTTCTGGCACAATCGAGTCCAGAATTGTATTGATAGTTGCCTGGTGATGGTTTTATGCTAATCAAATAGTCGACGACTGCCACTGCCTCAGATCTCCCGCAGGCAGGTCCATACTTTTTCCTGGGCAATGTGGGTCAGGCCAGGGCCCCCTTTTCCTGTCTTGGCGAAACAGGCCGAGCCACGGCGGACTATTATTAGGTTGACGACACATCAAAAATTTGAACTTCAAAATCAGAGCTGTTCTTACAGTATATACTGAGTTTCCTCTGATAAATTATGGTCATAAAATACAAGTAGGGGATGTAAGAAGAGGATATCAAAAGAGAATGTCTGAAAAGGGTGCCCTCAAGAGGGTGCCCTAAGAGAGTACCTTAAGAGCCCCAAGAGGGTGCCCGAAGCTTGGCGCAGAAATTTATGGCAGTTCTCAGATTCGTGCTATCTACACAGCCATTTAGTAGGGGATAGGGCGCCCATTTCGCTCATTTAGGGCAGCTACTCTATCTGGCATTGTTGAGATAGCCCTATTAATCTCATCCAGAGTTATTTTATCCCACTCCTCCTGAATAGCCCTGCGCAGAACAGCTTCTTCGAAGATGACCCCCCTGGACTTCAAGCGCTGCTTTATTATCCTCCAGATCGTCTCAATGGGGTTGAGATCAGGCGAATTAGCAGGGTTCATCTCCCATTTGATCCCTAGAAGGTCCTTGAGTGCTTTGACCTTGTTAGGACCCTTGCCCTTGGTACCATGAGGCCCGTCGTTATCTTCGATTAATATGCAATCTTTATCCCAATCAGGAGCGACGATTTCTTTCAAAATAGTCATATAATCAGCTTGAACAAGCCGTCCCCCTATACCAGAGCCAGTATAGAAGTGGAGCTGACCCTTGAAATTCCATCCAATAACGCCATATACGTGTACAGATTGATTTTGGCGCTTCAATCTAAATTGGGTCTTTGAAAGGGCATTTCGAGCCTCATAACCCTTGCGACGATGAATTCGAGCTTGTCGTTGCAAGCAAGTGGCAAAATGGGACTCGTCACACCATCGAAACTTCTTAAATGCATCCAATTGCCAATATCGACGGTCAAATCCCCATATAATTCGGGCATCGATATGTGATTGTGAGAGCATTTTTTTCTGTGCAGCCATATAGGTCCCTACACCAAAATCCTTCATATTTTGTTGAATTGCACGTTCGGAGCCATATATTATGTATCTTAAATAGCTCTGTACGAGGCAATTTGCCAGCTGTGTGGCGTGCGTCAGCAAGAAGGCGCGCTCGGCGCGGCGTATCAACCATCGTTTTTGGCGTTCGTGAGGCCGCAGGAGAAGGAGGATCAATCGAATGAGACTTTCGGCAGACGCGGCGTCTATTTCCCTGTTTAGAATCCATTGTTCCCTAAATTTGAGTGAGTATTGGTAGAGAAATAGAGGAATGAAGAAGGGGGGAGGAGGAAGGGGATCTGAGAACTGCCATAAATTTCTGCGCCAAGCTTCGGCCTCAAAAGGGTGCCCTAAAAGGGTGCCCCAAGAGGGTGCCGCAAGAGGATAAGGCCTTAGAGAGTAAGGCCCTGAAACAGAATCATATGACCCTGTTGCTGGCTCAAAACTGATTTTGAGATTCCAAATTTTGATGCGTCGTCAACCCAATAATAGTCTGCCGTAGGATCATGTGTATAGATCTAAAGGTGAATATGTATGTGTGGACATGCCAGTGATTGTGCGCTTGGAGTGACAAGTATTCTTGATATGAAGATGGGATGGCACGGCAGCTCAACAGCTATTCCTATTTTCTATACCTTCGCAAAAGATTGATCCAAGCTTACAAATCTGCGGTCATCCAATCACCCACCTGTTGACCCTCTCTCTTACTTCTGCCCCTGCAAAAGGAACCATCATACATCATCATTGATCAGCCCACCTCCCTAAAAACTCGATCAACGTCTCATCCACCTCCTTCGGATGACTCGCACTCAGAAAATGCGCTCCTCCCTCCACGACCATCAGATCCGCGGCCTTCGCGTTCTCGAACAGCTTGATCTCCTCTTTTGCGTTAGCGATGGTGTAGACGACGTCGTTCGTGCCCTGTTAATTGAGACCTCGCGTGTTAGCACTATACACAGAGAGGCTTAGAACACCACCACCAGTAGCATCGGACAAACCATAGCAGGAGACCAACACCAGGATGCAAAGGAAAGGCAGGTGAAGTATTGAGGAACTAACATGCAACCAAATAACCGGACATCTGACATCCCACAACCGTCCCCTCAACCCATCCCGATCTCGAAGGTTAATAGCCGCCATCCTGATGCGCCTCCTCCCCTCATCCCCTCTATAATTGTCCTTAATCTCCTTCACCCAGAACTCCCTGACTTCCTTCTCGCAATTTTCCCCAAACCCGATGTCAACCAGATAGTTGCAGTAGGAGTCATCGGGGACGAAGTCTGGACTGGAGGTGTTGGTGGTCCAGGAGTCGATACTGGGGGTTAGCAAGGCGTGGCAGTCCCAGCAGCCCAGGGAGATTGTATGGGGGGTTTCGGCGGAGAGGGAGGTCCCTAGGGGGATGATGCCGAGGATCTTTCTTCATGTCATTCGTCTTCCTAGCTTCGGAGCAGAACTGACCTCTAATTGCTCCCATGCCAATGAAAGAAAGACGAGCCAGTTCCAAACCAGAGACCACAGAAAGGGAGAGAAGGAGAGAGAGGGAACGAAGTGAGCACATAGTATTGGAGTCATACCTTATCAGGCGCCAACAACGCCATCCTCACCGTGACCCAACCCCCCTGACTGGTCCCCAACGCAAACGCCTTCTCGATGCCCAACTTCTCCATGACCTGTAGATTCATGATCGCAGTATCCCAATACGTCCAGTTGTCTACCTTCAGTGCTATCGTCCCGCCGTGCCCAAGAAGTTCAATGGCTAGCAAGTTCATGGTGTCGGTTAGAGATTTATTGGCATATTGGGAATTGTAGAGCTTGGCATTGGTGGTGAAGGAATTCACGAGAACGAGGGTGGGTTTGGAAGAGTCGTAGGGGTAGGGCATGTGGTAGGAAGCGCGTATGCCACCCAGGTGCGGAACATCAACCGTTTGGGTGGTGAAGGAAGAACACATGATTGATGATGGAGAGGTCTCAGGGTGTAGAATGGTGATTGTATCACGAAGGCAGATGGCAAACAGAAAGAGAGGACTCAAATACTTATGATATGCATTCGACTTGAGAGCTTCCCCGCAATACCAAGCGATACCCATGTTGGTCCGGGGTGCACAGATAGAAATCTGACATCACAGCAGAACTCAAAGAAGTGATGAGTCTCTCGCGTCATGAGTGGTCGCAGCCTTCAGATGTTCGGGTTAGGTGTTCCGACTCTTTCCATAGTTAGAAGGCGAAGAGAATGCCGGGCCCTACTGGTAGAAAGCAATCACCTCTTGACACTTCTCTGCTTCTGTCATACATGTGTATATGTGCTATTTTGCCATTTGGACAGTTTGGACAGTTTGGACAGTTCCGATATCTTACAGCCTCACATCCTTGCCTTATGTCAGCCAGCCGCTCAACCATGGAAAACCTCCTTCCAAACCTTTCACAATTTCATCTTCATCCTACAGTACATGGGGCGTGTTTTGCTTTGCACTCAGGATGGTTCACATCCGTCCTTCCAACGTTGGCACAGGCCTCAAGCACCCTCCGATGCCACCTGACATGGGAAAAGACTCTTCTAACATCTTCTGCAAGCTCAGTGCGACTTAATCTGCGGTCAAATCGACAATATTGAGTTTGGTACGTTTGGTTGGATCAGCTGCTTCGTGACCATTGTGCTCCGGTTCCTTTCTTTTGTTGCCGGCGAAGTGTTGGCCCAACTCGCTCTTGTTGTTGTTGTGTAGCTGTGGGCTGAGCATAGACAAAGGCCGGTCCGTGATTTTCAAGTTTAGAATCTCGTCATGCTTATCACCGAGTAAGTGTTTCAGCCACGGATTGCTGTCGAGGTTTCTGATATGCTTCTTGGCAAAATCAAACCGATTCTGCCACTGTGAGTGCTCTTGTACATATTGCTCGTGGACCTTCGTTATGACAAGTGCATGCGGTGATCCAGAAGTGATGGTCTGACATCGATAACCTGTCCGCGGAAGCTGCTTCTCCAGGTGTTTTCTCCGAGCCTGTATAATCCGAAACTCGCACGTTTCACGGATGCTGTCTTTTACGAAAGCCTTGAGATCGAGACAGTCCCGACAGCTGCATCTGACAGTCCTCGTTGGACGAGACCAGTCTGTAGGTCTTCGAGGCTCTGGCCCAATGTACCGAATGATGTACGCTTGCAAGATCAGGTGTACATGCTCACGGCAGTCGTTACTGAGCATAAAGCATGAACCTCCTTTCCGCAAATGTGTTAGCAGGAGCTCAATATACGGCAACAGAAGGCTTCCAAAAACATCTGTTCGTGCATTCAGAGCAGAATGTTGGATTTGATGGAATAGATTGCAAATTGCGTTACTGAGCGAGAGCACCTCACACTGCTGCAACGTTTGCATTATGACATCTCCAGACACGGGATAAAAAATTGGCAGTCTTTCCTCAGAGGCTCCCCAATCAAATTGTGTGATGACTTTCTCAATGACTCTTCTGTATGTTTCGGCCACGGTGCTCACTGGAACCTGACGCCCCCGCAGCTCGAAGAGACGGATAAGGAATGCCATGGCAAATGATGTGTGATCCGATTTTGCTTCAACAAAGGGTACAATGCGCTGTTCTAGCATTTTAGCGCCAAATTCATCTGCCACTTCTGCCAACGCAGTACCATCCTTTGGCGTTACGCTTGAGCATGATAGAAAGATGGACTCCATTTGGGCTCTGACCCAACCTTTAACCGCACTTGCTTCCATATCAGAAGTCTTCCCTGAAGCAGACGATGGCTCACCAGCTAAGTGAAGCAATGCAGACCGCTTGGAATCGATATGCTTGATACGCCTGAAGGCGGTTTCGAGAGCTGGCTTCAGGGTCTCGAATCCAAGCCTCGGGATGGCCCCCCCAATGATTCCGAACATTTCTACCGACGGTTCTCCTCTCTGCAGTCCAAGAGCTTCCTCTAAAAGTGGTACGTTATCTAGTTTCAAAGCGGCAGAGGCGACCCCTTCCAGGAGTTCAGTCGATTCAATATATGTGCTTAAGCACGAGAATCTTTCTGACGAAGTCTTTCTTTCCTGTTGAAGTACAAGATGGCAAAGTCTTTCCAGCTCAAGTCTTTTAGAAGCATCTGAAGTGGTGCCGTGGTCTTCTCGAAGCCGCTTCATCCAACTCAGGATACGATCAGGATCTTCTTTTGCTGCTTTGTACATCAAGTCGACACGACATGTTTGAGGAAGTAACAAGACCACGGTATCATGATAGAAGTGTGTTGTCGAGACCCCTTCATTTCCAGTGTAGCCGGTGAAGTCCTCTCCATCGGGAGCACGCTCGAAGATATCCCCTTGGGCAATATCTTCAACATCGAAGTCCACGGTTTTGGCAATTTCTTTACGATTTCGATCGATGACTCGTGTAAGCTGAATCGAAGAATCGACAAGGTCGATGATCTCGTGGCAACCACCTAGATCCTTTTTATCTTTGATCGAAGCTTTAGTCCTATAACTTTGGTCCTCTTCCTCCGTGTCCTCATCAGCTGAATCTTCGTCGTATCCATAGTAACCGCCGCCACCACAACGGTCCCAATATTCGCTCTCATCGCATCCACCAGTAACTTCTTTTTCGATGTGAGCAAGGTAGACGAGGAAGTTTTGATCATTGCAAGCGTCGAGGAGATACCGAAACTTAACATGGTCGCTACCTTTCAAGGCTTCAAAGCTCAAACTTGACTTTGAATACTTGTAGGAGAGCTTGTAGGCCAGCATGCGAGGAATATCAGGATTCTCTTGATTGCACACGGCACTCCACTGTGAGAGAACGCTTTTCAGTTTGCTTTTTGAGTCGGTGCTGGCGGAGGCGGTGGCAGTGGGTCCAGAACTGGTCTGTACGAGATTGTATATGAGAACAAGTCGATATCCGCCAGTGACTGGCTTGACTTCGTGAGTGACATCAGAATACCACGCCGCATATGAGTATTCAAAATCCGAGGTCTCGGATGTGCTGATTATCTGACGCTTGCCTTCATGCGAGAGATGGATTTCGCCACCGCTGTGCTGAGAAGGCAAGCAAATCATAAGGGTTCCGAACATTCCCTTGACTTTTTCTCCATCCTGATGTGGAAGGAAGAAAGCGCCTTCTTCGTACAATAGCAATTTGTAGAGCTCAGCACGCACATGGCGCGGACCACAAGCCACGTTGAGCTCTTTGGCTACCGTCTCGACAACGCGTCCGACGTGATGACCGAGTCTAGGATTGCGGAGGTGAAAGTAGGCGGGATCGATCTGCCATGATTTCCGGACTGAGGTATCGACCAAGGTCTGGGAACCTTTGCCGAACGGGCTCTGCTGCGTGACTGATGAGCTTGCAATTGCTTGTGCATCTCGCACGGATAATGGCAAGCCAATGGTGCCCAGGCCGCGGATGAATAGGGCAGGATTGGGAAAGGAGTCTAGAACATGAAAGCAGGCAAATGAACCAGACACTTCGACGTTGGCGAGTGCATCACAGACGCCTTTCTTGATCGACTGTGCAGTCATGACGTGGAAGACTGGTCAATGTGCATTGGCTAGCTAGCCTACCGAGTACCACTGGCGAGAATGGGGCCAGAGGACTGTCGAGGAAGCATAAAAAGGGGCAGTAGGAGCGCTAGAGGTTCTGTGACCGCGTCGCGTCTGCCCTAACTACCCGTAGCCCAATGGGTGGAGCCCTGGTAGGGCCCGAAGCTTGGCGCAGAAATTTATGG